TTCGTGATTTGTTGGAAAACTGATATTTTATAGAGAAATTATTGTTGTAACATGACTCTTATGGAGCGATTCCTGGAAATTTAGTTTCCAGATGTACACCCTTCAGCAGCTACTGTGCCCCCCCCCCCCTCCTCCACCTCCATCGTAGGGGTAAGGGACAGGAGGAGAAAGCAAAAGACAGGGAAGATAGGAAACCTACTGCATTCACCTTTCACATGATAGTTGTATAATATATTTACACGAATTTATCGTTGTAGTAATAGACCAATTCACCCCTCCCATTACTGGCTCGACCCACGCTACGCAACTCGAGACAGGTCCATATAGAGCGAGATGAAAGATACAGAGAGGGGAAAAGGGGGGAGAGAGAGAGAGAGAGAGAGAAAGAGAGAGAGAGAGAGAGAGAGAGAGAGGGGGGGGGGGGAGAAATTGAGGTCAAGTTATAGCCTTCCAAGTTCACGGTCGGTATTTGGAGCCGCAGGAGGTGGAAATTCTGAAAAATTGTAAGTTGTTGATATGGTACTGGGAATCTCTCCCACACCCGGATTACAATTTAACAAGAAATATAAATCAATATATTGTAGGCTACGTGATAGTGGTGATATAGACCCATAATTAGTATTGTTCATTATTAAACGGAAGTTCAATTCGGATTCTGTATCTTTGCAGAATTAGACCCCCAAAATCCATAAAAGATGTAATACATGTAATAGCTTCGCAGAAAACATAACGACGCTCGAGTCATCTGCTTTTCAAAATGTCAACAAATTTGACCAAAACTGGCCTAAAAAACTCCAGCAGCGATTTCATAAATCACTGGGATTATTGGAATTTTCAAGATTTCAATCACATGTGGTATTTATGACTTGCTTGTTCCCATTAAAGTACTCTTATACTGAGAAAGTACGAGCCTGAGACTAAGGAATTCATTATCATGCAACGTCAAATTTGACAATGCATGGATTATCAACAAAGATATGAAAGGTGTTTCATGTCACTCGAACAAATCATTGAATTGTCAAGAACTGAACCAAATTGAATCGAATTGAATTAAATCGAATTAAAATGAATTGACTTTGTGAAATGTATCAATTTCAAATGTTTTACACTGATTTCTATACTTATTCCGATTTCGGCTTTAAAACAAAATTACAAGCTTGTTCCTTTTGTTCACTACAATGAAGAAAAGTAACGATGTCAAGTGTTTTACAATGTAATCTACTTAATCAAATATGTACTTGCTGTTAATGTGTAAATATTAACACAGTTATTTTTTCGCCACGTTTCTCTGAGAGAGTACGCGAAAGGAATTCATTGTCATGCTATGCCATATTTAACAACTCGTGGATTAAGAACAAGGATATGAAAGGTGTTTCATGTCACTCGAACAAATCATTGGTATCCGTGATTGAACGGTATCGGGTAGCATTTTCCTTTCTAGATCTATTGAGAAAATATGTTATTCCCATTGTCTGCCAATATCGAATGGTGAAAAATAGAGAGTTGGCTACGACATGAAAAGATGACCCGACCACTCCCACCCACTCCCCTCACTTCCATTTCACCCACTTAAGACCGCCCCCCCCCCCCATAGTAATGCCCCTCAACGGCTCGACGCAAGCTATGCAGTCATAATGAATGAAGTCAATCCATCTTTCGTTTAAAATGTCACCTGTATCTATTGTAATTTGTAGGTTTATTTGCACTCTTTTGTTTTGTTTAATGTATAATTGTTTATCAGTCTATTTTGTTTGTTATAGCGCTAAGAGACTTCGGTGGTAAGCGCTTTATAAGTAACGTTTTTTTATTATTTTTATTATTATTATAAAAAGATCTCATCATTATCCAAACACCATCTACTTCATCGCAAAAGTTAAAAATCATCTACATTGTTTTTTCTTAAAAGAAAAAATCGTATGGAAGGTGTTTTTAAATTCAAAGTTTGCTACCGCTGATGTTTCGAAGAAAATTATGAGTATTATTGTTAGTTTTTATAACTATATTTCTTGCAGTAAATTTGTGTGAAGAGCTAGCGAAACCATCCTGACTGAATTAGAAATAGAATGGCGCCATCTTTGTTACCCGTCAGGTCAGTATAATATATAGCAGTCAACGAAGAGGTCGCATTATCGTGCAAAGTCTAAAACGATTGTTCTTCTCCCGTTTCTCTCACACATTACAAACACATTCTATATTCCTCCTCTACCCCTTCCCCCTCCCCCCTCCCAACCTGTCTCTCCATCTCTCTCTCTCCCTCTCTCTCTCTTCCCCTATTTCTTTTCATTTTCCACAGCGTCAGCGTCTCTCATTTCTTCTTTCTCTCCCTCCCCTTCTCTCTCTCCTTCTCTATCTCTCTTTTCTTCTTTCTCTCTCTCCCTCCCCTTTTTTTTTTCTCTCTCTCTCTCTCTCTCTCTCTCTCTCTCTCTCTCGCCTTCTCCATCTACCTCTCTCTCACTTGAAATACTAACATCATCTAACATAACACCTAACAACTTGAGATCTGGATAGCCATGCATTATGGCTCAAGGTATGGGCACACAGAGGACTTTTTTTATGTTAGGAACTGGGGTAAAATGCAATAAATTATTGAAAAAATATTGCATTTTCTGTTTTTTGTTTTTAATTTATGGAAACTGCCCCCTACCCTAGCCCCCGCTGCGTACAGTCATGGTTCAGTCACAAAGCAATGGCCTCGTAACTGTGAGGCCCCAGGATCAAAACCGTGTCGATGTGCTATATTAGTGCCCTTTTGTGGGGCATTAATCCTCATTACTGTCATTTATGACTTCAGGGCGTAGGTCCCCTATTTGATAAGCATAGAAGCATACACATGCTTTAGCAGTCACGCAAAACACACATTGGAAAATTACTATCCAATAAAATCTGAGAATGTATACTATTATCTAGATCTATTATTTTTAAATTATTTTTAAAATAATTCCATAAATTTGGGTAAAACAAAAATATTCCACCTATATGAGCGACAGTGTAGTTGTTTAGGGCAACAAGCAAAAAGGTCCGTAGTCTACCATTTCATTTTTAAAAACCCTACCCTGGATCTAAAATCACGATTAACAAAAGAAAAATTTAGACCTCAGACTGCGGATTAAGCTGCTTTGTAATACTTGATTTTGATCAAACATTCGATAATTTTGAACCAGGCTTTGAAAAACGAGATTTTACGTTTCACCTTTTACGTTTTATTCCAGCCAATGCCAATATTGTTTTTTGTTGGCTTTTTCGTGTTGGTTATAATACGCACAACCAGCCGGCCTGTGTATTATTATTATTAACTAATTAATATATCAACGGTCACCGTATTTCTTTGAAAGTGGAGCTGAATTCTTGTGATCGTATTCAATCAAAATTTACACATTTTGGGGTCTAAAATTACTTTCATAGCAATTTTAGGATGAAAAGGGCACTAGAAATAATAAGAATAAGAGCTGTAACCATATGCACTTTGAAGGCATTTGCGGTCTTAAGCAAGAACTCAACTATCCCTTTAAGATTGAACATTCAAGATTCAAGATTATTTTATTGGTCCATGCATGCAAACATTACACAGAAATTTTGCTTCCAATGGCTTTTTTGACAGTGAACATACATTAGAAGAGATTGTTTAGATAACATTGTTTAGACTTGGTAACATTGTTTAGATGAAGGCCCGGGCACACATAGACGACGCACTGCATCGTTGTGCGCCCAACTTTTGTCAGGATCTGGGCATAGACGTAATATTACGTCTATGATCTGGGAGAAGCTAGCAAGCTGACATGCGTTTCCTATATGTGACCGCCCCATGAGAGAAAATGGTGCTAATTATTAAGGTAGTGACTTCAAAGATAATCTGAAAGTTTGAGTGGTAACAGACTATTATTAATGAAAACATTTGGGAAAAACTGATCTGATCAATTCCTAAATTCTCACAACTATATTATCATAATTTAATTAAATTTTAGATGAATGTAGTAAATCTTCACAATGCAATGAATTGGCTCTATATACCATACCAAACATTTAAGTGTTGAAAGATTTTTTAAAAGAAGTCTTTTATTCCTTATTTTCATGGAAAAACGGTTGGAAAAAAAATCAAAAGTTGGTTGGGAGAATTTACTGTTAGAGGGGATTGAACATTGACGCCGTCAAAGAAAACCATATAATAAAGATTTTTGTGGTTTGAGAATTTGTTTAGGATTTTGTGCATGTTATAAAGGGCTAGTGCAGTAAATGGAATAGTAACATTTCATACAAACATTTTGCAGTTTTTCTCAACAACCTCTAAACACAAATAAAAAATATATGATTACAAATAACATATAGTCCTATGTGTTATGTAAAACATTTAAACTGCAATCACAATAAATGAGACTAATTGGTAACATTGTTCAGATGAGATGAAAATAATATTTGCAGAATAACAACACCTCATAATAATAATACAATAACAATATTCAGCTTTTATATGTCTCTAAGCGCTTTACAGAATATATCATTAGATCTAGTGTTTGCCCGCACATACGGTGTGCACAATCTCCACTCACTGGGGAGCATTCCAGCCAGCAGTTCCTTGACGCTCAAAAACTGTTTGACCAACGGTCGCATCCTGAGTGGAGAGTAGCACGTGCAAGTTAATATCTTGCCAAGGGATATTAGGTGCCGTGTCGGGATTCGAACCCTTGACCTTCGTAGACAATATGCCACTGCTGCAAATTGCAGGCGCAGATGCAAGGGGGGAGGAGCGGGCCTCCCCCTGCTCCCCTCCCCCCCCCAAAAAAAAAAAAAAATTGGTAACCAGAAATTCACCCCCCTTTTTTTTTAGCTCAAGGGGGGATTTTAAGTTTTAAAAAAAGGCGTTTACTATGCCGCCACCCCCCCCCCCCCCCCACTGAGCGAAATATCGGCCGGCGTGATTTTCTAATTTCCGAGGGTAAAAAAAGAAAAGAAAAAATAGTCCTCCCTATTTCCCCCCCCCCCCCCCCCCCCCCTCACTGAGCGAAATATCGGCCGGCACGATTTTCAAATTTCAGCACACTAAATTTCAAATTGATTTCAAATTTGGGCCTTCCCCTTAGAACTCCTGGATCCGCTCCTGGCAATTTGTACATTGTGTAACCTGTGCGTCCACAAGTGTTAACAGCTGTAACCTAATATAAAGAACGCAGCTCCTTTCAAATCTGTACGGGCTAGGGTTGACAAATGGAAGGAACATCGGTCTGCAACAAGTCGACTTTTGTCACACGTACGCTGTATATTTATCCCATAACTTGGTCAGTGGGGTAAACCACCTACAAACTCGCTCGATCGAGTCATAAAATATATATAAATTTATATCAATAACATGTTTAAAAGGATAATCATTTCCAAATTAAATTTCATACAGAAAAGTAAAAGTAAAAGTAAAGAAAAGACAAAGGAACATGAATATACACTTAATGTACAACACTATATTGAAAACAAAGAGGAATATATAAGATTATATACACACCGAAAGAAGCAAAAACTTAAGATATTAAGGTTATGAGCAAAGTCCAAGGTATATCGCATTACGTTATCAATTATTCTTGAATGTCATTATACAGTAGTGAATATGATTGAAGCTGTAGTTGGGCTATCAGTTTAAAACAGTTATCAGGTATATTGATATTTTAGATGTGCTCGGGCCTGCCCTTAGATATTGTGGTTGTTCCAAAGGCGCAATACACGTGACTCTATCAACGACAGTCGCCTTTCCTTGCTATGTAGATATTCAACGTCGGGGAACGTGACTGTAAGAGCTACACGATTTTTTCAGCATGTATCTGGTAAGGATCCGGTCGATTGGTGAACCTGTGGTAGCATGGGAGATCTTTTGGAACGCCTTCGGCCAGACTGAGGGTGAAACGCTGCAAGATGGAGGTGATGAAGAGAAAGATCTCGGTCCTTGCCAACTGCTCTCCAGGACATACCCTTCGACCTAAGAAAAGACGAACCAGCAAATGAATTAAAAATATAAAGAGGTATAAACATTGACAATTACATTGTGAAAAGTGTGGTATATTGTATGTGTTGGTAAAGGCTCCTGACTCTCATACGAGAGGTTTTGAGTTCGGTCCTCGCTTGGTGCTTTCCTCTTTGGGCAAGATGTTTTGCCCACATATTTTGTCCCTCTCGACATATGTGTGAATGGATTCTTGCAAACGCTGTGGTAATAATAATTGTGGGGCACACAGGAAGAGCAGTATTAATACTGATGTGGCTAATCTGGGTAAATAAGGCCCAACCATTATTACTATAGACTGTCTATTGCTACACTTTGTATAATCGTTAGTTTCCATGAGGGAGTAGTCAACACAGTTTTCGCTAGTGTTATAAGTTTAGCTGGGGAAGATAAAATGCTGTCACCAACATATAAGCACTCCATTCGCAGTTAACATTTCACTTACCTGTTCCAAAAATGATTGGTTCACGTTTTCTATCAAACTGCCCGTCCTCATTCAGGAATCTGTCTGGTCTAAACTCCAGTGGCTCCTCCCAGAGGGTCGGACTAAGGAATAGATGGGACATGTTTGTCGTGACCACACTCCCCTTTGGAATGTCGTACTCGCCAACCTGACAATCTTGTTCGGCGACGTGAGGAAGATGGAAATCGAAGGCTGGTCGCAGACGCGTACATTCTGCAATGGTTGACATGGCTATCGGCATCTGGTGACGATCGGAGAAACGCGGATCACGTTCCTGGCCGATGACGTCAAAGATCTCTTGACGGACTCGGTTTTGTGCTTCGGGATAGCATGCCAGGGTGTGGAGGCTCCAGGAGATCGTGGTGGCTGATGTCTCCCATCCCCCAAGAAGCACATCAAATGAGCATTCCAGGAGATTGATTTCATCAAAGGAGCCTTTGTTATTCTTTGGTAAAACAAAAACAGTTGAAATAATATTATTTACTAGAATTTTTTTCTTTCTAGAGTACCGGAGTGCTAACATCATATTCACTCGTCGTCCAGGTTACTGTTTGTAAACAGCAGAGCCTGTGCATGAGGTTCACTGCGAAATCATTCAAGCAACAGGCTGGAAGCAGGGCAAATTCAGAATTTGAGGTTGGTATGATCACAGCATCATCATGACCATTGTTTAGCACAAATTGTTTGGAACCAGCAACCTTGGCAACTTGGCTTGAATGCTATGACGTCATACCTCGGTGCACTATAGTGGACTTGGATATACATTAATACATCGGTAATAGAGAATTAAAGATTTTTTTGCACGCTGGGGGTTTGGGCGTTTGGGTGTTTCATTTCCATCACGGCTCGTCTTCAAACCTTCAGGTATTCAGTATCTTTATATCTTACTTTATATCTTTTACAAAATACAGCTAGGAGCAAATGAAGCAAGAACAAATTTGAGGTTTCGCGATGGGGAAAACCCCCCCAAAAGATGGTTGTGAACCGCCGCCCCTCAATATACATTTTACACGATTGCAAAGACTTTTAAGAAATCAACTTTAGCACGATATCATGATGTATTGCATACAGAAATCATTTAGGAATAACATAACAATCATATTCCACAGATGTCAGACGATGCTATTAAATTTGCCTAAGTTTGGTTTTTAAAGTCTCTGCGATCGTTTTTACTTGTTTGTGTGCATTCCTAAAATAGATCACAATGACTTTCGAAAAATCAACAAATTTCAATTTTATTTTTTTTTAAATATATTTCTCATTAAAATTTATGAACATCACCAACGACGAATTATGAAATGATATTTTCCATGTATTAATTTCTTGATATTCTTTGCGATCGGGTTATATGCTAATAATCAGGAATAAAAATAAAGAATACTGTTCAGATGGATCCAACACATTCGTAGGCCTACCTCTGTCGTTCTTTTTGCTATTTCGTGCAGATAGCTCTCAATATAATCCGCTGCCTCTTGGTTGGGGTTAAACTCTGACTTGTGGCTCGCAATATTTTTCTTGATGAAGTCGTACATCGTATCCCATTCCTTCGTTAGTTGACGTTTTGCAGGTGACGGGACGGCAGCGAGTATTGGTACCGAAGATAGTATTCCTCCAGCCGGTCCCAGCAGGTCGAAAACACGATTGGAATGCGTCACAAGGCGATGGAAATCATCATCGTCGAATTCGTAAGTGATCCCACTCACGATTTTTGTGATGATGCTGCCGATGGAGATATTTATAATTGGCTGTGGATCAAAACGGGCACTTTTGGTCTTTTCTATTTCGGTCAACATACGCTCTGCCTGTGCACCGACGATTTCCTCAAATCTATAAAGACCAAAACAGATCAGCACCATTCTTGGTTATTTTAGTTATTTATTCATTTGTTTATTAATGTATTCAATTAATTATTTAAACATCATTTTTCGATCAATCTACTCAATCTTTAAGTTTATACAATTCATAAAATTCATTTAAATGAGTCGTATCGACGGAAAACCATTATTTAGAAACCAGGATAAGACTATGACAAAAAGAGTGTTGCGGAGAGTCAGAATAGGGGAGGAAACGGGACATCCCTGTAGACCGACAGACGACGAGACCGAAAAGTAGTAAACCGTCGAGAAAGGTTCCCAGAAGGCTAAATTGAAGGGAGATGGGCCTTTTGAAACTGAAGCAGAAGGTTCGTTAAACCAAGGAGTTTTAAGAGCTGGAGTCCCAACTGGCAACAAATTATTTCAAGCAGCTGTCGTTTTCTAAGGTTGCACAAGAGAATGTACAGGTGTGCTGTTACCTTTGATGTCCGAGGTTCAACGCCTTTAAAATGAGTGGAAAGCTTGAGTAGTGATTTTTTCACAAAGAAATATTGTTAATACTTCACTTTCTATTTGAACTAACAAGGGAAAAATCGAACAGATGATAAAATATGCCCGCCCCCCCCCCCCCACTCCGAGAACGGACGGACCCCATGCGTGTTGCCAAAATGTCCTTTTCGTAACAAAAGAAAAAGGTCGACCCGTATTGACTTGCACCGGACTTTTGCTGAAAAGGGGGGGGGGTGCTGAAAAAGGCTCGTATACAAAAGAAAAAGGTCGAGCCGTATTGACTTTACACACCGGACTTTTGCTGAAAAGGGGGGGGGGGGTCGGTTGGAACACGCATATGCGTACCCTAAATAACACTGAGTGGGGGGGGGGGGGCCGGGAAAATATGACTACGGAGGCATAATTTTATCAAGAAATTTGCTTACATTGTATAATAGCAGTTTTAATTTGTGAAAAATAGTTAAATTCCTAAAACCTGCAATTTGACAATTTTCCGATAACTTCCGGCACACGAAATTAACAAGTGAATTTGTTTAAGTACAGTTCTGTATGATGTTCTTCTATGTCAGATTAGTGCTCACACATGCATGCCCAGTCAAGTAATTTTGGTTAATATTTAAGGAAATTTTGCTCCCTTTCCTTTCGCTTGCCTCTTCTAAAGGTAAGCACTAGACTAGGTGTAGTATTATCAGACGATGGTGGTGAACATTGATTATCATTACAATAACATATTTCCCTTTGAAAGCGGACCGTTAGTTTTGAATTTTGAGTTTATTGGTTTCACATTTCACATGCAGATATAATACAGAAAACAAAATAGACATATTTATATAATATTGACTGGCCTTGAGGGGTATATCAGAAATATTGACCAAGCTCAGATCATATTGCCCCGAGTCGAAAGACGAGGGCAATATGGTCTTAGCGCGGTCAATATTTCTGATATCCCCCGAAAGTAAAGCCAGTCAATATTTTTATTGTTATCCAAATCAGACATCTAGAGCAAATACAGACATCCACCATGACAATCTCAAGAACTGAACAAACTTTGTCAAACCAACACTTTGCATCCAGTGCTTGACAAAATTTTCGATACACTACAAACAGTGTGTATTTGGTTTGATTATTACGTCACAATACAGTGCGCGCAAAGTGCGCAGGTTCTCGTACGCATAATATTAATAGATGCGCAATGAAAATGCGAGACCGTGGAAAATACCAAGGTATATTTTCACTCGTCTCTACACGCAAAGTCAATATGCGCAGGGAGACCAAGGAAAATACAAAGAATATACCCCTCCGTTCCCACTGCTAGTGAAAACTAGGGCAATACGGTTTTGTAAATGACCAGCTCAGATGTCTGATACGGGTAATAATGTTTCATAATTATAAAAAAAATGATTATAGTAATACGTGCCTTCACGGTTGTTTCATCGCAAAGCATGCCGGGACATAATTCTAGTCCATTTTCACCTTCGCCGTGATCAGCTGTCCTGTTGCAAACAACGGGATTCTTATCGAATCAACATCATAATATTGTACATAGTCCGCTATTCTGCAGTGATTTTCTTCCAATCCAGTATCATTTGTACGGTAAGAAAACCAAAGTTTGTGGTTATTCATTTTTATGACTAATAAAGCTGATAATACGACGTAATGAGAGTGGGCCGAGATCCAACTTTAGTAAATGTAGGCCTAGATCTAGTCCCGTATGTTCAAATGTGTGTGCATTTTAAGTAGACTGATTGTCTTTTAAGCTGCTTAAGTACACTCGTCTCGTGTTTTAGGTAGAAATGTACAGTAATATGAGATTTATGTCTCATGAAATATTAATAGACTTTCTAGATCCTATAATTGATAATGGAATAGGGTCTACTAGAATGGCCGACAGTTAGGCCTAGAAAGTGCATGATTGCAATTAGAAATTATAATTAGATCTAGACTAAATGTAAGAAAGTAAAAGAGGCCATGAAAACGATAGATTTTTTCGATCTGGATCTGAATATAATAGTCTGATATCAATGAGCTCTACTTGAGGATCTACATGACGGGGGCGTACGGAGGATTTTTTCGAGGGGGGGGGGGCCGGGGGTAAAATTTGAAAATCACACAGTCAATTTCACGACTCGGCCAGCCGGTGAATAAGCCGGGGGTGGTAAGAGCACCTTTTTTTTTCCTTCTTTTTTTCCCCGAAAATATGAAATTTGGGAGATTGATATTTTGTTCAGTTGGTGGGGGGTAAGGTCACCTTTTTTGGGTCACCCTTTAGCACAAAAAATATTTAATTTATTTTTGTTATTAAAAAAGTAAGGGGGGGGGGGGTTTCCTCAAAAAAAAACACACACACACAGTCTAAACAAAATTGGAGGAGGGGGGGGGGGGGTTCAACCCCCGAAACTCCCTCCCCCCTGCATACACGTCTGCTACATGATCTAGTGTTGAAGAAGTGATGAGGGTTCTTTGGTCACAAACTTAAATTTGATTTTCTTTTCCCTTTTATTTATCAGTTGCAGCATCATCGAACACTATGACCCATGAATCAGAAGATAACGTAGATGCTACGAGAGAGCTCATTTCACAATGGACAACAGAAGTGTTACGTGACTTTCTACAAGGAGGGGACTCAAGCTTGGAAATCGAGTACTGGTAGTCATTATTTTATGGGTGTTCTCTGCCTTGACTCTGGGGGTACTGTTCAGCCATCCGAGGTAGAGATAAACTGGACGATGGATGGAGAGGGGGCGGGGGGGGGGGGGGGGGGGGGGGGGGGGGGGGGGAGAAAGGCATGCAGACTGCAGAGCTGGTCGTCTACTATGTATAGAGACATTTGTGTGTACCTAGTAGATAAGGACCCTCCATCACTAGAGGGAAGAATGAGAGACTACAAAGAGGGAAAGGCATTTAGTTATTTTGCCAGTTTCTGGTTAGGGAGATATTTTTTTCATCTCGTGGGAGAAAGCTGTCTGTAATTCAAAATCATTTGATACTTGAATAAATTTAGTTCATTTTCTAGACTGTTTCATGTCAAACCGTTGATTCTACTTTCTTGTGAGTATAGTCAGAGAGATAGAGAAGTAACACAAGTAAAGAATGAAAAAGAAGCTAATATTTGAACGAGGAGGAGAAAATGGAGATTACGTTGTTGCCCATAGAGTTGGAATAATTGTTCTTACCACGTTTTATTAAATGATTGTGACCATTTGGTTTATTGTTTGTACATAGAGGTCATATGTTATAAAAACTGTATTGATCAATCTAAAGAGTCTTATAGATTGATTAATACAGTTTTGAGATGATGATGATGATTGTGATGATGAACGAGAAGGAGAAGAGGAGGAACATATCATGAGTTGATGGAGAAAAGATTGATAGAGGGGTTATCATTACAGAGAGAGAGAGAAAGAGAGATGGACTAACATGAGGAAGGGAGAGCAAGAATGGAGGCTATGACATAGGGGAAGAGATAGAAATCAAAATTATATTTATACTAACATTTACTAAATTAGAATAGTAAATTAGAAGATAAAGCTAAAGGAAAGAATGCAAACTAAAATGAAGCAAAGACCATCACAATATCGTTGACATTATAATATAAATTAAGTAAAGGTACATGGAAACGTGTACATTTGTAAAATTTAATCTCTTGTTCTCTTAGATCTTCCTCTTCACACCTAATTCTTGCTCTCCCTCTCTATCTCTCCCTCCCCTCTCTGTCTCTTTCTCTCTCCTCTCTCCTTATTATCACTCTTTCTCTTTCATTAAGCGTCGACATCTCTCTCGATGCCTCTCTCTGTTTCTATGATTTTTCTCTCATAAATATTTAAAACATCAGGTCTGTCTGACCTTCCTCTCTTGAATAAATCATGAATAACTTCAACTTGGCGTCCTACATACAGTAATGATTGCTTAGTACTCATCTACAACCTTCTCTGTGTTGTTTTATTTTATTGATAAAATAAATATAACCATGAGATGAATACAAGTTAGATCAATATCAACAGGTTTAATGCAATGCATATAAGTTGACATCTTATGAAGAAGTAGTACCACCCCCGCCCCCCCCCCCCCCCCTCCAGGAACGGGAACGGAGGTACCGCATGCCGTGTTCCCAAAATCTCTGGCTCGTAACAAAGAAAAAGATCTGCCCGTATTGACTTTACACACTGGACTTTTGCTGAGAAGGGGGGGGGGGGGGGGGGGGGTACCACCTTTAATGCAAACACATTTAAAGGGATCGGGTAACTTACTCTCAGATTCTGAAACAAAATCCTGGATTTAGCTCATGCTGCAATGATAAATTTAGGTCAGTCAGGATCTCATATGACTTTTACAATCCGATCGCCTGTCTGATTTTCAAGATATTTACGATTGGAAATCGAAACCAAATTTTGTGTTTGCCAAACGGTTTTCATAACACTACAGTTTATTGGGGAAAACGAGTATGGTAAAAGGGGTCAAACAAAGATTTTTACTTTTTAGAGGCACTTCTTGATCATTTTGAAGCACAATTTTGTTAGGGCTTCAGTATTAATACACCATATCACAGGCACTGGTAGCACGTAGGGCCATACGTCCATCTCGGTTTAAAAATTGTTATACATCGTTAAACAATGCATTTTACAATACCTTTACAACATACACCATTTGCTGTCACATGGTTTGGAAATCACATTACAGATAATAATTCTACAACTGTGAGGTTTCACCTGTCGTCATTTGATACCCGAAGGAACACTTTTTTAGGGGCAAAATAACTATATGCCTTCCCCTCTTTGTAGTCTCTCATTATTTTTCCCTCTAGTGATGGAGGGTCCTTATCCAGTAGGTACATACAAACATAGTAGGCCAGTTCTGCATGCCTACCCCCACCCCCCCCCCCCCCAATCCATCCATTGTCCAGTTCCTCACAGTGTCTACCTCGGATGGCTGAACAGCTACCGCGTCAAGGCAGAGATCAGCCATAAAATAATGACTACCGGTACTCGATTTCCAAGCTTGAGTCCCCTCCTTGTAGAAAGTCACGTAACACTTCTGTTGTCCATTGTGAAATGAGCTCTCTCGTAACATCTACATGCACGTTATCTTCTGTTTCATCGGCCGTGTTCGATGATGCTGCAACTGATAAATATAAGGGAAAAGACAATCATATTAAGTTCGTGACCACAAGCATGATTGTAACAAAAGAATCCTTATCACTTCTTCAACACGTAGATGCTCAAGTTGAGCTCATCGATATCAGAATTTATATCCAGATCCAGATCGAAAAAATCTATCGTTTTCATGGCCTCTTTTACTTTCTTACATTTATAATTTCTAATTGCAATCACTTTCTAGGCCTAACTGTCGGCCATTCTAGTAGACCCTATTCCATTATCAATTATAGGATCTAGAAAGTCTATTAATATTTCATGAGACATAAATCTCATATTACTGTACATTTCTACCTAAAACACGAGACGAGTGTACTTAAGCAGCTTAAAAGACAATCAGTCTACTTAAAATGCACACACATTTGAACATACGGGACTAGATCTAGGCCTACATTTACTAAAGTTGGATCTCGGCCCACTCTCATTACGTCGTATTATCAGCTTTATTAGTCATAAAAATGAATAACCACAAACTTTGGTTTTCTTACCGTACAAATGATACTGGATTGGAAGAAAATCACTGCAGAATAGCGGACTATGTACAATATTATGATGTTGATTCGATAAGAATCCCGTTGTTTGCAACAGGACAGCTGATCACGGCGAAGGTGAAAATGGACTAGAATTATGTCCCGGCATGCTTTGCGATGAAACAACCGTGAAGGCACGTATTGATAGGCAGATAGGCAGAATTTTTTTTTTCTACGTATCTGCAAGGGAGATTATTAATCGCATGCCTGACATATTTTCTCCTGGCGGCATCTAAGATGGTACAAAGGGTCTGAGCTAGATATGACACCAGCTCTTAAGACTTCTTGGCCCGAATTCACAAATGGTCTGAAACGCTTCAAAACGCGTCATATGACGCACATAAACCGAGGTATGTCGACAAACCTACTTTGTGAATTCGGGCCCTTAAAAACCGACACTGTCGGTCTTGTGAACCGTCAATCTAGTGGACTGTTGTTTTCTTGGGCAATTGGTCTCGGGGATGTAGCTGGAGGAAAATGGTAGGTAGGTTGAAAAATTAGAAATATAATTAGGGATGAAAAGGTACAACCGGTGTAAGGCATTGTAGTAAAGATGTCATTGTTACCTGATACCCTTGGCATCAGCTCTTTTGAAGACGGAAAGTAAGAAGCGACGTTGCTCCTTCCACACATCGCCATTAGAAAATGCAACACCTGGGTCAGGTAAACAAGGTTGATAGAATCATACATACAAGTCGAAGTAGTAGTAGTAGTAGTAGTAGTAGTAGTATAGTAATAATAAAATTAGTAACAGTAATATGAATAAATAAAATTATATATAATTATAAATAGAACATAATATAATTTACATTTTATATAACATAATATAGTATAATAAATATTGTACAATACAATATTAATGTAAAATAATAAAATTTATAATTGAATTGAATTGAATTGACTGACATTTGATTCCAACATGATCACATTGTAGACAAAGATAAAAGAATTGAATATCAACAGACGTGATATAGATAGAGGGAAGATGTTTGCTGTATAAGTCCTTTAAATGAATTTTCAAATGGAACAGACTGTATAGAAAAAAGTAGAACATTTTCGAAGCTTTTAAATCAACATGACGGAGAAAATTGTTTAATATTATATTGAAAACTTCCCCTTCACTAATCGCTTTAAAAAGGTTTAAACTTTTATTACTACAGTCGTATAACATTTAAATTTTTTGTTGGAGAACATCTCCTTCCCATTTTTTGTTTGGTCTTCTTCTGCCCATCTCTAAAAATACATACTACTTGACATCATGTTCTTGCTCGTTTTGTTTCAGCTATCTTGTAAATATCATCAAGGATTTTGTGCGCTCCCTATTCCGAGCTCGATCTCTATATCCTTCCTTTCCTCTCCTCTTCTTCCCTCCAAACGCAGCTCACATTTTCTTTTCTTTTTTCTGTTCTTTCTTCTTCGTCATGTAATTGTTTACGTCTTTATGTTTTCAATACACTTTCCCCACTCATTATTATCTAAGGGATCCACAATTTACAAGCTCTATTCTTCAGTGTACCTCTCCATTTCCTCAAAATATAAATACAATTAAATTTATAATTCAATTTTTGTCTCCTCAAATGTATAAATTATACTGTAAAAAAGATTTGTCTATTACAAATGTAACTATTTTTTGTGAACATTTTACATTGTATTCGTTTAGTATATATTGTAGTTTGTTGATGATGAAAAATAAATGAAATGATATGAAATATAGATGAAAAATTACAAAGGTCAACAAATAGAGTCCTGTGAATACCATATAATATTGTTTTAAAAATAAAATATATGAGAAGCTAAGAAAATATATTGATTTCTTTTGGCAAAGAGAGTTGCATGTGACCTCTCGCACGATAACAAAATAATTAGCAAATAATTATATCAAATGGTATACAGTATCAACCGCTTTTAAAAGATCCATACAAACACATATTGCACGATTATTTTCATCAACAGAACGCAAATTTATCACAAACACCAAAAACGGCAAGACCTGTGGGAAAAATCTTTTCAAAAGTACCCTTTTTTAACCAAAAAAAACCTAAACCCCAACCCTGGCCTTGGGGGAAACAAGAAAAGGATTTTTTTTACCCCCCCCCCCAAAAGTGTTCCCCCCCCCCCCGTTTATTCACCGACTGGCCGATTCGTAGCTCAATATTTTCTCACGAATTGTCCCCCCCCCCCCCCCCCCCCCCCCCCCCTCTTGTCGCCGGCTGGATCTAGCCCTGATGATTCTAGGTAACCTTGCGTTCTACAGTCAGATGATTTATTTACTGCACAAAACTCGACAAGACTACAACATGTACATGTTGGGACATTACACTGGATCATATATAGTCGCCATTTAGCTGTCCCGTCATTACTGCAATTTTCATTCAACATTAATGATTTTCCTGGTCACCACCCACCTGGATTCTCCCTTCCCGTAAGAGTCTTGATGATGGGGACAGGCACTCTGCCCATCATGCTCAGACTGCCCATTACATCATGTGACATCTGAACATTGTTCAACACATATACCCGGGTGTTTAATAGCTTGAAGGAAATCACGTCCCCATACTTGTTGGTCCAATCATTCACCACCTGTATACGTAAAAAATATGACATTAACTTTTTGTTATGGTTCATGCAGCTCTATGTATTCCCAATTTTAATCTTAAGTTTGGGACATATTCGCAGAAATATACAAAAAGATCATTCGAACAATGGAAATATACACGTACATTCAATGCGCTGTCTTTACACTTGTCATGGACAATGCAATACCCAGGTCGGAATTCCAGTTGAAACCAGTAGGCAACTGGTACCAGTTGAAACCAGTAGGTTCAACTGGTTTTCAATATGGAAATTGAAACAACGCTCACTGGGACCATTTCATTTAACAGTTGATTTACCAGTTGATTCACCAGTTGAATTACCAGTTGATTTACCAGTTGATTTACCAGTTAAGTTTCCAGTTGAATTACTAGTTGATTATTATCCAGTAATCAATCAACCGATAATCAATAATCATTATTGGCATCGGATTTGGCCACCAACTGGACCACATATACTAACTCTTGCAATTACCCCATCACAATAAACATTTGAAGTAGATTACAGATGTGTATTTTGTGTGTTGATATTTTTAGCTCGTGCATACATATATACAAATTTATACACTTTTTTTCCTGGTTAGTAATTACATATATCAATATATATAATTTTAAGTCTGAAATTAGATGAAAAACATGATCAGACATGTCTAATATATTTGTCTATAATTAACTAAGAAAATATGAATCACAAAATTTATGTGCATTGTCACAATTGCTTGACAGATCATGATAATTATATTTTCTGTGAAAACATGCAAATTAATCATGAATATGCATAATATATATTAAACTGGTTTTTCAACTTATAAATCAACTGGTATTCTACTGATTTTCAACTGGTAAATCAACTGGTAATCATCTACTGATTTTCAACTGGTAAATCAACTGGTAATCGTACTGGTTTTCAACTGGTAAATCAACTGGTAATCGTACTGGTTTTCAACTGGTAATCATCTACTGGTTTACAACTGGTAAATCAACTGGTACTCATCTACTGGTTTTCAACTAGTAAATCAACTGGTAATCATCTTCTGGTTTTCACTACTGGTAAATCAACTGGTAATCATCTTCTGGTTTTCAACTGGTAAATCAACTGGTACTGGTTCTCAACTGGTAAAGCAACTGGTAATCATCTACTGGTTTTCACTACTGGTAAATCAACTGGTAATCATCTACTGGTTTTCAACTGGTAAATCAACTGGTAATCATCTAGATCTACTGGTTTTCAACTGGTAAAGCAACTGGTAAATCAACTGGTAATATCAACTGGTCTCAGATGCCAACTGGTCTCAGATGCCAACTGGTATTTCTACTGGTTTCCAAATTGTATCAACTGGTATCAACTGGTACCAGTTGAGACCAGTTCAAACCAGTTGAGACGAGTTCAAATAGTACAATCATCGGTGCCAGGTAAAAATGTCAGAGGTAAAAATGTCAGAGGTAAAAATGTCAGAGGTAAAAATGTCAGAGGTAAAAATGTCAGAGATACAAAAAAAAATGTATGGGTAAAAATTCGTGCTGTCATAATATATCATCACTTTATCACACAACATGTCGAGACGCAAGTTACTGGGCTAGTCTATTATATTTTATAAATGACTGTGTATTGTACTTCGTACATGTCCTGAGGATAATACAATGTGGAAAATGAATTTGAAACTTATATCTTGTGACCAGGTTTGCATATATTCATTTCTATCATTTTTCGATATTTTAAATTGGTTGTTGTTTTAATGTTTATTTGGTTTTGAGGAGGTAGGCCTAAGTACATAGAATATTAAGATTGAATGAGATAAAACAGGGAATCAGTTATAAAGATCGCACAGAAATTCCACAAATTCAGTAATTAGACCCATCTTCATTTCATTCCCAGCAAAGACTGATATGACAAGAAAACATTAATAAAAAGACACGGATGCTTTGTCCCCCTCATCAATACTTTATTACAAAAGTTTGGCAAACAATATCAAAGCTTCGCTTGAAGAATGTCAGATAGTAGGCCTATAAGTGGTAAACGTTGAGACATATCTACCCAGGTATTTTGTGCCTTTGCTTTCTACCATAACACTGTGTAACTTTATATTTAAAAAAAAATCATGTTTGTGATTAAGAAACGTGGGAGAAATACAGTTTAAGTCCCTTAATTTCAACTGTTTTTCCCCCAAAATTTATGATGCATTTTGTTTAATGTGTAGACTTGTACGAATATTTACCTGCTGGAAACTGTCGTATACAGTGTATGCCAGCACACCTTTTATAAAGCCTGCACCAAATATCCTTCAAACAATATTATCATGTATAAATATTTGTCAATTTCAGAGTTTGATCTCTCACAGCAAATAATTATAGAACGATGTAGCTTAAACAGAACCTCTGCAAAGCGCGCGCTTATCTGGAATTTAATGGTGCGGTTAGCATTAGATGTAACATGGGCGGCTTTCTGCTTTGTAATTGTATCAAAGTATCAAAGTACATGTATCAAGCCCACATAAAAGTGAAATTGTTGAAAATATGCATTTGTAGGAAGTTACATTTTATAGTAGTCATTGCCACGCTGTTAAAAATGTCCATCAATCTTCAGAAGGGACGGTGAAGTGGAGGGGGGGGGGGGGGAGGGCGGAAAACTCACGGCGTGATATCTTATCCTCTTTTTTGGGGGAGGGGGGGGGGGGCTGTGATGACTTTTCTTTTTATTTAATGATTACACCATCGAGCCACAACTCGGCCTATAATTCATGGACAAACTACTCGATTTTAGACATTCTTTTTTCGAGAAGTTTGCTCAGTGTTGAGTATCATTTGCTTAAACAAAGGCATGTGAGGGGGAGGCAGCCGGGTCACTACGCCCCCAAAAGAAGGAAAACCCCCCCCCCCCTCGGCAATAATCGGGCAAAAATTCAAAATTTCGGGAAGAAAGGTAAAATAAAAGTTAAAGACAAAAGAAAATAAAGCAGCGCTGAAATTAATGACTGCAGAGAATCCTTCGTTATACCTTTTCAATAAGCCTAATAAACAACCATTACCAATATTCAACCTGTAACATGCTTTTATATATATATTTTTTACCTCTAACATTTTTACCTCTGACATTTTTACCTCTGACATTTTTACCTCTGACATTTTTACCTCTGACATATTTTCCTCCGACATTTTTTCCTCTGACATTTTTACCTCTGACATTTTTACCTCTGATATTTTTTCCTATGACATTTTTTCCTCTGACATTTTTACCTCTGGCATTTTTTCCTCTGACATTTTTACATCTGACATTTTTTTCCTCTGACATGTTTACCTCTGATATTTTTTCCTCTGACATTTTTACACCGAGCCCAATCATCCTTATCACGTACAAAGTAACTAACAAGGCATGTATACTTTACCTCATATTCTTGCCTCTTCGTAAAAATCAGGCTGAAGAAACTCCCGAAGAGAGGCAATCCTTTCGGACCCGGTGGATAGTGAAATTTTCTACCCTGCCCTCGTCGGTAAATGAAATAAACCAGAACAGTAGCAAGTGTGACTGCGAGAATGTAACTGCTAAAAGAGTATGAAGCTGCAGGCTTATATTCCTCCATTTTACTTGATCAGCTAGGGCAAGACTAAAAAAAAGATGGTGGAGCGCCGCGTAGCTCTAGTATCTTCGCCGAGACTGTAATACAATCCAATTTCAATGTCATGACCCCGCACCGAAAACGTTTCGTATGTTCATGGCTACTTTGGAAATGTGATGCTGGCCCGATTACAAAAGGGGTGTGTTGAAAAAAACACTCACTTACGTCTGACCCTCGTAGCTCGCAAACCCGAGTAAATGGCCATGAAGTCGGGTATTGAAATACCCCCTTCTTTGCTTGCTGCAGAGGAGGACTAAGGGCGCGTTCATGATCAACTTGTTTTCCAAACATAGTTCGCGCTACTTTCCGTCTCTCTATCTCTCTCTCCGACTCTGTTTCTTTCAGGCTGCATGCCTCCTTCAGTCTCCCTCTCTCTCTCCTCTCTCTCCTCTCCTTTCTATCTATCTCTCCCTTCCCTAGTTCTCTGTCAATCCCTCTCTCCTCATGTTTATTTATGTCTGTCTCTCGATCCATTCCCCAGGTGTCCGTCTCTCTCTCTCTCTTCCCCTCTCTCCGAAATTTTAATTCTCTCTTCTCTCTTCTCTCTCTCTCTCTCTCTCTCTCTCTCTGGTTGGCGGCCGCTTTTCTTCTTCTTCTTCTTCTTCTTCTTCTTCTTCCTCTTCTTCGATCTTCTGTTTCTTCTTCTTCTTCTTCTTCTTCTTCTTCTTCTTTCTTCTTCTTCTCAGTCTATAGTGGCCTATAGTCTTTTTCTCCGAGTCGAAGCGACAGTCCTCGGGTTTTTCCTGGTTGAAAAACCCCATTCATAAATTATGAGTCCTCTAACTCGGGTTTTGAAACACCCCCTTCACCCGCGCATTGGTAATAACAAGAAAGTTCTCTTTACACTGCACTATTTAAAAAAAATTCTGTCTTGTGTCAGAAGCTTGTTATATTTTAATTGATATTAACATGTACTTTTATTATCAGTGAATACTCATGCAACTGAATTCAGCTTCTTAATGAGGACTAATTTCTGCGCGGGGACACTTCGTCCGCACATGTGGACAACTCAGGCTGCGTTCATGCTTAAATTTTGAAGGCAGAATGAGCGATCTGAAACGCTCATCGTAAACGCTCATCGTGATCGCAGTTCCACGATGTAGTGTTCATGCTTACTTCTCTGGCTCCCCAGGCAATTCTCCGTGTATGGCCTTAATTGGTCTTCCAGCTGGATTCGCAAACCTTCACTGTGCATGCTACGTAGACCCACTAGAGGTCAGTGCGTTGACCCCATTTAAACGCGTTTACAAATTGTAAACGCATCTTTTTGTGAGTTTACGATCGGCGATCGTGATCGCCGTTTTTCGGTGATTCTACAAAAGTGAGCATGAACGCAATCGTGTTTTAAAGGTAATACAAAGTTTTGGAAAATTTTGAAAATTGCGTGGATAGTGAATCTTTACAATTTTGACATATTTGGATGCCCCTGTGGATGTATTAAAAGCACTAAAAAATTAGCCCCTAAAACATTTCTGTTTTCGAGAAAAATTGAATATAAAAATTTACCGGTGCTCCCGGTAAATCTTGATAAATTGCAAACAGCGCATATGGCCGTACGATGGTAGCTGCGACCATGAAAATCTCAGAATATGTAGTTGTGATATAAAATTTCCAAACGGGAATAGCTAATCGGTCGATTTTAGTAAAGAAATATTGTTTCATAGCTAAATTAATATCTTGACCTTGAGAGGGAGCTATACAACATACAGAGTTTATTATTTATAATTTCACAACTTTAGACTCGATTTCAACCGCGACAACGATCACTGAATATTGTAGGAACGCATATGCTTCCAATATGTTAATTTGAACCAAATTCATGACCCCATACCAAAACTTTGTAATACCTTTAAACTAAACGCGTAACAGATGCCTGATTCTGGCCGTCAAAGGGCGCGTTCATGCTTGATTTTGAAGGTACAATGAGCGATCTGAAACGCTCATCGTAAACGCTCATCGTGATCGCAGTTCCACGGTGTACTGTTCATGCTTACTTCTCTGGCTCATCGAGGCAATTCGTGTGTGGCCTTAATTGGTCTTCCAGCTGGATTCGCAAACCTTCACTGTGCATGCTACGTAGACCCACTAGAGGTCAGTGCGTTGACCCCATTTAAACGCGTTTACAAATTGTAAACGCATCTTTTTGTGAGTTTACGATAGGCGATCGTGATCGCCGTTTTTCGGTGATTCTACAAAAGTAAGCATGGACGCAACCGTATTTTAAACTAAACGCGTAACAGATGCCTGATTCTGGCCAGAAAAAGTGAAGCATGAACACGCCCAAAATCAAGCATGAACGCGCCCTAAGTGCAGTCACCTTAGGGTTACTACCATTGACCTAGATGTCAGTGGTTACTATGGGGGTTACTATGGCGATCTGTCAATCTCTCTTCTCCCTTCCAGCAACGATCACTGGCAAAACCACATTGTTGACCTGGGGATCACGGGTTCTTGGCAGCCTCCCAATACCTCCATCCATAGACCTGGTAGGTCTATGCTCCATCCAAGCAAGAGGCAAGGGGGTATTTCAATTTTGCTACGAGGACTTTACGTCATATTGCTCTGGTTGTCTCAAAGCCAGCACAAACGTAGCTAGTTCGACGTCACTACCAAACTATAGCGAATCAGCTGTCAATGACGTCATATTGTATGAGGCGGCAAATACATTTTGTGAAATTATCGAAAAATTGACTATTTCTAATCGCACACTAGTTTTATTTCTGTATGGAAACGCAGCCATTGTTATCTTGGCATGCATTCATGTCATCAGAATAGGGTAAAATACATCTTACATGATTCAAGGGGTCTATTTTGCAGGATGTTCCACTATGTTACAGGGTGTGCCATTGGGTATGAGTGAACCGGGTTTGCGGAAATGGTGTGTCGGGGAGGGGAAGTGAGAGTGTTCGTGTGTGTGGTCATTGTATGTGTGTCAGATGGCTAATCATAAATTTACAATGACGAGTAAACTGTCTACATCACAGTCCACAGATAAATATGTGCCTTGAATGTATAGCAGACGGCAATCGGCGGAGCAGACGCCACTTGATAGTGATTTTTGTACGTGAGATTGCTTTGCTAAATATAAACTACAAGAACCTTTTCCATATCTTTAAACTATCATTGATATCTGATAATTAAACAGAGTTTAAATAAACCTACCAAACTACATAATACAATGAAATACTTGAATGAAAGTAGGGGATTTTGATTTGGTGCACAATTGCACCCCTCTGTAAATAATCGAATAGTCCATGGTGTGTCATGAATATTCATGTTTTTGCTTACCTCGGCAAAATGTTTGCCTAGATACTAAATGGAAAAAAATACGGTGGGGGGTTGGCTAAGGAGGACATAATGAACCAAGCAAAACTGATCTATGATAATTCATGCTTGTTATCCTTCGTGTGCTTGACCTTTAATCTTACAATCGCGTGGTAAATTGCGTCCAAAGTTCGACTTGTTACACATGCGTTATATATGCAATGGCGAGCTTGCGACCTATTTTGATCAAATTATGGTGGGTGAACTTTCAAAAGTCAATGGGACATGAGGGTTCCAATGAAAAAGCTAGTGTCAACGTACGTCGGGGTGGATGTGCTTTTCGATTTTTTTTGGGTAAAAGTCCATAATTATGCTAACACACGGTTAGGCTGCTGGACTCTGACGATAGGGGGCGTTGTCAAATGAGACTAATCGGAGCTATATGCGAAACCTCTTTTCACCGGGCCACCTCTGACACAGAAAAATACATATATCTTTGAAAATAAACAATTTGCAATGAAAAAATTATGCAGAGAGTAATATTATCATTCTGTATGTGCTCTGAATTTTTTAACAAATTTTTCTCTTTTCATCTTTTCATCGATAGCCGGGGATAGGGGGAGGGGTGCGATTTTCAAATGCTCACTACCCCCCCCCCCCCCCCTTTGAGCACCAGAGAAGGGGGGCCCGTCTTCTTCTTTTTTATAAAAGTGACCCTATACTCCTTTGGATGTTTATTTATAGTCCGCGAAAATATTTACAAATAGAGTTCTCATAACAATGCAAACAACGTTGTTTGAATTGTCTTGTTTTGTTCCATCCACTGACGTACTGGTGGGGGAGGGCTTGGTGGCGCTTTTTTCAATTCCATACAAGTGATGTATAAATGTTCGTGATTTCACATGATTTTGAATAAATTCGCTTTTCTCCATTTCTGTTGCAAACTGACACATTCCCTATTAGCCATATGTTTTTTTTATAGTCACTAATGGGCCTTAAAGTGGCCACTAATCATTCATGTGAGACCGCCCTAATCTGTATGGTCGATGAATTAGCAATGAATGTTTGATAAAGGGTACGTGAATGGATTAGCACTCATAGACTTACGCAAAGCGTTCGACATGGTAGATCACCGTATTCTCATAAGTAAATTAGCTAAATACGGTTGTTCTGATAAATGTCTCACTTGGTTTAGGTCCTATCTTAATGACAGAAAACAATATGTTTCAATGCAAAATAAAAAGTCAAACATCATGAATGTCAACACAGGAGTGGCTCAGGGTTCAATCCTTGGGCCCCTCCTGTTTACAGTCATGATAAACGATCTTCCCACGCATATAAGTAAAGGGAATGTTTATATGTACGCAGATGACACGACAATATCCGTTTATGGAAACAGTCCAACAGATATAGAAATCCAGCATAACAATGTAATGCAAGAAGTAAATGAATGGGTTGACAGAAACAAGTTGATCCCCAATCCAGAGAAGACCAAAGTCATGCTAATAGGCTCAAGGCAAAAATTACATCGATTTTCAAATCTAAAGTTGCATGTTACATTAAAGGGTAAATCTGTTGAATGTGTTGATGAATCTAGGTGTTTAGGTGTAACCATAGACTCTAGCCTTGACTTTAAGTTACATACTGAAAAGGTGTCTTTAAAGGTGAAACAAAAACTAGGTGTAAAATGAAGATTAAAAACATATTTTTCTACTAAACAATTATCTGATATATATTGGGGGTACATTATACCCATGTTCTTTACTGTTGTAATGTATGGTCGCGCAGAAGTGTCGGGAATTTCAATACCTTAAACAAATTACACAAAAGAGCTGCCTACATAGTATCAAATAAGTCATGGGATATACCGTCCCTTGATGTATTACAGTCACTATGCTGGCCAACTCTTGATAAATTGTTCTGGAAAACAATGTGCTGTTTAATGTATAAATGTGTAAATAGAATAACACCCGGAATCGTTTATGACAGATTTATACTCGTCGACGATGTTTCAAAACGAATAACTCGCAACACAGATAAGAAAATGTTGCGATTGCCAAAATGTAAAACAGAATTTTACAGGAAGTCATTCATTTATTCAGGGAGTGAAATTTGGAATGATCTTCCACTTGAACTTAAAGAAGCACAGAGCCTAGCATTCTTTAAGAGAGCTCTAAAAGAAAATCTCACATGATAAGGTGTTCTTCTGCATAGTTGATTTTTATCTTGACTTCATTTTCATTTTTTACTTGACTCCATTTTACAATGCTTATAATTATCATTAATTCTAAACTGTTGTTCTATTGTGCAAAATTATATTCAGTTAATGTATTCCTATGTTTCGGTTTAATTTATTTTCATAGTTGATTTTATCATTATCTATTCAGTTTTTGAAATGTTACTTTACTCCATTATCATATAATGTTTAATTTATTTTTCATAGTTGATTTTATCATTATCTATTCAGTTTTTGCCATGTTATTTGACTCCATTATCATACAATGCTTATAATTATCATTAATGAATTGTTGTTCTTTTGTGTAATATTATATTCAGTTAATGTATTCCCATGTTTTGTTTAACTTATTTTCATAGTTGATTTTATCATTATCTATTATGATTCAGTTTTGTCATGTTACTTGACTCCATTACCATATAATGCCTATAATTATCATTAATGAATTGTTTTTCTTTTGTGTAATCTTATATTCAGTTAATGTATTCCCATGTTTTTGTTTAATTTATTTTGTAGTTGATTTTTATTATTATCTAAACCATGCATATATTGTGTTAAATGTTTAATAGTCCGATATTGTACAGTTCTAATTGTAATTTATGTAATTTTTTAATGTGCTGTTTTTATAATCAGGGCTCTGTGGAAGACCAGGTTTTTATTTTTGTATACTGAACAGACTACCCTGAATAAAGAAGTGAAATAAATAAATAAATAAACTTACAGTAACACTTGTAAAAAATTCCTTTCAAAAAGCTACTGCGACAAGCACTGCCGGGAGATAACATGCTACCCACCACTCGGGCTAAGCATGCACAGATTTGCGAACGAGCGTTCCATATATGTAAATCATGTAACATTGCACATGTACCGTTAATGGGCCAGTTTTGAAACTGAATTCATACAAGGATTAAGAGTCGAGAACGGAACAACGAATCGTCTTCTTTCTCTAATAGTTTAATAAAACGTGAAAGTTCCGCGCTACTTAAGAGTAATAAATAAATGAAACGTCAAAGCTTTCGAGCTTCGCGCGGGAGGGGGGACACTGAATTCAGACAAGGACACGATACAGCGAATCGTCATTAAAAAATTTAAAAAAACAATCAAACGTGAAAGCTTCCGCGCTTTGCGCGGGATGGGCGAAAATGAATTCACCGTTCAGAAAAGGATTAAGAGTAATAATTTATTGAAACGTCAAAGGTATCGCGCTTCGCGCGGAAGGAGGTGGGAACTGAATTCAGACAAGGATTAAGAGTCCAGAACGGTACAATGAATCGTCTTCTTTCTGTATAAATTTAATGAATCATGAAAGCTTCCGCGCTTCGCGCGGGATGGGCGAATATGAATACAGACAAGGATTAAGAGTAATCATTTATTGAAATGTCAAAGCTTCCGCGCTTCGCGCGGGAGGGGGGGGGGAACTGAATTAAGACAAGGATTAGAACGGTACAATGAATCGTCTTCTTTCTAAATAAATGAAACGTCATAGCTTCCGCGATTCGCACGGGAGGAGTGAAACAAAAAATAAGAGTCGAGAACGGTACAATAGAAGTATCGTCTTCTTTCTTTTATAATTTAATAAAGTGCCAAAGCTTCCGCGCTTCGCCCGAAAGATGAAAAAAAGACAAATAACTTAGTTCCTGGCCCTGGGTTTATAGGGTTAAATTTGTAGACATTGGGACATTGGTATTCAATATATTTGTTTAGTTGGGGGCTCGTTTTGTTGGTAATCGGTGGCCTCTACACCACCCCCCCCCCCCCCTCCCCCACTGAAAAAGATCTAGCGACGCCCTTGATAACAACACAGTTTATACATTAGAGATAATTTTTGCAAGTACTACTGGTAAAGTACCGGACCACCGTCTTTGTGCATTATGCGGCAACGAAGCAGATACACTGTACAACGTCTCACGACGTGACAGATCACTTTTCTCTAACTTCTCTACTCTTGGAGGGGGTAGGAGAAAGCTATGTTACGTCATATTACTCCAGGAAGGGCCTGAAAATGCGTCTTATGTGGTTCTAAAATTGCAATTGCTCCCTCGATATTCACCCCCATGCAATTTTGTGCCCACCCCCGGTAAGAAATTCCTGGATCCGTCACTGATGCATATACCCCTTGAGCTTCGGGGGCTCCGTCCCTTGACCCCCTCTCGGGCTTTGCCCCTAGACCCCACTTTGAAAAACGTTCAGCGGGGCCTGCATGTTAAAGTGGGGGTGATGCGCATTTTTTTTGTTGTTGAAATGTTTGTGCCTGAACTCTTTACATTTTTGATGGCACAGGGTCTTGGGAGACAGGCTGAGATTTATACGAGAGTTGATGCGAGACGGGACATTCGGACACGTGACCGACAGATTACCAAGAACTTGGCGTCTCCAGAAGAAAACGCAAAATGAACAGTATGGTGAGCGGTAATGGTGCCGAGAATGTTGACAGACTATTTGTTTCGTTTCTCTTCCTTGTCATCATGTAATTGCATACCGTTTCATTTTTCCGATATCCTTTTGAATAAGAGAATGTTACATCACGAGTAAATTATTTTTGTAAATAAATATATTTGTGTATTATTTGATTATCTCCGTCCCAGGCCTACTCCTCATTTTAGTTTAATTAGGCCTAGCCTGTGAAAACTATTTTTCTTTCTTCTCAATTCTACTTTTTGTATCTACCGCTTCCACCATGGCTCCTCTTTCTCTCTCTCTCTCTCTCTCTCTCTTTATATATAGATAATATATTTGAAATGTGTATGTCTTCTTTGTGATGTTACCTTTAGATCTGTAGAGTCTTTTATATTCGTTTTCCTTTCTTTCTTTCCTTCTTTCCTATATCTGTCTCCCTCTGTGGCTCTGTCTCTGTCTCTCTCTGTCTGTCTCTCTCTCTCTCTATCTCTCTGTACCTCTGTATGGCTGTCTCTCTCTCTGTCTCTCTCTCTCTCTCGCTCTCTGTCTTTATGTCTGTCTGTCTGACTGTCTCTCTCTCACTCTCTCTCTCTCCATTTATATCGTTATACTTCCATTCTGCGGTCTGTCTCTTAACGTTTGTCTTCTTTTCTCTCATCCCACCATTAACGTTACTCAAGAAACTATGTCCAATCAGAGTAAATTTTTATGTTATTGTTACGGCCCTCCATCTTAGAACGGGTCCTGGATGCTGGAGGGCTGGCCTGTCCCTTGCCTCTATCACCGTCATCTGACGAAGAGTTTGCCATCCTTACTAATACGAGCGGTTTCTATTTGGCTTGTAGTTTAGAGGCCCGGACGTGGCTCCGTTTTCCCAAAGTATATGAGTGTGGAGATGATAGGTGTTTTGGATAGCTGGACATGTATCCTCTATGAGAGGGTTATATTACATCAGTCTATGGAGACTCAACTAATTACACGTTATGAAACGATGGATTGTTCAACTGTATACTTTATTAATACAAACATAAGTCAACTTCTCCAACACGTTATCATAGTTAACACCGACACCAATTACCTGGATTAATCTCAACAAGTAGTAAAGGCAGGGATTGCCTTTTGTAGGAACTCTATTTCTTGCTTCCAATCCTTTTCCTTATTTTAGCTCAGTTGGAGCAAAGCAGAGAGTTCGCTTTCTGACCAAGACGAGAGCAAGCGTCGAAGTGACGAAATTTCCGTCTAATACTGGTATTTATAGCCTCTGAGACGCTCTGAGAGCTGCTTTACGCATGGTGCGTCCGTAATCGCGCTCTGAGCCCTTACGCCCCAATAGCTTACTGCGCCCTCTACGTTTAAATTGTGGCGAACTGGTTCGTTACATTATTCTTTTTATTGTGAACCAAGCCGTTCCATACGGTAAATGTTAGCATATGTACGATCGTTTTACCACAAATAATATGAATATTTCTTTTAAGTATACATCACATAAGTACCTGGTCTCATGGCAACTTACATACACAATGTCATAAACAATGTTCATCAACGCAACGCTCAATGATAGTGAAGGAAAAAAATTGGTTTATGTAAAGAAATTTGAGTGATTGACAAACATGAAGAACATTATCACCGTTCCTTAAAGGTACTATGTCCCATTTGCAGGCCAAAAAAATGAAAAATTTAAATTCCAACTGCATTTGAAAGATAATACTAATTTAGAACTTCCCTTAAAAAGGTGGGGCTTGAAAATGTCTTCAAGTGGGAAAATAACGACTATTAGTTGTCAAATCGACTTTAGGGCTATAGAGCCCAAAAGTAATAGTCTTGATTTTCAGACGATTGTACCGAATGGTCAAACGTTTATTGCTGCGCAAAGATTCAATCACTTTAATCTTGGCCATCACAAGAAGTGTGTTATTGATGTAGACAAATGCTCATGTACCCTTTACAGCTCATTTTATGTATGTTATTACCAAAGAAGAAAACAAGCCAGTCACTCACTCAATAGTGTCTGACAGTGAAGTCTAGCAAGTAAACGGGTTTCCTTGCATAATTTGAATATGAGGACACTGCTAACGTTTAAATTTCACAGATAAGACATACATGACATATTCATAATTCCTGCAAAGTTCTACAGCATTTGAGGTTGGCTGCAAAAGGGACATAGTACCTTTAAGTCGTTTGCACATTTGAAATATATTATATTTTGAACAAAATTGGGTCATTACTTTCAAATGAAATTTTAATAATTTGTTTTGCACAACATTTAACAAAATATAAACATATTCAATTTAACGTGGATAAGCGTCCATCATTATATCGACACAATAGTTAGATAAAAACGCAAATGCAATTAAAAATGCATGAATTTTACGACATTTTTGTGATATTCCGACATTACATTGTTTTTACCAGCCGTCTCAGACAAAACATATAAATATATATATATATATCTTTAATTTAATACACGAAAGTTAACGCCCTTCTGTCTCTGACCAGACTTCTACATAATCATTTGTTTTCATTCTTGTCTGGCCGTTCCTGACGGTTTCATTAAATTTATATTTTATCGTGGCAATTTGGCATTAAAATATATGATTGCTGTATTGTTATGGTACAATATTGCATTATAAAGGAACATTAGCATACAACCACAAAAAACTGTCGTAAACAAATGACATCCCCTAACTAGTACTAGTATTGACGCATTTTACTTATAAGATCATGACATAATTTTGCCACCTTAAACCAGAGAGAGAAATGCTGTTTCCCAGTTTATTCATATTAGTTGCGAAACCCAGTGGCCTTAGACTACATGAAAATTCATTTTGATAAAAAGACAATAACTAGTCTTACAGATCGATTGCACGGTAGTCTGCTCTGAAGCCTCTATCATTAACAGACCGATCAGTTTTCAGAGTTAGTTCCATCCTGTTACCGATTGACACCAAAGAAGTGGCTGGATACTCATTTCCACACATCCTAGAGAGAGAAAATGGAAAAGAAGGAAAGGGAAAATGGTTAGCATTTATCATGAATTAAGGACTGCCGATACAAGTGAAACTATGATTTCAACAATGTATTAGGTAAGTTTGTAGTCAAAAAGTGCAGCTGAAATAAATTATTCTTTAAATGAGACATACATTTCATCAAAAACAAGTTTCACAAGCTTCGAAAATACATTTCTATACTTTTAGATATTTTAGCTATACTAAGCAAATTGCCATTTTGATTAATTGAAGAACTACAAGGAGGCAAACTTACTTCATAGGAACTTCGACACCATCTCCGAGATCGATGTCCAGTGTGTCCCAACTACACTCACTCTGCTTCTCCAGTGAGAAGTCTGTGAATGTCAATTCAACTCGACGATCAGCCTCCACTTCGATCACGTAGACACATTGTAGGTTATCATCGTAATTGTTTGGATAGTTTGGTGATGCTAATGAACCCTGGTTCTCAACAAAGTTTCCTCCACATGTCCCGATGACTGGAGGATTGGTAGTTGGAGGATTGGTAGTTGGAGGAGTGGTAGTTGGAGGAGTGGTAGTTGGAGGAGTAGTAGTTGGAGGAGTGGTAGTTGGAGGAGTGGTAGTTGGAGGAGTGGTAGTTGGAGGAGTGGTAGTTGGAGGAGTGGTAGTTGGTATATCAGTGGTAGAACCACCCTGGATGACGTAAGTAGCTCTGAAACCACGCCCAGTGACGCTGTAATCAGATGTGAAAGAAATCAACATCTGGTTGCTACTAGAGATCTGGACAGGAGGTAAGGTGTTACCACAGAACTTCTCTCCGATACTGCTGATGTCGTATTCGTGTACCTCGACGGCATCGTAGCTACAGAGACTGTTGCGTTCGATGTCCATGTCTACGAATGTGAGCTCGATCGAGCTTCCTGGAGCACCCTGTTAAGATGATAAAGGAGAAAGTGTTCACCAATTTAGAAATCTTTTCATTACGCATGTGTCCTTCTATTGATAGTATATTGACGTACATCTGCCGAACCTTTTTTTTCCAAAGAAAGATGAGATGTATTGATAAATAAAGTAGTTCATTATTTTGTAGAAATAATTATTAACATTTGATATCATTGTGTTGTAGATAGGATGTTATTGGTAATTTGGTTATATTTAATCACTTGAATCCAAAACAGTAGACAAATTGAAACCAAAACTCACCTCAATAAGGTACATGCAATCTTGATCGTTGTCATAGTTACTTGGGTAGTTTGGTGATGCTAATGAACCCTGGTTCTCAAAAAAGTTTCCTCCACATGTCCCGATGACTGAAGGATTGGTAGTTGGAGGAGTAGTAGTTGGTATCTCAGTTGCAGAACCACCCTGGATGACGTAAGTAGCTCTGAAACCACGCCCAGTGACGCTGTAATCAGATGTGAAAGAAATCAACATCTGGTTGCTACTAGAGATCTGGACAGGTGGTATTGTGTTACCACAGAACTTCTCTCCGATACTGCTGATGTCGTCTGTGCGTACCTCGACGGCATCGAAGCCACAGTCATTCTCGTTTTCGATGGCCATGTCTACGAATGTCAGCTCGATCGAGCTTCCTGGAGATCCCTGTTTAGATGAGAAAGGAGAAAAATGTTTACCAAATTTAGAAATCATTTCATGACACATTTGTCCTTCTACTCGTAGTAAATTGACGTACATCTGCCAAACGTTTATTCCGAAGAAAGATTAGATCCTTTATATTTCATTTTTGTAGAAATAATTTGTTTAAACTTGATATAATTGTGCTGTAGATAGGATGTTATTGGGTTGGTTATCTTTAATCATTTAAATCTAAAGCAGTAGACAAATTGAAACCAAAACTCACCTCAATGAGGTACATGCATTCCTGATCGTTGTCATAGTTACTGGGGTAGTTTGGTGACGTAATCTCTCCCTGTGTATCAGTCAATCTTTGGATACATGGTGGTGTGGTGGTAGGTCCACTAACATCCTGACACAAGTCACCGCTGTAACCTGGAGGACACACGCAGTTACAGTCGATATTATGGTATCCACCATTCTGACATTGTTCCGTGGTCGAACATTCATTGTCGCACTCGTAGATGAGGTTGGCTAGTGTGATGTCGGCAGTACTAAGACCCTCTCGGTTACCAAGGAGATGCATTTGAAGAGGATCAATGGTGGTGATAGTTGGTTGATTGTTCACTGAGAATCCCTGTAGAAGAAAATTAAGAATCAGACGTTACCAATGTGATCAAGTGATACTATGAAGATTAATTTACTGGGGAAATCATGACAAAACATGACTATTCTTACGAATTAGTAATCGGTACGTCAGTCCACTGGGCACAAGTTTGGACTACTTCAATGTGGATACTTTAAAATGGATGTAATGCTGTCCAGAATGACCCGTAAGAACTCGCAAAAAACGTTAATCCATGATACAATATTCACATTTATGTTTCAGGTTATTAATCATTGATTGATCTTAGTCAAAGTTAAATGTCTTACATGTGATCCGTAGTGCATGACGGAGCCTACATCGTAGTCGACGTTGCGTGTCGTGACTTCGTTCCAGTCATACTTTTCGAAGTTGTGTTCGTAGCCGGATTCGATGTTTTCAAAGTGGACATTGATGTATTCGTCTCTGTCTGGTCGAGACTGCTCGTGATGGAACCCGATGGCGTGTCCGATCTCATGAGCAACAATACCGAGCTGTTATTAAAGAGAACAAAAGAGAAATAATGTTATTATTATTATATATCAGTGTTGCATGTTATTTATAGGTTAGATACTACGAAAAGTGTATATCAGCGCTTTTATTTTTACAAGCAAACATACACTGTCGCTCATATAGGTGGAATATTTTTGTTTTACCCCAATTTATGGAATTATTTTTAGAATAATTTAAAAATAATAGATCTAGATAATAGTATACATCTTTAGATTTTATTGAATAACAATTTGCCAAAGTGTTTTTTGCGTGACTGCTTAAGCATGTGTATGCTACTATGCTGATCAACTAGGAGACCTACGCCCTCAAGTCATAAATGACAGTAATGAGGATTAATGCCCCACAAAAGGGCACTAATATAGCACATCGACACGGTTTTGATCCTGGGGCCTCACAGATACGAGGCCATTGCTCTGTCACTGAACCATGACTGTACGCAGCGGGGGCTAGGGTAGGGGGCAGTTTCCATAAATTAAAAAAAAACAGAAAATGCAATAAATTTTCTATAATTTATTGCATTTTACCCCGGTCCCCAACATAAAAAATTCCTCTGGACGGCAATGCATTACGGCTCAAGGCATGGGCACACACAGGATTTTTTATGTTGGGAACTTTTGTGGGGCATTAATCCTCATTACTGTCATTTATGCGTTAAGGGCGTAGATCCCCTTGTTGCTAAGCATAGCATCATACACATGCTTTAGCAGTCACGCAAAACACACATTGGCAAATTACTATTCAATAAAATCTGAGAATGTATACTACTATCTAGATATATTATTTTAAATTATTTTTAAAATAATTCCATAAATTGGGGTAAAACAAAAAAATCCAACTTTATGAGCGACAGTGTAGTAAGCTTTAATGATCATAAATTGGAATACGAGATTTCTTGAACGATACCTTTTGTGCATTTAAAAAAAGATGTATTCCATCTTCTTTTGTTTTTCTTTGTTTCGTTCTTAATATCGATCTCTTTTCTCCCTTTTCTTTTATGAATTAACATTTTCAAGAAAAAACAAATATAATAAGTTGCAAAAGGACTTACGTATTCACACCCTGAACCGATGGAGATCTGTTGTTCACCATTGGCGGCCCTTCCTACATAGGACCAGCAACCATCACCCTTGATGAAAGAAAGATAGGTGTTATGATTTAGCTGACTAGCATGTGATGAAGTTCGTGGTTCGAATCTCAGACAGGTAGACTGCTCCCAGTGGTCCATGGCTGCACGAATCACCTGAGCATCATCACCTAAACAGATGAAAATAAAAACAGGTAAATAATATTAGTGACGAAAAATAACAAACGACAACCAACGCCGATTCGCAAATATGCTCCTGTTATATTGGCGCTGCTCAGTGGTTGCCGAGCTCACGATCAATTGAGCAAAAAGAATTTCCATTTTCGGTTTAATAAACTTTGGAGTGGACTTTAAAAGATTATTATTATTATCATAATTATAGTTTCAATGTTATGTTTTGCTGTTGAGTGTTAATTTCATTTCAAAGTATGATACTTTAAGAGACTTGATACGATTTTTCATCCTTGATATGTTTTGTACGTTTCGAAACTAATTTTTTTCTTGAAATGTAGATTTATTGAGAGCTTGATTAATTATGATGTCTTTCGGTACTTACTTGAAGATGGTGTGATTTCATAAGGAACGATGTTGAAGGTCCAACGAGCATTCTCATTGATGTCAGCTTTTCTCTTCTTACGACCAGTCTTCAGATCATCGATGGCCTCTTTAACTTTTTTCAGCTGATCTTCTGTTAACATCATGTCTCCTTCGAAGGCTCCAGGAGTCGGCTCCTCATCCTTAGGCTCCTGGTGTGATGCTGCTAAGGGTTTCTTGGTCATTGGTCCTGAATCGGGCTTCTTTGGAGGGGGTTTCTTTGGAGGGGGTTTCTCCTGTAGGAAGAAATAACATAATTCTTTTGATACAAGTTTGCTCTTACAACTTGAACCAAAATGCGTCTGTTCGTTGTGAAAGTTAAATGTTTGTCTTCACTATAATAACATGAAGTCAAATGCCAACAAAGACGTGAGAAAATCTATATTTATTGAAAATTATGAAGAAGGGCCGCAAATGAGGGTGCTCAGTGGGCTTGAGTACATTTTAACATGCATTAATCAAATATCATTGGAACCCCATCTTCGAGAAGTCGAACTAAAATATTAAACAAAGCTTTTAAAGCTGAATGGAATAGAGTCTGATGCTCAAACTCAAATGAAACTTACCTCTGGTTCTTTCTTCTGCAGACCTGTTGGAGCAGCAAAGATGCCTTGCGCTATAACAGCGAAGACAGTCAGTAAAAGTAAGAGTTTCATCTTGATGAGTTATAGAGATGTGAATTGGTAAAAGCACTTTGGTAGACTTATAATATGTCGAGTAGGTGATTTCTTGTAGTATGTTCAAGCTCTTGGTGCCGTTAACTTTTCTGAGTTGAAGTTTCTCGCGTCTTGTTTGTCGATCTTCTTCGCTTTCAGTCAGTTGTCTTCTTTCTCTGCTTCTCTTCTGTTGGTAGACTCTTGGTCTGTGTCTGATTAGCCTGAACATCTCTCCTCCTTTTTATACCCTTCCAGTCCGGTCCGGTTCCTGATTTTTTGAGACCACTCTTGCGTACAACGAACAAAGGTGGTCTCGAGTTAACCTGATCAATGACGTCATGATACAACTTATGTTGCTATGCAATAAACCGCATTATAATTATGCAGCAGCACGCTTATATTATGTATTTACTGATCATTTTCATAGAACCATCATTCAATTTTTTCACTCCAGCCTTGCACCGGCCTATCATCAAAAGATTATATGGAACTATGAATCATTTCAAGATATGATTCTTGTGATATTATATCAAATATACTCAAACTGTATATCATTTCAAAACGAACACATTTTTGTTCATTATTTGTTAAAATAGTGTGAAATAAAATGCCACGTCTATTGGGCATTACTTTCATTTGCAAAACAGTCAAGATGAAATACACTACCCTTATTACACGTTATCGAATAACAAAGAACACAACAGTAGCTCCATGGAACGCAGTACAACACAATATATATATTTTATTATCTGTAAAAGGCTTCCAAGTGGTACAATAGATCAGTGTATTTAATATCTTTAGTGCAGTACCCGGATGACAGATCAATATTATATTTGTATTTCTCTGTCATCCGGGAACTTCAACTGTCGATACAATATTGCTTGATTATCGAAAATCAACACTTTCGGTGGTATCCGGTCACTGGACCTAATAGTATTTTTATTTCGCTAGTCAGCCTGATAAAGATAATCATAATAATATTGTATGGCTTTCTTTTCGTGTGATACTATATAAATATTACGTATCCGGACACCTAGCCCCTGGACATCCACTCTAAGGATAACCATCCCCAGTCAACTACCCCCTAGGACAACTACCTACTAGGACAACTACCCCTAGGGCAACCATCCTCTAGGATAACTACCCCCGGGACAACTACCCTCCGGACAACTACCCCTCAGACAACTACCCCCTGAAACAACTACCCCAGAAACCTACCCCCCAGGACAAATACCCCCTATGATAGTCGTCCGGGGGTAGTTGTCCTAGAGGATGGTTGTCGTAGGGGGTAGTTGTCTGGGGTAGTTGTCTTGGGTAGTTGTATGTGGGTAGTTATCCGGGGGTGGTTGTCCCGGGGATAGTCGTCGTAGAGGGTGGTTGCCCCAGGGTGCATCCTAGTAGGTAGTTGTCCAAGGGGGTAGTTGACTGGGTGTGGTTAACCGGGGGGTGTCCAGGGGGTAGGTGTCCTAGAACCAAATATTGTCATAGCTCGAGCAATATATTCTTGTATCACACTCAAAGCCATTCAATATTATACAAATACATTATATATAAGTTGGAAAGGTTAAACTTTATTGGTAAGAGCTGTACAGACTGTTTCACCAGAAGGCTCATCAGCAACCAAATACATTTTATACACGGCAATGTTAAAATACTCATGTGCAGTCAGACAAGAATACAAAGAGACACAAATAATACCCAAGTAAGGGCGAATGCAATAATACAATAGTGGAATTAAGTGGCTTAAGGGTAAGGGGGAAGGTCATGTGGTATTGGGGGGGGGGGGTTAACCATATTCAGAGAGTAGAAACTTTCTCTTATGTTTACATGTGGAAATGAGTTCGGTTCTAGAGTTCAGGATGGTGGATTTCTCAGCAGTGATAATGTGGTACTTTTCCCATAGGCAGAGGTTGCAGCGATTTGTTCTGGGTGAGTATGGTTGGGCGTGCCGGATGATTCTTCATGATATTGTGTAGAGTGTCCCGTCGTCTTTCAGCATCCAGGTGTGTTTGCTTAGCTCTGTCTGGTATCTCTTTTCTTGGTGGGTGAAGCTTGTTTTGTGAGTTGCATATCTGGCTTTGAAGGAGGTGGATGTGAGTCCAACGTAGAGTTTCTCATCGTTGGGGGTCACAACCTTGGCTTCATAGAAATTCCATATATTTTTCAAAAAGTGGAATGAAAAGAAAAAGGCTTTTAAAAGAAGGGGGCCGGAACTATATCGGTATTATGAAACGAGCATTTTTCTAAAGGAAAGAATATAAGTAGGGCACAAGTCAAAAATCATAATGACGTCATTGAACAAAAGATCTGTTCATGATGAGACATTTTTCACATCACCTCGCCGTTGAGTTCTGTGGAGCGAATACAAATAAAGGTCGCTCTAAAAGAACGAACGGGATATCTGTGGTGAGATTTCATTCGCGTGATTGGGCAGAGAATAAAAGATTGCCTGCCATTGTTTTTTATTGTTTGTTTTTAAACCGAAAGTTACATATTTCTTTTTAAAAAAAGTGAAATGACAAGGAAAAGGCTTTTAAAAGAAGGGGACCGTAACTATATCTTTATTATGAAATAGGCATTTTTCTAAAGGAAAGAATAAAAGGTAGGGCATAAGTAAAAAAAAAAAAAAAAAAAAAAAAAATCATGATGACATCATTAAACAAAAGATCTGTTCATGGTGTGGTTTCTTCACCAGACCTCGCTGTTTGAGTTCTGTGGAGCGAATACAGAAGAAAGTTCACTTTAAAGGTAGGGTGAAAACCCAAACATAAGTTGTTTCCTGTAAATGTGCAGAGCTGCATACAACTCATATTTCTATTTTTTTAAGTCAGGCATCATTTCGAATCAATAATCTTATTTCTTATTTATTTAATATCCTGGCAATAAAGATCACACGATAACATACATAGAGAGTGATGGTAGGCATGGACGCAAAGAATAACAATAATCAAGAAAGAAAGAAAAGGACAGGCGTAAGGATTTTCCAAAAGAAAGTATGTACAAGGGCTATCGTCACTCCTCATTTTCAATTTTTAAATGTTTTAAAATGATAACTATTATAAAAGGCCAATAAAATTAAATGATATCTGTAAAATGGTACTTTCATAATACAAGTCGATACAGAACTTCGTGTTTCAGTGCTTTTTGCAATATAATATTTCAAAAATTGCATTTTGTTTCCAATAAAGAAATAATGTATTGATTGTCTGAGCAAAAATATCTTAATAATCATAATTCTTATTTATGCAGTATCCAGGCAAATTACATCAAACGAGAACATACATAGAGATTGATGGTAGGCCTTTATACAAAGAACTGTTATCAAGAAAGAAAAAAAGATCATATTCAAAAGAAATAATGTACAAGGGTTATCGTCACTCCTCATTGGCAATCTGTTAATTTTTTAAAATGCAAAAAGTAAATGCCTCCCCCCCCCCCCAAAAAAAAAGAGAACATACATACAGAGGACATATGGTAAAAGGGGCGTTTTCTTCGTGGCACAATAATTTTCAGAGAAGCCAAATATCACGAGATTGTGGCTACGTGCCGTTGATCCCTAACCCAGACGTTATTGCATTAGGCAGGGATTTCTTAAAAAAGCAGTTCCACTGGCTTCTAGGGGCTTCCAGTGGAACTGATTAAAACTACCCTGTTGAAAGAAATCATGAATAAATGAAATAAATCTGGCAATACTGTAAATCGTCTGTTGAGAGCCAACAATAATAATTAAACACAAACTTAACGCCTTCCTGGTGTATGAAGTGGGTGTATTATAGATGCTTCCAAAGAGATTCGATCATACACAGTGAAATGTTGCAACATGCATTGTTATCTGTCAACAGTGAATACTTCATTTGTTTTTTTGTAGGATTTATTGTGTTTAATGATACTGAGGAGTTCATGTATGAATGGAAACGATGTATTTTTTTTATTCGGTGAATGAATCATGTTCTAAATGATGTTGAGGTCGTCATTCATGAAGTGATATATATTTGTTTTTACCTTCTGTTTGGAAGATGAAATGTGTTTTTATCGACCGATTTTCATTGTGTTTGAGTTTCATACACATTTTTGCAAGTTTATCAGTTTTCCACTCAAACAAACTCTCAATCTTTCATAAGTACAGTGGAACTTCTCTCCACAATAGTACAATGAACTCTCTATCATTGAAACAAATGCATGTATAAAGCTTGAATACAGAATTTGAAAACTAAGTCTTTCATGAGGAAAACGTCTATTTCAAAATAATGTAATTGTTCATGTTTTACTCCATTTTGAAACTAGGGCACGTATTCAATAATTCCTGTCTGTATCTATATAGCTGCGAGTGGTTTAGTGTGGCGTTGGACTCGAAATCCAATGCAGGGGTCTCCCCGTATTTGATCGAGTTGTCTGGTGTTGTCTGAAGTAAGGGCATAGATAATATTATCTTTGTCAAGTCCGTCAGACGATATTATCTTTGTCAAGTCCGTCAGACGATATTATCTTTGTCAAGTCCGTCAGACGATATTATCTTTGTCAAGTCCAGGCAGTTGATATTGTCAATGTCAAGTTAGGTAAGTGGCGGATCCAGGATTTTCCAATAGGGGGAGGGATTTCCAATAGGGTGAGGGGGCGGAAATTTGAACATCGCGCCGACCGTTATTTTCACTTACTGGCTGAATCAGTTTGCAACTTCAATTTTTAGCTGGATTACAGGTGCACGCCACAACGCCTAGGGGTCGGGGTCTGCTTTTTGTGTACTTTTGACTTTGCCCCCCCCCCCTCCCCCGTGAATCCGCCTGAGTCAAATACCATTCACAATAGGGACTTTTAGATTGAGTAGACGAGAACACGACGTACGCCGACTGATCATGCGTGTCAACGTACTCAACTGCCCATGTTGACTACAATTAGAAATCTTTTAGATTGCACTCGACGATATACATGCATGCAGGAAGTAACACTATAAATTACTTGACAGACAAAGAAAGAGGACAAAATATACGGTTCCTCATATTACCCACAACAATAGGCCATTTTCTTAATGTGACCAAATTTAATGCATAGGTCTTTGTGAAGTGCCTCAATACAAATTATTTCATTCACCTGATAGGAATAGTAGTATTTCAATAGTCGGAATGCAACTGCATATATTAAGTGTTCCTAGGTAGGTCAAGCCATAATGTTTTTCCAACGTGGCAACAACGAATGTATGCAGTTAGGATTCTGTCTATTGAAATACTATTATTCTTATCAGGTGAATGAAATAGTTTGTATTGAGGCACTTCACAAAGACCTATGCATTAAATTTGGTTACATTACGAAAATGGCCTATTGCTGTGGTAGAGCATCCCTTCACTGCTATTATGAAAAATGTGTAGAACAGGTGAATATGCATGTGACACTTGTTCTACACATTTTTACATAATAGCAGGGAAGGGATGTTCCTTTGTCTACCCGAGGAACTGTATATTTTATGCGCACGCGGCATATACTAGTACCGTACTAGATTTATGAAAATCAAGGTTGACGCATTCTCGATCGCCGACTGAGACGACGTGACGCATGCGCAGTGCCTTAAAAAATGACGTCACACGTTGCAGTCAAAGCTGTAAACGTGCAAATCTAAAAGTCCCTATTGGGAAAGACGATGCGGGTCTCCTCTCAGCTGCTTGATATAAACGATAAACTGGAATTGCAGACTGATCCGCAATCCCTTTTCTGTAAAGCAGAAAAAAGACAAATCATTGAACAAAAGATCTGTCCACTAAAAAAGGTAGGGCTTGAAAATGTCTTCAAGTGGGAAAATAATGACTATTAGTTGTCAAATCAACTTTAGGGCTATAGAGCCCAAAAGTAATAGTCTTGATTTTCAGACAATTGTACCTAATGGTCATACGTTTTATGCTGCGCAAAGATTCAATCAGTTTAATCTTGGCCTTCACAAGAAGTGGGTTATTGATGTAGACAAATGCTCATGTACCCTTTACAACTCTTTTCATGTATGTTATGATCAAAGAAGAAAAAAGGCCAGTCAGTCACTCAATAGTGTATGACAGTGAAGTCTAGCAAGTAAACGGGTTTCCTTGCATAATTTGAATATGAGGACACTGCTAACGTTTAAATTTCACAGATAGGACATACATGACATATCCATAATTCCTGCAAAGTTCTACAGAATTTGAGGTTGGCTGCAAAAGGGACATAGTACCTTTAAAGACATGAGCCGGAATGAAGTTCACATTGAATTGAATTAAGTAAATAAAGATAGGCAAATCGGTGCGAGGACACCTACCCCCTGGACATCCACCCCCGGATAACCACCCCTAGTCGACTACCCCCTAGAAGAACTACCCCTAGGGCAACCACCCTCTAGGACAACTACCCCGGACAACTACCCCCGGACAATTATCCTAGGTGTCCGGGAGGTATTTCAACACAACCCTTGTGAAAGGTCACAGATACTCCATGTGCAAAGTGAGAACATCCACACGGTCAACTTACCCTACCCTCCAGGGCTAGCTCTAAACATGACCTTTACGCCGACTAGCTCTAAACATGACCTTTACGCCGACTAGCTCTAAACACGACCTTTACGCCGACTAGCTCTAAACACGACCTTTACGCCGACTAGCTCTAAACACGACCTTTACGCCGACTAGCTCTTAACATGACCTTTACGCTTACTAGCTCTAAACACGACCTTTACGCCGACTAGCTCTAAACACGACCTTTACGCTGACTAGCTCTTAACACGACCTTTACGCCGATTAGCTCTAAACACGACCTTTACGCTGACTAGCTGTAAACACGACCTTTTCGCTGACTAGCTCTTAACATGACCTTTACGCTGACTAGCTCTAAACACGACCTTTACGCTGACTAGCTCTTAACACGACCTTTACGCTTACTAGCTCTAAACACGACCTTTACGCCGATTAGCTCTAAACACGACCTTTACGCTGACTAGCTGTAAACACGACCTTTTCGCTGACTAGCTCTAAACACGACCTTTACGCCGACTAGCTCTAAACATGACCTTTACGCCGACTAGCTCTAAACACGACCTGTACGCCGACTAGCTCTAAACACGACCTGTACGCCGACTAGCTCTAAACACGACCTGTACGCCGACTAGCTCTAAACACGACCTGTACGCCGACTAGCTCTAAACACGACCTTTACGCCGACTAGCTCTAAACACGACCTGTACGCCAACTAGCTCTAAACACGACCTTTATGCCGACTAGCTCTAAACACGACCTTTACGCCGACTAGCTCTAAACACGACATTTACGCTGACCTTACCATACCGACTAGCTCTTAACACGACCTTTACGCCGACTAGCTCTAAACACGACATTTACGCTGACCTTACCATACCGACTAGCTCTTAACACGACCTTTACGCCGACCAAAATTGCCATCGTGTGAACACGGCTAATAAAATCTACTTTCTGACTAGATGCCTAATTGCTATGTCAGGTAATCAGGCATGCAAGTCAGGCAGACATCAAACAAAAGCTACAAATTCACTTCATTACAACTCTCAATTTAAATAAGCCCATGATTTTTGCGTAATATGAGTTGGAAAAAAACAGTTGCATCAAAGGTAATACAAAGTTTTGGAAAATTTTGAAAATTAGCCGGATAGTGATTCTTTACAATTTTGATAAATTTAGATGCCCCTGTGGATTCATTATAAGTACTAGAAAATTTAGCCCCTAAAACACTTCCGCTTTCGAGAAAAATTAAATATCAAAATTTACCGGTGCTTAATAGCGCTTACGTCCATACAATGGTAGCTGCGACCATGGAAATCTCAGAATATGTAGTTGTAATATATAATTTCCAAACGGGAATAGCCAATTGGTCGATTTTAGTTAAGGAACATTGTTTTGTTAATGTTGTGTTATGGCTTAATTAATATCTTGACCGTGAGAGGGAGCTGCGCAACATAAAGAGTTTAGTATTTACAATTTCATAACTTTAGACTCGATTTCAACCGCGACAACGATCACTGAATATTGTAGGATCGTATATGCTTCCAATATGTTCATTTTAACCAAATTCATAACCCCATACCAATAATCTGTATTACCTTTCACTAATTCACGTTGCTGGGCGTCGATCGCTCAACAATTGTCTTAAAAATGTCGTAGCTAGCCCTATATATTAGATCTCTCCAAAAGAGCTCTATGAAGAAAAAAAAAACTATCATCAACTATCAAAATTTTTAAAAAGAGGAGTACTTTTATTCAAAGAATTTATTATAATGATATAATTATTGAAGAGCCACAAAGGATAGCAAAAGGTTTTATCACATATTTTGCAAGTGAAAATTGGGAAAATTTAGCAAATTCTATTGATTCTTCACCTAAACATTTCTCATCTTTCCTAGAAGAAAGAAATCTACATTCAATATTATGTATCGCCTATTCTTTAACATGAACAAATTGACATCGTCAAATAATTTACGGTTTAGATGATTATCATACGTGAATTTACCTCTCTGTCTGTCTTTCTCTCTCTCTCCTTTCTGCCTGTCTGTCTTTCTCTCTCTCTCTCTCTCTCTCTGTATACCTCTGTATGTTTCTCTCTCTCTCTCTAAGTCGCTCTTTTAGTTTCTGTGTGTGTGTGTGTCTCTCTGTTTTCTGCCTGTCTGAGGCTGTCTGTCGGTCTCTCTCTCTCTCTCTCTCTGTACCTCTGTATGATACTCTCTCTCTCTCTCTCTCTCTAAGTCGCTCCCTCTGTGACTGTGTCTCTCTCTCTGTCTCTCTCTCTCTCTCTCTCTGGGAACATAATATGTATGTCTGTCTCTCTCTCTCTCTCTCTCTGCCTCTCTGTGTCTCTTTCTCTCTCTGTCTTTCTCTCTCTCTCTCTCTGTGTCTCTCTCTGTCTCTCTGTCTTTCTCTCTCTTTTCTCTCTCTGTCTCTCTGTCTGTCTCTCTCTGTGTGTCTCTCTCTGTCTTTCTGTCTGTCTCTCTCTCTCTCTCTCTCTCCAATTATATCGTTATACTTCCATTCTGCGGTCTGTCTCTTAACATTTGTCTCCTTTTCTCTCATCCCACCATTAACGTTACTCAAGAAACTATGTCCAATCAGAGTACATTTTTGTATTATTCTTTTTTAATTGTGAACCAGCCGTTCCAGACGGTAAATGTAAGAATATTTACGATTCATTTCATCACAAATAATATAATTCTTTCTTTTAAATATACATTGAATAAGTAAATATTCTCATGGCAACTTAACTACATAATGTTATACACAATGTTCCGCAACACAATGCTCATTGATAGTAAAAAAAAAAAAAATTAAAAAAAAAAGAAATGTTAGAAAATAACGCTGACAAAAGAAAAAGTTTTTTTATAATCTACGTTTAGGTTAAGACATTTGAGTGATTGTCAAAGATGAAGAAAACTATCGCCGTTCTTTGAGTCATTTGCACATTTGGATTATATTATATTGTGAACAAAACTGGGTCATTGCTTTCAAAAGAAATGTCGAGAATTTGTTATGCACAAAATTTTAAAAATATATAAACATATTCAAATCAACGTATAAGCGCTTATCATTATATCGGCACTTAAAGGAGATAAAACGCAAATTCAATGTAAAATTCATGAAGTTTACGACATTAGTTGATATTCATACATTACATTGTTTTCACCAGCCGTCTCAGACGAAACATATATATATATATATATATATATATATCTTTAATTTAAAAAGATAATACAGATACAATTAACAAGTAGGAAATATGAGTAGACATTTTTATCAGAATAGCTACAAGCACTATTTACTCTAATTTTTCAGTTCTTAAGCACATACAATGGAGTTCTAACAATTATGATAATAGATAAACTTAAAGAAAAATACAGATATTCTTCTAGATACACATGTATAATTAAAGTATTATAATCCGTTTATTTTTGTTCTCCAATACACAAAGGTTAACACCCTTCTGTCTCTGACAAGACTAATAAATAATCTGTTTTTGTTTATTCTTGTCCAGCCGTTCCTGACGGTTTCATTAAATTCATATTAAATCGTGGCAATTTGGCATTCAAATAAATGATTACTGTACTGTTATTTAATACTATTGCATTAAAAAAGAACATTAGCTTAAAAACAAAAAAAACTGTCGTAAATGCATGACATCCCCACACATATAGTACTGACGCATTTGACTTATAATATCATGATTACATTTCGTCACCGAAACCAGAGATAGAAGTGCTGTCTCCGAGTTGGTTCATATCAGTTGCATGTAACATTTTCGAAATCTAATGGCCTTAGACTACTTTTTATATAAAGACGATAACTAGTCTTACAGCTCGATAGCCCGGTAGTCTGCTCTGAATCCTCTATCATTAACAGACCCATCAGTTTTCAGAGTAAGTTCCATCCTGTTACCGATTGACACCAAAGAAGCGGCTGGATACTCACTTCCACACATCCTAGAGAGAGGAAAAAAGAGAAAGAGAAAGAAAAGAAAGAAAATTGGTTAGTATTCATGGTGGATTTACTGGTTGTCGATATACAACGAACGCACATCATCCATAATTGTATTTAAAACACAATAGCAATTATACGAAGTCTAAACAAAGATTTCAACTATGTTAAATAGATCGGTCTGGCGACGAGATTATCAAGTTAAATCAATTATTATTTAAATGAAATTTAAAGTTTTATCAAAGACTTGTTTTACTAGCTTCTGAAATACATTTCAATACTTCAAACAAATTTGGTGGATTACAGAACTACCAGAAAGCAAACTTACTTCATAGGAACTTTGACACCATCTCCGAGATCGATCTCCAGTGCGTCCCAACGACAAGTACTCTGATTCTCCAGTGAGAAGTCTACGAATATCAACTCAACTCGACGACTAGCCTCCACTTCGATCACGTAGACACATTGTAGGTTATCATCGTAATTGTTTGGATAGTTTGGTGATGCTAATGAACCCTGGTTGTCAACAAAGTTTCCTCCACATGTCCCGACGACCGGAGGATTGGTAGTTGGAGGATTGGTAGTTGGTGGAGTGGTAGTTGGAGGAGTGGTAGTTGGTATCTCAGTGGTAGAACCACCCTGGATAACGTAAGTAGCTCTGAAACCACGCCCAGTGACGCTGTAATCAGATGTGAAAGAAATCAACAACTGGTTGCCGCTAGAGATCTGGACAGGGGGTATTGTGTTACCACAGAACTTCTCTCCGATACTGTTGATGTCGTCTGTGCGTACCTCGACGGCATCGTACCTACAGAGATTCTCGTTTTCGATGTCCATGTCTACGAATGTCAGCTCGATCGAGCTTCCTGGAGCTCCCTGTTTAGATGAGAAAGGAGATAAATGTTTACCAAATTTAGAAATAATTTCATTACATTATTTTGTCCTTCTACAGATACTATATAGACGTACACTTAATTCTTTTACACTTAAAGTAAAGTACTTTATAACTTTGTAGATTTTGTTTTACTCGATAGAATTGTTTTGTAGATGTTATTGGTTTGGTTATCTTTAATCACTTGAATCTAAAGAAGTAGACAAATTGAAACCAAAACTCACCTCAATGAGGTACATGCATTCTTGATCGTTGTCATAGTTACTGGGGTAGTTTGGTGACGTAATCTCTCCCTGTGTATCAGTCAATCTTTGGATACATGGTGGTGTGGTGGTAGGTCCACTACCATCCTGACACAAGTCGCCGCTGTAACCTGGAGGACACACGCAGTTACAGTCGCTATCATGGTATCCACCGTTCTGACATCGCTCCGTGGTCGAACATTCATTGTCGCACTCGTAGATGAGGTTGGCTAGTGTGATGTCGGCAGTACTAAGACCCTCTCGGTTACCAAGGAGATGCATTTGAAGAGGATCAATGGTGGTGATAGTTGGTTGACCGTTTACTGAGAATCCCTGTAGAAGAAAATCAAGAATCAGACGTTACCAATGTGATCAAGTGATAATGTGTAGATGAATTTACTCGACAAAAACATGACAAAGAGGCTATTCTTACGAATTAGTAGTCGGTATATATGTCAGTCCACTGGGAACAAATATGGATACTTTAATATGGATGTAATGCTGTCCAGAAAAACCCGTACGAATCGATGATATGATATCAATATTTATGTCTCAGCTGATTAATCGTTGATTGATCTTAGTCAAAGCTAAATGTCTTACATGAGATCCGTAGTGCATGACGGAGCCTACATCGTACTCGACGTTGCGTGTCGTGACTTCGTTCCAGTCATACTTTTCGAAGTTGCCTTCAAAGCCGGATTGGATGTTTTGAAAGTGGACATTGACGTATTCGTCTCTGTCTGGTCGAGACTGCTCGTGATGGAACCCGATGGCGTGTCCGATCTCATGAGCAACAATACCGAGCTGTTATTAAAATGAACAAAAGAGAAATAATGTTATAATGTTGCATGTCTTAATACATTTTATAGGTCAGATACTACAAAAATGGTATATCAACGCTTACATGTTACATTTCGAAATAAGCAAATATAAGAGTCTCGTTGACTGATACCTTTCTGTATTCTTGTTTTTTTGTTATTTATTCCATCTTCCTTTCTTTGATTGTCGCTTTTTTATGTAGACCTCTTTCTTCTTCTTTCTCTTATAAAGCTATTTTCAAGCGGAATTTACATTTTCAAGAATAACAAAAATATGATAAATTGCCAAAGGACTTACGTATTCACATCCTGAACCGATGGAGATCTGTTGTTCACCATTGAAGACCCTTCCTACATAGGACCAGCAACCACCACCCTTGATGAAAGAAAGATAGGTGTTATGACCTAGCTGACTAGCGTGTGATGAAGTTCGTGGTTCGAATCTCAGGCAGGTATGCTGCTCCCAGTGGTCCATGGCTGCACGAATCACCGTAGAATCACCACCTAATTAAATGAAAATAAAGACCGGTAAATAAAATATTAGTGACAAAAAAACCCGAGATCAACTAATGCCGATTTATAATAGGCCTTTTATAGATTTTACATGTAGTATCATACATGCAATATTCATATATTTTGTTGTTTCGTGCTGATAATACTAGAATAAACGAAATGAAATGTCTATACTCAATATGCTTCGTATGTTGCAAATTATTACCGCACTGTAGTTTTATTGAATGCTAGATTACGGATAAGGTGTTTCCAGGACTTACTTGAAGATGGTGAGATTTCATAAGGAACGATGTTTGAGGTCCAACGAGCATTCTCATTGATGGCAGCTTTTCTCTTCTTACGACCAGCCTTCTGATCATCGATGGCCATCTCGATTTGTCTCAACTGATCATCTGTTAACATCATGTCTCCTTGGAAGGCTCCAGGAGTCGGATCCTCGTCTAGGGGCTCCTGGTGTTGGACGACGCTGTCCTGAGGTTTCTTTGGTGGTGGTGGCTCCTGCAAGAGAAAATAATTAATTTGTTATATTAATACTGGTAAATTATTACAATTGTGGCCGCTTGACTTTATTATATTTTATGGTTGTTTTTTTCTACGTTCAGGTGAGAGGAAAAGTCGGCAAATTTCCAAAAAAAAGAAGTAACAAAAGAAATTCAACAATTAAATTAAAATGTTAATCGACAGACCTAGATAACTGAAAACGTAAGCTGGCTCCGCAGAAGACAACTCCGTTATAACTCAAGTATCCCCCTTCCCCTCTCCCTTTTTTTTGTATGAAACAGACTGACGTCCATGTAGGGCTCCTGGTACATACGCCATTACGAACTTTGCTCACTTTGAGTACCCCAACATTTAATAAATATCAAACTAGATTGTCAAGACGAAATTTAAAAGTAAAAAAGGAATAAAGTATGATGCTCAAACTCAAATGGAACTTACCTCAGGGTCTTCCTTCTGAAGACCTGTTGGAGCAGCAAAGATGCCTTGCGCTATAACAGCGAAGACAGTCAGTAAAAGTAAGAGTTTCATCTTGATGAGTTATAGAGATGGGTAGAAGCACTAGGTTGGTAGACTTATAATACGTTGAGTAGTTGATTTCTTGAAGTATGTTCAAGCTTTTGATGCCGTTTTCTTTTCTGAGTTGAAGTTTCTCGCGTCTTGTTTGTCGATTTCCTTCGCTCTCAGTCAGTTGTCTTCTATCTCTGCCTAACTTCTCTTGGTAGACTCTTGGTCTGTTTATGATTAGCCTGAACATCTCTCCTCCTATTTATCCTCTCCCAGTCCGGTGCGTCCCAATTCCTGGACCACTCTTGCGTACCTCGAACAAAGCCGATCCTACCCTCGTCACCAGACGCCATTGTCATCAAAGGATTGTGTGTACGTGTCGACGTCTTCCAAGATGGACCCAGTGCGTCAAAAGTTCTGACAAAGAAAATCGAAGAACTCGTAAAATTCCTCAATGTGTCTACGTATATGTTCCAGTGCCCTGGTAAACAAATAACCACACAGTCTCTCTGTAGTCTATACATATAAAGTCGTTTTTCATCTATTCCATATACTATTGCTTTGAGGATATTGCGTACATTCTTATCAATTATGAATTCGTATATTTTGTTAATATCATCACGAAATTTAACAATGACAACCACATCGATTAAGGGTCTTTCGGGGTTTACAGTTTCGGTATTAAGAAGGAAAACCCTTATTTAAATTTAGAGCAAATTTGGTTAACAAATCATTGACGTTATATATCGTTGGATGAATATTGAACCTATAATCAACAGGCTGGGTAGTTCGTTCACAATTCTAATTTTTACAAATCGTTATTGTGCACTCATATGGTTAGGTTTTAAAGAGAGTAACACAGCATTTTAAATGACCCAAAAATCCACTTCTCATAACGGGTCTATTTTCCAAAGAAGGTTCAAAAATTACGTAATGGGGCACTTTTGTACACTATCGATTTCTATCTTCAAGAATCACAGAAGGTCAGTGGGTCGAGACAAAACTGTGACGTACTGTTGGTGAGATTAAACGATTTCTAGTCACCATATATGGATGCAGCATTGAAGACGGTCGAATTCTGGGAACGAATGAAGGGTCATATTTCGTTTCCATGTGTAGAGATATTTTGTGTTTATGATTTTACTGAATTAAAGAAAATGACCATGCAATGATCTAGTGATAAGTCATTGAGTAGTCATTTTCTTTAATTTGGTAACATCATAAACACAAAATATTTATAGGCATGGAAACGAATTGATTATGTTTATCTTTCAACATAGCTACGGAGATGCTGTCACCAACAAAGAGAAAATGTTCGAATTCTTAGAAAAAGTGAAGAAGTCTTGATGTTATCTTGATTTTTTGTTTATGATTTACCGAATTAAAAAACAACTAGTGAATCTACATTTTGCATATGTTTATTATCCACCTCACAATTACTATAGCTAACAAAGAGAATGATAATTTAGCGTATTGTTGGCGAGCCGATTTCTAGACAACTTACCTTAGATATATATAATATTTTTAAATTCTGAGTCTTGATGTCATACTTCTTTGATGCGCATTTTTTTTTTATAAATAATGTTACCGAAACAAAACCTAGTGCCTTAACAGATGTTTATCTTCAAACATAACTACACAAATAATTTCGCTATCAAACGAATAATATGACGTAGCATTTGCAAGATATAACAATGATCTATTAACCTTTATTTCGATATATAAATTGAGGATTTTCTTAGAATTCTTAGAACATAATTATGAAGGGTCTTGATGTCACGTCTTATTTTAATGCATATAAATATTTGTATTTATGTTGTTATCGTATTAAAAGGAGTTGACCACTTAATGAACTATACAGAATACTTTCACCACCAAATTTATTTGAGAAATAATGTTCGCAAGAAGTCATCGTCATCTTATACCATTGAAGATGTGTGAATTCTGAGAACAAATCATGGTTTGAACAACGTGTTGTCTTAAAAATGGAAACATGCATTTATATTTTTGATAATTCGTCCTTGTTTCCACGAAGTGACGGTAGTGAGGAAAATCGTAACGCAAAGTGAATGCAATTTTTTTTCACTACCGTCACTTCGTGAAAACAGCGACGAATTATTATATTAGTACTATTCGCGGTACGAATAATTCGAACATCTTCATAACTGTCTAATTCTACTTAACCAATACCAACATGCTTCCCGTAATTTCTCCATGATTTTGCAACCTCCAGTTTAAAAAGTTGAACATAGATCTTACTTATAACATCAATGCAATCAGAATGCATCAGTCAGGTACATCTCATGAATATTCATGAACAGTAAGTATCTCTGAAAAACTTTTGCTGAATGTTGATGGCAAGTTGCAGGGGCGATGGAGCGTTGCAGAGCGTCTTGAATTAATTATTCAGATTTGTTAATTGCTTCTAAATAAGGGCATGAATCGCTTGGCTTCACATCATTGGATTAGCCTCCTATAAAAATAAACTTTGATTTTCTTTGACTCAAATGGCCGTTTATGACCAATCAAAGGAGGCAGTTGTTGATCATGAAATGAAGTGCCGTTCCGATAAATACCATGAATATTGTGAAAATGTGGAGAGAGAGTTCTCCCCTTTGCGAAAAGGAGGGCTATTTGTTGAATTTGCTCCTTCCCTCCCTGATCTAATGACAGACTTTTGAAAATATTGAAGTGGAAATCAGACTTTCATGTCCTTTTTAAAGTTTTGCTTCTATGGTGCTTTTCGTCATGGAACTACTTTTTTTTTTTTTTTTTTTTTTATTGAACTCGATATATCTTTTCTTCTTTTTCTTATCAGTTTCGTCATTTTTCTCTTCCCTTAATTGATCCTCTCTCTCTCTCTCTCTCTCTCTCTCCCTCCCCTTTTCTCTCTATCTCTCTCTCTCTCTATCTCTCTTCCTCCCCTTCTCTCTCTCTTTTTCTCTCTCTCTCTCCGTCTCTCTCTCTCCCCCTCTCTCTCTCCCTCACTCTCTCTCCCCTTTTCTCTTTATCTCTCTCTCTCTATCTCTCTTCCTCCCCTTCTCTCTCTCTCTTTCTCTCTCTCTCTCCGTCTCTCTCTCTCCCCCTCTCTCTCTTCCTCACTCTCCCTCCCCTTTTCTCTTTATCTCTCTTTCTCTCTCTCTCCGTCTCTCTCTCTCCCCCCTCTCTCTCTCTCTCTCTCTATCTCTCTATCTTTCTCTCCTCTTCTCTCTGTCTATGTCTCTCCTCTTCTCTATCTCTTTATCTCTCTCTTCCTCTCTCTTTTTCTGTCTACCTCTTTTTCTCACTTGCTTTGTACTCCTCTTTCATCATTTGTATTCATAGATAAAAAATATTCAATTTTTGTACAAAAGTGGATTCATTTGTGTAATCATATAAATGTTTAATTTGCCTTTTATAAAACCCAGCCGTACCTGACGGAAAAACTCATAATTATTTACATAATAATAATAATAATAATAATAATAATAATAATACATGAGATTTATATAGCGCCAACATATCATCAACCTACTCGATCACGAATAACTTTAGTTCCTAGGCTATAACTTGTTCAGATGTGAAAGGTTGCAGTGGAAAAATAAAATTCCTCACAGACAATACAAATTGTTTGTTTAACCAGCCGTCTCAGACGGAATAATCATATGAACATGAAGATATGTATCAAAACATTCAGAAGAATCGAACGATTAAAATATTTCTTATAAACTCATCATCGTAACATCTTACATAATAAAACAACTTTTATTTAACTGGCGTTCAGATCAAGGCACTGATTGAAAAGATGAGTGATAAGTTGTAATAAATATATCACATTTTCCCTTTGATTTCGAGGCATAGGCCTAATCAACATAAAGCAAAGAGTATCCAAAAAAAATGTTCTACATAGATCTTATTCTGCCGTACCAGACGGTATTCTTTGGTTCAAAGGAATAAAACATTTTGGCATTTAAAAAAAGTGATTGCTAAATATTTAGAAGTATTATCTCAACACCTTAAAATATGGCAGCACAAGAATTACAAATACAAGAATCTAAAAATATATATCGAACCATAGTACTTCGTCTTCAATTTTCTTCATAAACGGTATAAAAGAATAAAAGCTTTGGCATTTCTTCGTATTTACAATTTGACCTTACAGTCATGATAGATGTGTGACAAGAGATGTTTCATATATGTTTTTACCAAGAGGATATTTTTGGCTAACGACACCGAAGGTTTTACAGATCGATAGCACGGTAGTCTGCTCTGAAGCCTCTATCATTAACAGACACATCAGTTTTCAGCGTTAGTTCCATCCTGTTACCGATTGACACCAAAGAAGCGGCTGGATACTCACTTCCACACATTCTAGAGAGAGAGGAAATAAAGAGAAAGAAAAGAAAGGAAATTGGTTAGTATAATGGTGGATTTACGGGTTGTCAATACAACGAATGCACATTAATATCTATATTCAAAACACTAGAAATTATACGCGCTCTAAAGAATGATTTCAATTATGGTATAGATCAGTCTGGTGACTAGAATTGCAACTTAAATCACTTGTTCTTTAAATGAAGTTTTATAAAAGACATGTTTTATTAGCTTCTGAAATACATTTCAATATATATATAAATTTGGTGGATTAAAGAACTATTAAAAAGCAAACTTACTTCATAGGAACTTTGACACCATCTCCGAGATCGATGTCCAGTGCGTCCCAACGACAAGTATTCTGATTCTCCAGTGAGAAGTCTGCGAATGTCAACTCAACTCGACGATCAGCCTCCACTTCGATCACGTAGACACATTGTAGGTTATTATCGTAATTGTTTGGATAGTTTGGTGATGCTAATGAACCCTGGTTGTCAACAAAGTTTCCTCCACATGTCCCGACGACTGGAGGATTGGTAGTTGGAGGATTGGTAGTTGGTATCTCAGTGGTAGAACCACCCTGGATGACGTAAGTAGCTCTGAAACCACGCCCAGTGACGCTGTAATCAGATGTGAAAGAAATCAACATCTGGTTGCCACTTGAGATCTGGACAGGGGGTATTGTGTTACCACAGAAGATCTCTCCGATACTGTTGATGTCGTCTGTGCGTACCTCGACGGCATCGTACCTACAGAGATTCTCGTTTTCGATGTCCATGTCTACGAATGTCAGTTCGATCGAGCTTCCTGGAGCTCCCTGTTAGAATGATAAAGGAGAAAAATGTTTACCAAATTTAGAAATAATTTCATTACACATTTTACCTTCTACAGGTAGTATATTGACGTACATCTGCCAGAGGTTTTCTACGAAGAAAAATTAGATCCTTTACGTAAAGTAGTTTATCATTTTGTAGATTTTTTAAAACGCGATAAAAGACATTGTGCTGTAGATAGGATATTATTGGTTTGGTTATCTTTAATCATTTGAATCTAAAGCAGTAGACAAATTGAAACCAAAACTCACCTCAATGAGGTACATGCATTCTTGATCGTTGTCATAGTTACTGGGGTAGTTTGGTGACGTAATTTCTCCCTGTGTATCAGTCAATCTTTGGATACATGGTGGTGTGGTGGTAGGTCCACTACCATCCTGACACAAGTCACCGCTGTAACCTGGAGGACACACGCAGTTACAGTCGCTATCATGGTATCCACCGTTCTGACATTGCTCCGTGGTCGAACATTCATTGTCGCACTCGTAGATGAGGTTGGCTAGTGTGATGTCGGCAGTACTAAGACCCTCTCGGTTACCAAGGAGATGCATTTGAAGAGGATCAATGGTGGTGATAGTTGGTTGACCGTTTACTGAGAATCCCTGTAGAAGAAAATCAAGAATCAGACGTTACCAATGTGATTAAGTGATACTGTGAAGATGAATTTACTGGGGAAACAATGACAAAGAGGCTATTCTTACGAATTAGTAGTCGGTATATATGTCAGTCCACTGGGAACAAATCTGGACTGGTTCAATATGGATAATGGATGTAATGCTGTCCAGAATAACCCGTACGAATCGATGATATGATATCAATACTTATGTCTCAACTGATTAATCGTTGATTGATCTTAGTCAAAGTTAAATGTCTTACATGAGATCCGTAGTGCATGACGGAGCCTACATCGTACTCGACGTTGCGTGTCGTGACTTCGTTCCAGTCATACTTTTCGAAGTTGCCTTCAAAGCCGGATCGGATGTTTTGAAAGTGGACATTGACGTATTCGTCTCTGTCTGGTCGGGACTGCTCGTGATGGAACCCGATGGCGTGTCCGATCTCATGAGCAACAATACCGAGCTGTTATTAAAATGAACAAAAGAGAAATAATGTTATAATGTTGCATGTCTTAATACATTTTATAGGTCAGATACTACAAAAATGGTATATCAACGCTTACATGTTACATTTCGAAATAAGCAAATATAAGAGTCTCGTTGACTGATACCTTTCTGTATTCTTGTTTTTTTGTTATTTATTCCATCTTCCTTTCTTTGATTGTCGCTTTTTTATGTAGACCTCTTTCTTCTTCTTTCTCTTATAAAGCTATTTTCAAGCGGAATTTACATTTTCAAGAATAACAAAAATATGATAAATTTCCAAAGGACTTACGTATTCACATCCTGAACCGATGGAGATCTGTTGTTCACCATTGAAGACCCTTCCTACATAGGACCAGCAACCACCACCCTTGATGAAAGAAAGATAGGTGTTATGACCTAGCTGACTAGCATGTGATGAAGTTCGTGGTTCGAATCTCAGGCAGGTATGCTGCTCCCAGTGGTCCATGGCTGCACGAATCACCGTAGAATCACCACCTAATTAAATGAAAATAAAGACCGGTAAATAAAATATTAGTGACAAAAAACCCCGAGATCAACCAATGCCGATTTACAATAGGCCTTTTATAGATTTTACATGTAGTATCATACATGCAATATTCATATATTTTGTTGTTACGTGCTGATAATACTAGAATAAAGGAAATGAAATGTCTATACTCAATATGCTTCGTATGTTACAAATTATTACCGCACTGTAGTTTTATTGAATGCTAGATTAAGGATGAGGTGTTTCCAGGACTTACTTGAAGATGGTGAGATTTCATAAGGAACGATGTTTGAGGTCCAACGAGCATTCTCATTGATGGCAGCTTTTCTCTTCTTACGACCAGCCTTCTGATCATCGATGGCCATCTCGATTTGTCTCAGTTGATCATCTGTTAACATCATGTCTCCTTGGAAGGCTCCAGGAGTCGGATCCTCGTCTAGGGGTTCATGGTGTTGGACAACGCTATCCTGGGGTTTCTTTGGTGGTGGTGGCTCCTGGTACGCAAAACAGAATAAATGAAAAATATAAACAATGAAAGAATTATATACTTTTAAACCACAGCCAGTATTGAATTACGGATTCATTATGAAAAAAAGATAAACGATTCCTCACTGTCAGAATTTGAAGATAATGCCAGAAATATTCGATGTATCAGCCCACATAATTATAGATAGTTTGGAAAGGCACAGAAAGAAAGAGACACGGACAACATCTGAAAGGATTTAGGAAACCGCTTCTCATCTACTATTATTGATATGGTATCAAGAGGACGACAGAGTTCTGATTATAGGTCCCTATTTAACATTTATATAAAGATAAAATATAGAAACAGTTCTTACCGTTGGTTCTTCTTTTCCTTCTTTGGCATCCCTAGCCATTCTCTTCAGCAGACTATCACTCTGTAGTGGCAGCCCGATAATTCCCGGTGCCAGTAGGGCTACAAACGCTAGTACCAATCCGGTTTTCATGATGACAGTGATGGTCGGTACTCTTCTCTATCTGGCAGTCTTGAGGTTTATTTCTTTGAGATAATGATTGTTGTCTTCTCTTTGTGAGCTGGTTGAACGAAAAATTCTTCTTTTTTAAGTTCGTCTTCTGTTTCTTGGTCTTCTGGTTAGATGTGCTGGTGTTGGTCTGATGTGGTCTTCCAATGCTGTTGGAGTAATCTGAAGAAGTTTTGCCAGAGCTGCCATATTTATACCTTCTTCAAGACCCACTTTCGATCGATCTGTATTGGAGTGACGTCTTTCTGGACAAAGCAAGATATACGTAACGTAGGACCATTCAAGCTATTGAATACCTCTTATTCTTCTTTTCTTTGCTGATAACGCAATGATGTGCGGGCGTCTTGTGATGTGCTCGAACGGTTTTGGTGCTTCGCTGACCCTTCATCAAACCGTGGACAACAAAAGATTCGCATCTCGGATCGTGTTTTCGGAACTCTTTCGGTTTATTCCATCGATGACGTACCGTATACGTCAGTTCATGTATGTTTACGTAAGCTGTTATAGGGGTATTCTCCACATGGAATTGATGTGCTATTCAATCGAGTTTGATCTGCGCATCTTGCGGTATCGTTCTTTTGAAATGCTCCTTATTACCGTCATTCGCGTTTATACGTTAATCCTTGATCCCCTTACTGTTATCACTACGCTGTTGATGATTCAACGGAATTACTTCAATATACCTTTGAAATACGCAGCCTGTTTGGACAATTATATAGTGGTCTTTTACGTTAACTCCTGTTTGAAAGAAACGAGATAAAGAATATCATCAACTTACGACGTCATACGATTTTAGCATTAACTTTGATTCTTTTGTATTTATCATTATTATTGAAATACCCTTTCCTGATGGAATCTTTTAATTGTTTAAACACCCTAAGAATTCTTACCTCGGCAAATGTGGTAAAAAAAACGAGGAATACAACAACAAAATGTTTCATAAAAATCTTTGAGTAACGTTTTACCGTGATAGGTGAGAACATTGAATGCTTGAGAATGGTGATTTAAACTGTGGGATAGTCTTTCTTTCTTCCTCTTTTTCTTTTTTCTTCCTTTCTTTCTTTCTGGTTTCGTTCTTAATCCGTCCTTCATTTTTTTTTCTTGGATAATTCATCTTGATCTAATCTATTTTTTTTTTAAATAATCAATATCCTGAAGTAACTGTCGAAGAAAATCACGCAATGGATTTCAAGATTTTCATTCAATTCCGATTTGACTATCAATCTCCTGATTTGTGAATGAGTAACGACGTATTATATTTTACTCTGGCATTAGCAATAGTTGTACTCAATTATCCCATCAATACTTTAGTATTGATAGTATGTTATGAAATCATGATGCACTTACAACCTGTTGCTTAGGATTAAATATGTAATGGGTGTTAATAAGTGGGATTTGTGAGTCTTAGAACATTATGATCAACTTAGGGATAAAGAGGAAAAGGTATCATTCAAGACTGAGATAAGCAACTTTTTTGTACTAAACTTTACCTGTGTAATATTACCATCTTTAAAGATGGGTCATGTATAAGAGATGCGAAGTGTTTGGAAATCATGAAAGGCCGCGATCTCTGGGAAGCGTAGCATATGGACTCCAAGTTACCCTCTCTTTTTTGCAAATGGGGGTGGCCCTACCTGGATACACCGATCTTTATACATTTGTTGGCATATCAAAGAATTGAAGGTTGATATAAATTGATGCGGTGATGTGATGATGATGATAATAGTGGTGGTGGTGGTGGTTGTGGTGGTGGTGGTGGTGGTGGTGGTGATGGTGGTGGTGGTGGTGGTGGTGATGGTGGTGGTGATGGTGATGGTGGTGGTGGTGGTGGTGGTGGTGGTTGTGGTGGTGGTGGTGGTGGTGGTGGTGGTGATGGTGGTGGTGGTGGTGGTGGTGATGGTGGTGGTGGTGGTGGTTGTGGTTGTGGTGTTGGTGGTGGTGGTGGTTGTGGTGGTGGTGATGGTGGTGGCGGTGGTGGTGGTAGTGGTGGTGGTGGTGGTGGTGGTGGTGGTGGCGGGGTAGGGATGGAAGCTTACCCGTTCAAATATACTGTCAGCTTCGTGTATTATATATATTAAAGGTAAAGACCAGTTATGGTCATGCGATTGCATTGTGAAAGAAACGTTGTGGAATCGATCAGAAAAGGTTGATCATCTAGCATCTAGCATCTGCAAGGTTCTGGAATCATCAAAATGATAAGAAATTTGGCCCATTCTTCGTAAAGTTACAAGTACTATACACAGAAAGATGTATATGGGACTACCGTATATCTCTCACAGACCATGAGAGAAACAAATTTACCAAATATATGAATTAGTAGGCGGTTTCCCGGCAAATTTTGTATTATCATGTATTAGTCTTTCACATGATTGGTAATGAGAGCTTCCATTTCATTTTTTGAAATTGGGGCGTTTCCAATACTGGTCTTTACCTTTAAACTTCATTGATGTACATCAATATTATGTTTATAAACATATACATCAGTTTACAATGCAATCTAACAAATCAATGTTCTGTTTGGAAACATATAAATCATATAGATCAATTTATAATGCAGTGCTTCTAGCGAAACAGAAGGAAAATTATATCCAGCAGAAACTCTCTTTTTTCTTCTTTTTGTAATAACATGACATTTAATGCATAAAGTAAATAATATAATGTACCATAATACATTCCAAGATTTAGATATATAAAACCTAATACAGCAATTTTCTAAATAAATTTTAACTCATGCCATACAAAATAGGTAAACGAGGTACATGGAATGCCTAAAATAAATTACGTAATAGTACTTATACATATATGCGACCAACTGCATGAGATATTCTAATCGTTACAGAATGACGTTTTTTTTTTTCTTCATATTGAAATAACAATACCATGAACTTCACAGTAGATATCTACAAATTAATGGTACAATACATAAAATAATATGAGATACAAACTTAATTAGATATTTAATCATTTTTTTTAAATGTGTTATTGTCGTGGGAAACCAAACGAAACAGATATTTATTATAAAGGAAAAAATCAACCTTTATATTCAGGAAAAATTAACCTAGTGAATGACTCATACGACATACTTTATAATAATCTTTTCATGACTTCCGCCTTTGAAAAAGAACTTGTTTACATGCAGGGCTCCGGGACAACAGACAAACATGCAATGTAACAATTACATAAGATTTTGCCCAAACAGACGCCCTTTCGTCTGCCCAATTTTTCAATCAGTCTTTGTAACGCAAACCCACTGAACTCTACCACCAGGTCAGTGCGCAAGCTTCCCTGGTCCAGTATAGCTATAGGGGGTAAGACGTTTCCATATAAGGGTGTGGACGTTGTTCATTGGACACGATCTGGAAAATAGCCAGCCCAAAACATTTCAATAGCCTTTGTTGTTGTTAGCCTTTGTTGTGTTATTAGCAGAGGCGTAATGAGCTGAAACTTTTTTGGGTCAGAACAAAATCCGTTTCACCACCAACTTGAAGTAGCATAATGCAGGGGTGGCGGAGAGCCTTTCAAAGTAGGAGGGGTGGAGGCACCAAAGGGCACCAAAGGGCACTTCATGGACAAAGGGGCACCTAAAGAGAAACATCAAAAAACATACACCATGTTTAGACATTGGTATATACCCCTACATCGTCATGATTGTGATTACACTACCAGGGATGACATCAATTTGTATTTCTTTCTTTACGTGGTACAAGTTAATGCTTAAAGGTAATACAAAGTTTGGGGAGATTTTGAAATTTCGGTGGATAGCCATTCTTTACAATTTTGATATATTTAGATGCCCCTGTGGATGTATTATAAGCACTATTAAATTCAGCGCCTAAGACGATTCTGCTTTCTAAAAAAATTGAATATAAAAATTTACCGGTGCTCCCGGTAAATTTTGATGAATTTCAAATAGCGCCTACGTCCGTACAATGGAAGCTGCGACACTGAAAATATCAGAATATGTAGTTGTGGTATATTTCCAAACGGAAATAGCTAATCGGTCAAGTTTAGTCAAGAAACATTGGTTGGTTGGTTGGTTCTTCGTTTAGATGGCGCTCTTCAATCTCAAAGATTATTTGCGCCAGTCAATTTCGTGTATAGCTTTGGCGTGGGCTTCGGAAATCAAGCCCACGAGCGACTTTCCTTGGTGAAATGAAATTAATAGTGATATGGTTTTATTAAAAATAAAAAAAATAAAAAAAAAAAAGCTGCAATATTAAAATTGCATAAAATGCACATAAAAGGCGAGATGGGAGTTAGTTGCAATTGTTCATGGAAAAACCGCAAATACTTCATTTTATATATTATTACAGGATCGACATAAGTTAAGGGGATCCCTGATAGCTTTAAAAGCTATCTAAAACGATTAGTATCGTATATGTAACCCAATAATTCACGAGTAAAAATTGGGTTAGACATCAATAATTGTTTCAGATTGGGGTTGTTCAATTTAATCCTTTCTTTTAAGAGACGTCTATCTTTGTCGTATTTTGTACAATAGAAAATAAAATGTTTAATTGTTTCATCTTCTTGACAAACTTCACAAAGACCAGTATCGTGTTGGTTAATTTGAAAAAGGTAATAATTTAAACTACAGTTACCTACTCTTAGTTGTTGTATCAAGCATTCTTCTCTGCGAGATAGGCCTTGTCTATGTATGGGCTTTGAAACGTCGCTATGCAAAGCATATAAAAATCTACCGTGTTCTGCATTGTCCCATTCTGCTTGCCATAATTTGTTATAATGGATCAAACGAGAGGCTGCCAATTCACTTCTTGTATTTGGTATAACTATGTCTATACACCTTTTCATGGCTCCTTTTTTGGCAGCCCGATCTACGATCTCATTGCCCCTAATATCGCAATGTGACGGAATCCATTCAAAAGCAACACAAACATCCTTAGACTGCAAAATATTAATTATGGATAAAATTTCATTTACAATAGCACATCTAATAAAGTATGAATCGATCATTTGTAAAGCTGACAAAGCGTCGCTAAAAATTACCACCGAAGAGGATTCAATAAATGTATTAATCCACTCTAGTGCCATTAGTATGGCCACTAGTTCTGCTCTCATAACATTGTTTTATTAATATCTTGACCTTGAGAGGGAGCTAGACAGCATAAAGAGGTTATTATTTAAAATTTCATAACTTTAGACTCGATTTCAACCACGCCAACGATCACTGAATATTGTAGGATCGCATATTCTTCCAATATGTTCATTTTAACCAAATTCATGATCCCATACCAAAACTTTGTATTACCTTTAAGCAACATACTTTGCATTTGGGTGTGATGGTCTAATTTTCTAGCGAGCGATGCAACCCAGCAAAAAAATTATGATTTGTGAGGTGCCATTGCGAAAAATTACATGTTATAAACAAGACAAAAACAAAAAAAAACCCTGATGAGTATTAAGCACAATCTAATGAAAAAGACTAACAAGTTCTTTTATAAGTAACATAATAATAACATCTATAAATGCGAGCGACTGTACGATCGAACTCTAGAGAAAATTAAGAAAGGGGGCTTTAGGTCGCCTTGAATTTGAAGTGCATGAGAAAGGGAAATTAGGCACTTATCAGAGGGAAAGGGACGGTTATTAGAAAAGAAAAGGTGCTCGTGTCATAGTAAAAAGGGCAATTATCAGAGGTGAAATGGCACTCCTGGCACCTGAAAAGGGAAACTCAACAAAGATTTTTAAAAGGCACCTGTGAGGATGGAAATGGGGAATCTGTTGAAGGAAAATGGCACCTATCAGATTTTAATAGGGTCATTTATTAAATGTTAAAAGGGGCAATTTGAAAAAGAGAGGGGCTTATATAAACAAACAAAAAAGGAAAATGTGCACTTATACGAAAGAAATATGGTACTTATTAGATAAGAAAAGGGGAACATGTCAAAATAAAAGGGGCACTTATCAGAGGCGAAAAGTGGCATTTAAGAGAAAGGGAAGGGGGTTCTTATTACGAAGGAAAAAGTGCACTTACTAAAACGTAAAGGGGCACGAGTCAAAGTAAAAAAAAAAAAGGACATAAATATCAGAGGTGAAAAGGGGAATTTCTCGCCCCTGAAAAGACGTACTCACCAGAGATGGAAAAGAGAGAAGGACACTTATTAGAAGAGGAAAGGGGCACTTGTCCTTGTAGGTACCTGAAAATTGGGGGCACAGTGCCCCCCCCCCCCCCCCCCACCGGGAGTGCCGCCTCTGGCATAATGGGTAAAAGTGAGGGGAAAAAACGGAAAAACATGCCATTTCAGCAACATTTGTTTATCACTGGTATCGAATTAGAAATAAAACACGTTTGACATTTATTTGGGGGTCATCTGCCCCCAAAGCCCCCCACCCCCCCCCCCCTATCAGTACGCCAGTCAGTGGGTCATTTACACTTGTAGTGACCCAACATATTGAAAGGAGATAAAGAAACACTTGATTAATGCCAACGAGTACCTAAAGCAATAACCCTAATTCGGTCAATTTGGTACTTGGTAGATCATCTATTCGAGCCAATAGCTTGATCAATAGCCACAAATAGGACAAAACAAAGTTACTTCTGGTCATTATAGAAGGATCAGGTCGAGAAATTCAATGCCTTTTATTCAATTACTACAGAGAGATTTAAAAGCATTGTCAATGTTCAATGTTTCATGTCACGCGATTCGTTAGATAACTAAAGATAACATTAATCATAGCTGTTAGGAAGAGTGCGGAAAACAAGGAAAGATAGTTATAAATGATATTTCTCTTATAAATTTAAATATATTCTTCTGGTCATGTTCCTCCCCCCCCCCCCTAAAATCATGTCATTGTTTGTAAATTACCTTTAATGATCTATGTGTATTGAATGACAGAAAATGTTAATACTTTTAAGAAATTGAAGCTTATTTGACCATTCTAAAAATTTGCATGTTTTCACCTGTAGTGACGTCAGTTATTCATACTCTTGTTTTTGTGTGTTTGGGTTCTTTTTTTAGGTGTTTGGAGGGTTGGTTTTAATAACAAATCTATGTATTCATGGTTAGTATATGCTTTATCAAAAGATAATTATTATTTTATGAACAAAGTATTCTTTGATTTATATTCAGAACACTGTTCTTCTGTATACGGTTTTTGATGAAACAGAAAATGTACTAATTTAGTTTTGACTTGTAACTGATTTAACACCTGAATGATGTAATTTGTTATTTACTTTGTTTTGAATTGTACTACTTTTGTTTGGAGTAAAACATAACATATCATTTTATCTGCTTTCACTGTAAGTTTAGCCTTCAACAATGAATGGAGTCCTAAACAGTTTGGCACCTTCTCATGCTGGTCAGTAAGGGAAAATTAATAACATAATTTATTGGATTTCTCTGTGGATCTGCAAACCCCTAAATTATAAAAATGATCATAACAATAATAATCATAATATTTATAATAATCATAATAATTATAATAATGATAATAATGATAATGATGATGTTGATGATAACGATGAAGTCAATCTTGATATCAAGAAATAGGAATCAATTTTAAAACGACTTGCCATACGTACGTTTGTTCATCATCTTTACAATGTAGATGTGCCGTGGTATATTGTGTCGAATTCTTGATATCAAGAAATTATTTTCTGTTGTAAAGCAATGGTAATTCTTGATATCAAGAAATATGAATAAATGTTAAAACGGATTGCCATACGTACGAATGATACCACATGGAAATATACCAATAACATTGTGACAGAATACATCAGCAATCAAATGTGAATTTCTGAACTTTTGGGGAAAGCTCGGGAAAATTAACCGCAATAATGTGAACAGTTGGATTGGGATTTAAGTTACCGAAACACAATCCTGTAAATAAGATGAATAATATTTCTCTTACGATTGTTTGATTATACGAATCATGTTTAATAATTCTCGATATTGCTCCACAAAACTATGAGTACTTGACCTCTATAATAGAGATGCATGCTCACTAACCTGTTTCTATATCCTGTTTGGTAATTGGTGCTGATCGTAGGTGTTACCAAAGAATTACGATTTGTGCCCCACCTAACTTCCGTATCAAAGGCCTATTATCTTTAATTCATTTAACCAAAAGGAGAACAATAACATTAATGGCGACTGCTTTGTTCCTTAAAGGAGGATGTGCCTTTGAACCAGAAGGGTCTGGGAGGGGTATATATAGAAAGATGCTAGTAGTTCAAGTTAGAGGTTATATAAATATTGAATCTAGCAAGACGAAGAGTACTATCTTATACCAACAACATCTAGAAGTCAAGAAATTTCGCTTTCCCTGTTTATCTTGCAAAGCTTGCACTGACGTTTAATTATTGGAAAGAGTGCGATTCATAGATTCTCAAGATGAAACTTGTACTTCTCCTGGCAGGATTAGCTGCTTTAGCGAAGTGCAGCCTCGCAGCTCCAGCTGGTGCGCAAAAGGACATACCGATGGTAAGCATCTCGACATTTTATGTTGAATTTATTTTTACGCGCTTTATTCATGTAATATAATAATTGCTGGTTACGCAGTTGCATTGCGTTTTTGTTTTATTCTTGCTATTAAAGCTCCGATTCTGCTTTGCTGAGTTGGATGTCGTATTGGGTGACAAGTTAGCTGTCGATTTGAGTGATGGAATGGATGAAGATTCCCGAGCTATAAATGTTCCTTAGCTATTTTAACTCGACTAGATAAACCATAGGTATTCTAAAATCTTCACAAAACTGGGCAACAACTGGTCCGAATCTACAAGTTGGCTTATCTCGATTTGTGTCCAGAGGTCTTGCGTTTTGCTGAGCAGCTTCGCGACTATTTAAAGTCATCACCCACATCAGCTAACTGCCAGACGGGCGAATACCAAACAGAAAGATAGACTATTTACTGATTAATAATGTACTTATTCGCTCTTGAATAGTTAATCTAATGCCTTGACATTTTCTACGGACCTTTTCCTTCTCTGTCTGACCCTGTATCCAACAGGTTATTCATGTTTTAGTTAGTTTGTAATTACCAAGCTTTTTCTTATTACAAATTTAAAAAGTACAGATTTGTGTATCCGAGTCCCGGTTCATAAAGATTACTATTATGTCGATATAAACTCCTTTGATTTTAAAAATTTGATTACAACCAACCAGTTTCACTGATTTTAGTACCTCATATGAATCACAGTAACTCGTCATTGATAACAGATTTTATAATAAAAAAAGGACCCTGGAATCTAGTATTTTTACATTGAAACTTCTCTTACAGGAGACCTCCGCTCCAGAGAAACCTTCAGAAGCCACGACTCCAGGACTCCTAAAGACACCCAAACCAGAGCCTAAGGATGAGGAGCCGACTCCTGGAGCTTTCCAAGGAGACATGATGTTAACAGATGATCAGCTGAGAAAAGTTGAAGAGGCCATCGATGATCAGAAGGCTGGTCGTAAGAAGAGAAAAGCTACCATTTATGAAAGCCAACGCTGGTCATACAAGATCATCCCTTACGTCATTGAGTCGTCCTCCAGTAAGTTTCTGATTTATATTTTTTTTAATCTGACGATCGAAATAGCGCTTTCATGATTATTGTTTTCACTGTCGCTTTGATGAGAGATGTGTATCAGAAGTAATTTTTTAAAAAATGCATTTAATGATTTTCTCCTTGATAAGTTCATTGCATTCAAGAGGCTTTACTGAAATTGATGTACGTAAGAGGAGGATTGCTTCCACCAAAACTATAATGTTGGCCATTTAAACAATCTTTTGCAGTCTGGTTTAAAAATTTAAACAAATGAAATTAAGTGTCCCAGAGTTAATTTTGTTTTTGTTGTAAAAAATGTTCAAACTTTTCATGAACAAAACAATAGAATCAAACGATTGTTGCTTTCTGAGGATATCTCTATATCTTTCCAGTGAGATTATGAACATGAGGAGCATTGTTTGCTTGATCGTAATCTGATCGGTCGAAATATAAGACGAAGATACATTGTATCTTATCTAGCCTCTTATGCCTCGCCGCAAAGGTGATATAAAATCTTCTCGTTTATCTCCATCAGGTGGTCAGTCGAGCTTGATCCGCTCTGCCATGGACCACTGGGAACAGAACACCTGCCTGAGATTCGAACCTCTGACCTCGTCGCATTCGAGTAGACTGGGACACACCTCCTACATCTCCTTCTTCAGGGGTAACGGATGCTGGTCTCACGTGGGAAGGTCTTTCACCAATCAACAACAGATCTCTATCGGACCCCAGTGTGGTTATGTAAGTTGTTGGTGTTTAATTTGGCGTTCTCTTTGCATCTATAAAGCTATTGTCTCCTGGTTTAAAAAAGAAGGGAGGGAACTAGAGATTGAGAGATGAAGAAGAGAGAAAAATGTTTGAGAGAGAAACAGAAAAAGAGGGAGAGAGAGAGAGAGAGAGGAAGAGAGAGAGAGAGAGAGAGAGGGGGGAACAGCAAGAGTGGGAGAGAGAGAGAGAGAGAGAGAAAGAAAAAATTATGGTGTTATATATTCGTAGTGTAGGAAGGAGTGATACCTATTAGGAGAGAAATGGAAAAAGAAAAGTTAGAATATAGGAAGAAGAAAAGTTAATACTTAGAGATGGAATGAGAGAATACCGGACCGTGTATACATGTACGTACACCATAAGAGAAACAGAAGGACAGTTCCCCCTTTTTGTTTTTCCAAAAGGTTATAATGTAGACGAAAGAACTGTATTTTCCAGTAAACTTTGAGACAAACATTTCTCTCGATTTTATTTCTTGTACATATGTATTTGTAGTGAGATTGATTCCTATGTTCTATACAAACAAATTATGCAACGTCTATGACTGACTACATTTGCAGTATTAGGAAGGTTAGGTTCAAGGAATGATAAGTGCCAGTCATAACTCCAATATTTTTGTTATTTAAACATATTTGTTGTTGTTGCTTCCGTTCAGTTCGGCACCATCGTTCACGAGATCGGACACGCCATCGGGTTCCATCACGAACAGTCTCGACCAGACAGAGACGAATACATCAATGTCAACTATGAAAATGTTCAGCAGGGTCGCGAGCATAACTTCGCCAAGTACACATGGGGTAGTGTAACAAGCGGCAATGTCGAGTACGATGTCGGGTCCATTATGCACTATGGTGGATATGTAAGTAATGTTTCCCTCTGTTACTGTCTGTCCATCCATCTCTCTCTCTCTCTCTCACACACACTCTCTCACTCTCTCTCTCTCTCCCTTATCTTTCTCTCCTTCCCTTCCTTTCTCCCTCCCTCTCACCTCCCTCCCCTCTCTCCCTCTCTCTACTCCCACTCTCTCTTTCAATGCTGCACGAGGCAAAGGAGTATCTAGTATAAGGTGAAGCCGGCGTTTGTCCCTCCTTTTAAATTGCAAGCTGCTCTGATACCAGTGTTATCAATTTCATTTCATTTATTCAGTTCCGAGTATTATCATGATAAATCAATATACTTATAAATACATGACAAGTTTAAACTTATTTTAAATTCATTTTGGGCTCAAGGATGAGCAAAGCTTGATGCACTGTGAGCCTTTCCAATCTAATGCAAACACAATGAGGGTGGTTCCTGGCATTCACATATACATGATATTCATCTTTTGGATAAATGAATGTTAAATTAATAGTTTAGTTACATTCATTCTTAGAATATGATCTAAGCACACTACTGTATGAAAAGCAAATTAGCTCAAGGTGGTATTTTTGTACAACCATTGATCAACTGAATTATGCGAGCACTGTCGCTTATTTTTGTTTAACCGTCACTTTTATCTTCATAATTCTGGTCAATTCAAGATATATTTTCATTAACATTTCCCTTTCTATTCACATTTACTTCTCCCCTTTAGGGTTTTTCGTCAAACGGTCGGCCAACCATCACGACCATTGATCCTCGTTTGAATAGTCGCCTCGGTCAACGAACCGCTCTCAGTTCCGCCGACATCGAGCTCGCAAACCGCATTTACGAGTGCGACGATGTCGAAGACTGTTCCAATGCGGATGAATGCCTGAACGGTGGCTACCACGATGCGGACTGCGATTGCGTGTGTCCTTCGAGTTATAGCGGTGACTTGTGTCAAGATGGCGGCCCAACCGTACGACCCGCAGACTGTTCCTATAGATTTACTGAGATGACGGGAGAAATTACTTCTCCTAACTACCCCAATAACTACGACGATAACACGGCTTGTGTGTATGAGATCGAGGTGAGACTTTTCTTCAACATTGAGAAAGTTTTGAGAAAAAACGCAGAATAAATTGATACCATAATGCTGAGAATCAAACTTTATGTAAATGGCATTATGATTAACCTACCTTGTTATCGCAGTGTAAGCGTAAACAATGCCTTGACTATTATGGTGGTATGTTTTGTTTCCACCGTGAAATGCATAATTACCAAACAAGGTTCGTGGCAGATACCCATATAGAATAAAGGAACATTAATTTTGTCGGCACAAAACTGTAAAATGAATTACTCTAACGGATCGTACTCTTCACTCTCAACAGTCATGCATTATGGGGAATTATCCCTTCTAGATTATACTACTAAACATCTAAAGATTTACCTACACTTATTTTTACAGTTACAATTATAACATTAGTGTAAAAACTCAGATTAACATAAGCATGATTTTACTACAGAGGAAACCTACTTTAATCTGAAGTTGTATGCCCTGAATATCTTGATTAACAATGATCGCAAACAGTGTGGCAGGAGGTATCATTACAACTAAAATTAAATTGTTGATTCTTCTCTATTCAGGGACCGTATGGAAGCACGATCGAGCTGACTTTCCTCGACATGGACATCGAAACCGAGACTTTGTGTCGCTACGACGCCGTCGAGGTACGCAAAGACGACATCAACAGTATCGGAGAGAAGTTCTGTGGTAACATCCTACCTCCTGTCCAGATCTCTAGTAGCAACCAGATGATGGTTTCCTTCACATCGGATCCGAGTATCACTAGGCGTGGCTTCAAGGCTACTTACGTCATCATCATACAGACGACGACTGTTTTCTCAACGACCACATTACAGACGACACCTCCCTCAACGACCACATTACAGACGACTAATCCCTCAACGACCACTCTGCAGAAGACCGATACTCCAGTGATCGGTTCATGCGGTGGAACGTTCGTTGGTGTCGAGGGGAGAGTGGCATCGCCCAACTATCCTAACGACTACGATAACAGCCTTCAGTGTGATTACGTGATCGAAGTGGATGACGGTCGTCGAGTTGAGCTCATCTTCGAAGACTTTGGCCTTGAGGATGAAACCACTTGCCGCTGGGACTCGCTTATGATCAACCTCGGAGATGGAATCAAAGTTGGCATGAAGTAAGTTTATTTGTCAGTTTTTATATCTGTCAAAATTATTGTGAACTTTTCTCTACATTGAGCCTGAGTAAATCAGATGTTTTATTTCGGACTAGAATAATTTCTTTCTTGAATGTGGAGCTAGAATATCACTTATAAATTGATGTTAACTTGTTGACACCTGTCAAGAAATATTGTGATCATGTAAACAAAATTACAGAGGTATGAATATGAAGAGAATTGAGTTACCTTAAGATCTATACAGTAATTACAATTTTGTTGAAATTTATACTACTGACCATTTATGAGATGCAAATTGTTCTACATGTAAATCAAGAGCTCCAAACATTCCAAACATTCTCTAAAATGAGCTTTATTTAATGGGAAGTTCATAAGCCTATGAATACCGTACTCGTGTAATTATGAAGAAACAAATCTATGCCCTCCGATTCTACTTCTCGCCTATCGTCTACCATAAGATTAAAGAAAAACAAATTCTAAAATTATCTTTCCTCTCTCTCTTTAGGATGTGTGGACGTGAGTATCCAGCCGCTTCCTTGGTGTCGATTGGTAACAGGATGGAACTAAAGCTGAAAACTGATGGGTCGGTTAATGATAGAGGCTTTGTTGCAAGCTACCGTGCAATCGACCTCTAAATGTATAGAGAAGCCGAAATTACGTGTGCTAAAACTGACTTACAAACGTGAATGCCAAGAACAAAAAGTCATCTTATTATGATCCAAGCAGGATGCTCTTATATGATTGACAAAGAACGAAAGGTTCTCGAGAGAAAAGCTGCATCTCCACGAAAGCAATGTCGAGACAAATTATTATGATGACACTCCCTAGTGATGCGGCCATCTAGTTTGGTGATAAACCTATTTATGTGTTCATCATTTATACATTGAATGCCAGATGAAATTTCTATATTTTTAGTGAAGGTGCTGTTTCTTTTTGTTTTCAAGTTCAGCATATAGCTTCAAATAATATTTTGATCGCTTATAAATATGCTGGCTGGCCACAGCATGTAGATTGAAATCCCGAGTTGATATTGTTTTCAAATTGCAACCACAACACCGTCGATCTAGCTTATGCACTTGTAAGACGTATAAAGTCGCCGTTATTCCTAAATATATAATAGGCCAGGTTATTATTATAGGAGTTTTGTTGTTCAACTAAATATTAAGATGCATTTACTTTGTATTACAGATATAGTTTTAGAGACCTTAATTATAACAGGCATGATTATTATGATTAAGCAACTAGCCGTGGATGGATCAGGGCAATGATTTTTTGTAATATATATGTATTTTTAATGTGCTATTTATTCCTCGTACTGTGATTGTATTTATATAAATTGATAACTACTTAACACCAGTTTATGATTGTTTTATTATATTTGTTTAGTAAAGAATATCGAGAGAGAGAGAGAGAGAGGGGGAGAGAGAGAGAGAGAGAGAGGGAGGGAAAGAGGGAGAGAGAGAGGGAGAGAGAGAGAAAGACAGCGGATCAAGTGAAGAGAAAAATGACGAAACTATGATAAGAAAAAGAAGAAAACATATATCGAGTTTAATATAACAAAAACGTAGTTTCATGACGAAAAGCACCATAGAAGCAAAACTTTAAAAAAGGACATGAAAGTCTGATTTCCACCTCAACATTTTCAAAAGTCTGTCATTAGATCAGGGAGGGAAGGAGCAAATTCAACAAATAGCCCTCCTTTTCACAACGGAGAGCACTCCCCCCCCCCCCCCCCCCCCATTTTCACAATATTCATGGTATTTATCGACACGGCACTTCATTTCATGATCAATAACTGCCCCCTTTGATCGATCATAAACGGCTCATTTGAGTAAAAAAAAAATCAAAGTTTATTTTTATAGGAGGCTAATCCAATGATGTGAAGCCAAGCGATTCATGCCCTTATTTGGAAGCAATTAACAAATCCGATGAATTAATTCAAGACGCTCTGCACGCTTAATCGCCTCTGCCCCTTGCCATCGACATTCAGTAAAAGTTTTTCAGAGATACATACTGCTCATGAATATTCATGAGATGTAGCTGAATGATGCATTCTGATTGCATTGATGTTATAAGTAAGATCAATGTTCAACTTTTTAAAATGGAGGTTGCAAAACCATAGAGAAATAACGGGAAGCATGTTGATATTTTAAAGAAGAGTTAGACATTGCTTTCAAATTACTTCTCTAGTTATGAAGATGTTCGTGTTATCCGTACCGCGAATAGTACTAATAAGTAATAGAATAATTGTTAAAAATTAATGCATGTTTTCATTTTCAAGACAACACGATGTTCATTTTTTTTTTTAAAGCTGAAATTGAGGATTTAAAACAAAAATTATTCTCGTACAAAATATTAAACGATCCAGCTACTTTGTCACTTATTTTTTACTTGTTGAAAATTGAGAGACTCACTTTACTTTGATTCTTACAGTTTTAGGAACCGTTTTGTTTTGAATGGATCAGCAATTGATAAAGTGTCAGATAACAGAGCAGCACAGCACTGATAAGATGAGAACAATCATCAAGCTTCACATTATTTGCTGTAAAGCCTCTTTTTTTTTCTTTAGTTAAAGAGATAGTTGAGTTCTTGTTTAAGACCGCCAATGCCTTCAAAATGCATGGTCATTGTTTTTATTCTTATATGACATTTCTAGTGCCCTTTTAGGGCCTAAAATTGCTATGAAGGTAGTTTAGACCCCAAAATATGTGAAATTTAAATTAAAACCGATCATCTAATTCAGCTCCACTTTCAAAGAAATATGGTAACCATTCATGAATTCATTAATTAATAATAACAATACACGGGCCGGCTGTTTGTGCGTATTATAACCAACACGAATGCCAACAAAAAGCCAACATTGGTATTGGCTGGAATAAAACTTATAAGGCGCTATCTCGTTTTTGAACGGCTACCGGCTGGTTCAAAATTATCGAATATCTGTGGTGACCCACAAATATTAGAAATGGTTATATTCATGGATAATTCAGCCATCTCTGAATCGATTTTGATCAAACAAAAAAGATTTTGTCATTTAAGTTGTATGTTCTTTCAAATTTAACACTCAGTTTTTCATTATCTTACAAAAAATGTAATAAGACTACATTTTCTATTCTTACCCTGTTACTTTTGTTTTAAAAGATATGCTCTATTTCTGTTGTCCGTTAAAAATCACATTTTGCTTTCTGTTATCAAGTCGGGAAATGAATACAAAAAATAACAACCCATTACGTAAATCGTTGCTTGACTACTTTTCACATTGGTAACACATAAATAGTTCTACGCAGGAGAGAGAATGATAACGTTAAAAACCCTGATTTGTTCTCAGAATTCGAACATCTTCAATGGTATAACATGACGAGAAATCGCTACTTCTTGTGAACATCATGTCTCAAACAAATTTGGTGGTGAAAGTATTTCTGTATAGTTCATTAAGACACTCCTTTAATTCGGTAACAACATAAATGCAAATATTTCTATGCATGGAATTGAGACATGACGTGTTCGAAACCAGGTAGGTGCGCTAGTGCCCTTAATTTGGTAAGGCATTAATCCTCATTACCAGGTCCCTCGGAAAGGACCTAAATCCATTAGTCCTCCGGTTGCTTACTAACAAGCATTTATGCTTTCTTAGCAATCAGGTAAAATAACCACCACCACATGGAACCAGATTCGACTAGCACTTGTGCTAACTTCTGGTACAACAAAAGTGTACACATAATATTTTATTCCATTTGTATACGACATACTTTGTAAAACAATATTATTTATGTGTTATGTTATCGATCTTGTGTTATATCGTTATATTTTATGTAATCATGCTTGATACATTATGTTTTACTTATTATTATTTTTGTTGTTAATAAACTCAAACTCAAACTCAAACAAAGTCAGTTTACAAAGTAAGTTTTACTAGATATTGTTATATTTTGCGAACGCTAAGTCATATTATTCTTTTGATAGCAAAATCATTTTTGTAGTTGGAAGATAGCATACATCAAGACACAGAATTCGAACAAATTATATATCTAACGTAAGTTGATTATAGAAAATGTCTTGCCGACATTACGCCAATTATGATTCTCTTTGTAAGCTATAATATTTATGTGGTGGAAAATAAACATAAACAACACGTAGATTCACTAGTTATTTTTTATTCGGTAAAATCTTTTCTACGGATAAAAATAGGATAACATCAAGACTTCTTAATTCACTTGTTCTCAGAAACCTAACATTCTCTTTTTTTTGGTGATAGCATTTCTGTAATTATGTTGAAAGATAAACATAAATGACCCTGTAAATTCACTACGTAATTGCATGGTAATTTTCTTTAATTACTGGTAGGTAAAATCATACACAAACTATTTCTAAGCATGGAAACGAAATATATGTCATCAGGACCCTTCATTCCTTCCCGGAATTCAATGCTGCATCCATATAAGGTGACTAGAAATCGTTATACTTCGCCGACAGTACGTCACAGTTTTGTCTCGACCCAATGACCTTCTGGTCTTGGAAATAGGTATACAACACTAATCGATAGTAGACAAAAGTACCCCATTACGTAATGTTTGGACCCTCCTTATATTCTTTGGAAAATAGACCCGTTATGATAAGGTCGATTTTTTGTTCATTTCAAATGCTGTGTTACTCTCTCGAAAACCTGACCACAAGAGTGCACAATAAACATTTGTAAAAATTAGAATTGTGAACGAACTACCCAGCTCAATCATTTCTAGGTTCAAAATTCACCGAACGATATATAAACCTCAAGGATTTGTTAACTAAATTTGCTCTAGTAGTATTCCTTCTTAATACCAAACTGTGAACCCCATTGCAACCTGAAGACCTTAATCAATGCGGTTGTCATTATTCAATTTCGTGATGATAATAATAAATTACACGAAATCATAACTGATACGAATGTACTCAATATCCTCAAAGCAATATCCTCAAAGCAATAGTATATGGAATAGATCAAAAACGATTTCATACGTAGACTACTTAGAAACTTTCCTAATATATGTAGTTATTTTGACCAGGGCACTCAAGCATTCTAACTTCATCACATATACGTAAACACATTGACGAACTTTACGAGTTCTTCGATTTTCTTTGTCAGAACTTTTGACGCACTGGGTCCTTCTTGGAAGACGTCGACACGTACACGTAATCCTTTGATGACAATGGCGTCTGATGACGGGGTAGGATCGGCTTTGTTCGAGGTACGCAAGAGTGGTCCAGGAATAGGGACTGCACCGGACTGGGAGGGGATAAATAGGAGGAGAGATGTCCAGGCTAATCATAAACAGACCAAGATTCTACCAAGAGAAGTTAGGCAGAGATAGAAGACAACTGACTGAGAGCGAAGGAGATTGACAAACAAGACGCGAGAAACTAGAAAAGAAAACGGCATCAAAAGCTTGAACATACTTCAAGAAATCAACTACTCAACGTATTATAAGTCTACCAACCTAGTGCTTCTACCCATCTCTATAACTCATCAAGATGAAATTCTTACTTTTACTGACTGTCTTCGCTGTTATAGCGCAAGGCATCTTTGCTGCTCCAACAGGTCTTCAGAAGGAAGACCCACAGGTAAGTTCCATTTGAGTTTGAGCATCAGACTCAATATATTCAATTTTTACTTTTAAATTTCTTCTTGACAATCTAGTTGGATTTTTATTAAATGTTTGGGTACTCAAAGTGAGCAAAGTTCTTAATGGCGTATGTACTAGGATCCCTACATGGACGTCAGTCTGTTTCATACAATAAAAGGGAGAGGGGAAGGGGGATACTTGAGTTATAACGGAGTTGTCTTCTGCGGAGCCAGCTTACGTTTTCAGTTATCTTGGTCTGTCGATTAACATTTTAATTTAATTGTTGTATTTCTTTTGTTACTTCTTTTTTTTTTTAAATTTGCCGACTTTTCCTCTCACCTGAACGTAAAAAAAACTATAAAATATAATAAAGTCAAGTAGCCACAATTGTAATAATTTACCAGTATTAACATAACAAATTAATTATTTTCTCTTGCAGGAGCCACCACCACCAAAGAAACCCCAGGACAGCGTCGTCCAACACCAGGAACCCCTAGACGAGGATCCGACTCCTGGAGCCTTCCAAGGAGACATGATGTTAACAGATGATCAGCTGAGACAAATCGAGATGGCCATCGATGATCAGAAGGCTGGTCGTAAGAAGAGAAAAGCTGCCATCAATGAGAATGCTCGTTGGACCTCCAACATCGTTCCTTATGAAATCTCACCATCTTCAAGTAAGTCCTGGAAACACCTTATCCTTAATCTAGCATTCAATAAAACTACAGTGCGAGAATAATATGCAACATACGAAGCATATCGATTATGGACATTTCGTTTTTTCGTCTATTCTAGTTTTATCAGCACGTAACAACACAATATATGAATATTGCATGTATGATACTAGATGTAAAATGTATAAAAGGCGTATTGTAAATCGGCATTGGTTGATCTCGGGTTTTTTCGTCACTAATATTTTATTTACTGGTCTTTATTTTCATTTAATTAGGTGGTGATGCTACGGTGATTCGTGCAGCTATGGACCACTGGGAGCAGCATACCTGTCTGAGATTCGAACCACGAACTTCATCACATGCTAGTCAGCTAGGTCATAACACCTATCTTTCTTTCATCAAGGGTGGTGGTTGCTGGTCCTATGTAGGGAAGGTCTTCAATGGTGAACAACAGATCTCCATCGGTTCAGGATGTGAATACGTAAGTCCTTTGGAAATTTATCATATTTTTGTTATTCTTGAAAATGTAAATTCCGCTTGAAAATAGCTTTATAAGAGAAATAAGGAGAAAGAGATCGACATACAAACGCGACAATCAAAGAAAGGATGAAGGAATAGATAAAAACAAAACAAGAATACAGAAAGGTATCAGTCAATGAGACTCTTATATTTGCTTATTTCGAAATGTAAAATATAAGCGTTGATATACCATTTGTGTAGTATCTGACCTATACATCGTATTAAGACATGCAACATTATAACATTGTTTCTCTTTTGTTCTCTTTAATAACAGCTCGGTATTGTTGCTCATGAGATCGGACACGCCATCGGGTTCCATCACGAGCAATCTCGACCAGACAGAGACGACTTCATCAATGTCCACTTTGAAAACATCCAATCCGGACTTGAAGGCCAATTCGAAAAGTATGACTGGAACGAAGTCACGACACGCAACGTCGAGTACGATGTCGGTTCCGTCATGCACTACGGATCACATGTAAGACATTTAACTTTGACTAAGATCAATCAACGATTAATCAGCTGAGACATAAATATTGATATCATATCATGGATTAACGCTTTTGGCAAATTCTTACGAGTTATTCTGGACAGCATTACATCCATATTAAAGTATACACATTGAACCAGTCCAGATTTGTTCCCAATGGACTGATTTATATACCGACTACTAATTCGTAAGTATTGTCATGTTTTGTCATATTTGTTCCAGTAAATTCATCTTCACAGTATCACTTGATCACATTGGTAACGTGTGATTCTTGATTATCTTCTATAGGGATTCTCAGTGAACGGTCAACCAACTATCACCACCATTGATCCTCTTCAAATGCATCTCCTTGGTAACCGAGAGGGTCTTAGTACTGCCGACATCACACTAGCCAACCTCATCTACGAGTGTGACAATGAATGTTCGACCACGGAGCAATGTCAGAACGGTGGATACCATGATAGCGACTGTAACTGCGTGTGTCCTCCAGGTTACAGCGGTGACTTGTGTCAGGATGGTAGTGGACCTACAACCACTCCACCATGTATCCAAAGATTGACTGATACACAGGGAGAGATTACGTCACCAAACTACCCCAGTAACTATGACAACGATCAAGAATGCATGTACCTCATTGAGGTGAGTTTGGGTTTCAATTTGTCAACTGCTTTAGATTCAAGTGATTCAAGATAATCAAACCAATAACATCCTATCTACAGCACAATGCTATCGAGTTTAAACAAATTATTTCTACAAAAAAATGAAGCCCTTTACTTATCAATATAAAGGATCTAATCTTTCTTCGGAATAAACGTTTGGCAGATGTACGTCAATTTACTACGAGTAGAAGGACAAATGTGTCATAAAATGATTTCTAAATTTGGTCAACATTTTTCTCCTTTATCATCCAAACAGGGAGCTCCAGGAAGCTCGATCGAGCTGACATTCGTAGACATGGACATCGAAAACGAGAATCTCTGTAGGTACGATGCCGTCGAGGTACGCACAGACGACATCAACAGTATCGGAGAGATCTTCTGTGGTAACACAATACCCCCTGTCCAGATCTCTAGCAGCAACCAGATGTTGGTTTCTTTCACATCTGATTACAGCGTCACTGGGCGTGGTTTCAGAGCTACTTACGTCATCCAGGGTGGTTCTACCACTGAGATACCAACTACCTCTCCTCCAACTACCAATCCTCCAGTCATCGGGACATGTGGAGGAAACTTTGTTGACAACCAGGGTTCATTAGCATCACCAAACTATCCAAACAATTACGATGATAACCTACAATGTGTCTACGTGATCGAAGTGGAGGCTGATCGTCGAGTTGAGTTGACATTCGCAGACTTCTCACTGGAGAATCAGAATACTTGTCGTTGGGACGCACTGGACATCGATCTCGGAGATGGTGTCAGAGTTCCTATGAAGTAAGTTTGCTTCCTGATACTTCTTTAATCCACTTAAAGGGAAATTTGCTTCAAGTATAAAAATGTATTTCAGAAGCTAGTAAAACATGTCTTTTATTAAACTTTATATTTCATTTAAAGAATAACAGATTTAAGTTGCAATTCTAGTCGCCAGACTCATCCATAAAACATAGTTGATATCATTGTTTAGAGCACGTAAAATTTATTGCTAGTGTTTTGAATATATGTATTAATGTGCATTTGTTGTATAGACAACTTGTAAATCCAACTGAAATGCTTACCAATTTTCTTTCTTTTCTTTCTTTTCTTTCTCTTTATTTCCTCTTTCTCTAGGATGTGTGGAAGTGAGTATCCAGCCGCTTCTTTGGTGTCAATCGGTAACAGGATGGAACTAACGCTGAAAACTGATGTGTCTGTTAATGATAGAGGCTTCAGAGCAGACTACCGTGCTATCGATCTGTAAAACCGTCGATATCGTTAGCCAAAAATATCTTGGTAAAAACGTATATGAAACATCTCTTGTCACACATCTATCATGACTGTAAGGTCAAATTGTAAATACGAAGAAATGGCAAAACTGCTGCCATATTTTAAGATGTTGAAATAATATTTCTAAATATTAAGCAATAACTTTTTACAAAAATGCCAAAATGTGTTATTCCTTTGAACCAAAGAAACCGTCTGGTACGGCAAAATAAGATCTATGTAGAACAAAATTTCTTGATACTCTTTGCTTTATGTTGATTGGGCCTATGCCTCGAAAACAAAGGGAAAATGTGATATATTTATTACAACTTATCACTCATCTTTTCGATCAGTGCCTTGATCTGAACGCCAGTTAAATAAAAGTTGTTTTATTATGTAAGATGTTACGATGATGAGTTTATAAGAAATATTTTAATCTTTCGATTCTTCTAAATGTTTTGATACATATCTTCATGTTTATATGATTATTCCGTCTGAGACGGCTGGTTAAAAAAACAATTTATATTGTCTGTGAGGAATTGTATTTGACCACTGCAACCTTTCACATAGGTTGATGATATGTAAATAATTATGTGATTTTCCGTCAGGTACGGCTGGGTTTTATAAAAGACAAATAAAACATTTATATGATTACACAAATGAATCCACTTTTGTACACAAGTTGAATAGTTTGTATCTAGGGGTAAACATGAGAGGAGTATATAGAAAAGGAGAAAAAGAAGTAGACGGAAATAGAGAGAGACAGAGAGAGAGAGATAAAGAAAGAGAGAAGAGGAGAAAAAGATAGAGAGAGAGAGAGAGAGAAAATGAGAAAAAGATAGAGAAAGAGAGAGAAAGAGAGAGAGAGAGAGAGAGAGAGAGAGAGAAGGGATAGAGTAAAGTAACTAGATAGTGAGATAGAGAGGGAAAGAAAGAGAGAAGGAAGAGAAAGTGAAAGACAGAGATAAAGATGGGAATAAAAAGGGAGTATGGCGATTAAAAGAGCCAGAGTGAGACAGAGAGAGGGGGATCAGATAGATAGGATAGGGGGATTATATGAATAAAGAAGAAATAGAAATACAGTCAAGCTGAGCAATTTATTAATTTCTACTACATGCAGCATTATATTAATAGATTTAACTATTTAACTAAATACCAATTTATACTACGCTCTCTCTCTTTTTTCTCTCTCTCTCTCCCTCTCTCTCCTTCTCTCTCTCTCTCTCTCTCCTATACATATTTTTAAGAAATGTTATCATTACCATAGACCCTCATATATGTTGATTCTTTGCTCATATTAGCTGTCCCATTTAATTTTAATTTGATATCATGGACTTAATATACAAAGCCAGTATAAACGATTTTAATGTACCGACATAAGTATATCTAACTTCAATCATTCCGATTATTGCTCTTATTCTTGTTTATGACGTTTCTAGTGCTCTTTTAGGACCTGAAATTGTTATGAAGATGATTTTGTAATTTAACTTGAATTGTATGTTCTTTCAAATTTGATACTCAGTTTTTCGTTATCTCACAAAAAAATATTTTGTGTAGCACCCTCTGCAACAGAGCGCAACTATCCCTTGAATAGTCATCATGGTTGTTTTTTTAAAAAATTTTTATGAGATGTAATTTTTTGCACTGGGACCTCACAATCGCTCGGCAGAAAATGTATATTCAGACCATCACACCCAAATGCAAAGTATGTTGCTTAAGCAATATCTTGTTCCACGTCAAGAGAGAAACAAATACTGATGGCATCCCTGGCAGTGTAATCACAATCATGACGATGTACGGGTATGTCTAAAAGTGGTGAATGTTTTTTTTTCATGTAGGTGCCCCTTTTTCCAGAAAGTGCCCTTTTTGTTGATGCCCCGCTCCTACTTAAGAAGACGCTCCGCTACCCCTGCATTATGCTACTTGGTGGTGATGCGGATTTTGTTCTGACCCTCAAAAGCATTTGCTCATTACGCCACTGCTAATAACACAACAAAGGCTAACAACAACAAAGGCTACTGTTTGACATGATTTGGGCTGGCTATTTTCCAGATCGTGTCCAGTGAACAACTTCCATACCCTTATATGGAAACGTCTTACCCCTAAAGCTATTACTGGACCAGGGAGGTTTGCGCACGGACCTGGTAGTATAGAGTTCAGTGGGTTTGCGTTACAAAGACTGATTGAACAATTGGGCAGACGAAAGGGTGTCTGTTTGGGCAAAATCTTATGTAATTGTTACATTGCATGTTTGTCTATTGCCCCGGAGTCTTGCATGTATACATGTTCTTTCGCAATGGCGGAGGTCACGACGAGATTAGTATAAAGCATGTTGTATGAGTCATTCACTATGTTAGTTTTTCCTGAATAAAAAAGATGATTTTTAACTTTTTAACAAATATTTGTTTCGTTTGGTTTCCCTCGACAATACCACATTTGAAAAAAATTATTAAATATCTAATAAATTTTTAATGAGTATATACTAGGAACCTCAACAGTTGCGAAATTATCTCATATTATTTTATGTATTGGACCATTAATTTGTAGATATCTACTGCGATGTTCATGATATTGTTCTTTCAATATGAAAAAACGTCATTCCGTAACGATTAGAATATCTCATGAAAGCTGGCAGCTTATTTATGAGTTCAAAATGTAACATGCTATATGTAATGATGTACTATACAACATGTAAGAAATATGAAAATAAACTGAAACTGAACTGAACTGAAAATTTGAAAGGGTAAGCTTCCATCCCTACCACCACCACCGAAACCACCACCACCACCACCACCACCACCACCACCACCACCACCACCACCACCACCACCACCACCACTATTATCATCATCATCACATCACCGCCATCAATTTGTATCAACCTTCAATTCTTTAATATGACCATAAATGTATAAAGATCGGTGTATCAAGGTAAAGGCGACCCCCATTTGCAGAAAAAAAAGAGGGTCACTCGCTGTCCATGCTACACTTGCCAGAGATCGCGGCCTTTCAGGATTTCCAAAAACTTCGGATCTCTTATTCATGACCCATCTTTAAAGATGGTTAATATCACACACGTAGAGTTTAATACAAAAACTGCTTATCTCAGTCTTGAATGATACCTTTTCCTCTATATCTCTAAGTTGACCATAATGCTCTAAGACTCACAAATCCCACTTATTAGGTCACTTACTACATTATATGATCCTAAGCAAAAGATTGTAGTGCATCGTGATTTCATACCATACTATCAATACTAAAGTATTGATGGGATAATTGCTGAGTACAACTATTTCTAGTGCCAGAGTAAAAGATCACATGTCGTTTACTCATTCCCCATTCTAGAGATTGATAGTCAAATCGAAATTGAAAGAAAATCTTGAAATCCATTACGTGATTTTCTTCGACAGTTACTTCAGGATATTTATTATTTTTTAAAGAGAGGATCGTTTAGATCATGATGAATTATCCAAGAAAAAAAAAATGAAAGATGGACTTAGAAGGAAAACAGAAAGAAAGAAAGGAAGGAAGAAAAAGGAAAGAGAGGAAGACATGCAGAAAGAAAGAAAGAAAGAAAGAAAGGACGAAATAAAGACAATCCCATAGTTTAAATCACCTTTCTAGAGCATTCAATGTTCTCACCCATCACGGTAAAACGTTACTGCGACCTGTCATTATCATTCGTATATATGCAATAAACCGCCCAAATTCGATTTTTAAAATGATATTTCATGTTTGTAAGTCGTCATAATTGTTCATATTATTATGTTAAGTTTGACGAAAGATGGATATTTGTCAGGATGACATCCTACAACATTCCGCAGAACAAAACCGACGATCCATAATATGTGATCAACAGAAAAAATACTTTGGCGCCAAACGTGTGCTCAAAGATGCTTCTGAAACATTTTGTAGTTGTACCCTTCGGGCTTTTTTTCCACATTCGCCGAGGTAAAAACTCTTAGGGTGTTTAAACAATAAAAAGATTCCACCAGGAAAGGGTATTTTAATAATAACAATAAATACAAAAGAATTAAAGTTAATGCTAAAATCGATTGACGTCGTAAGTTGACAATATTCTTTATCTAGTTTCTTTCGAACAGGACTTTTACGTAAAAGACCACTATATAATTGTCCAAACAGGCTGGCGAGGCTGCGTATTTCAAAGGTATATTGAAGTAATTCCGTTGAATCATCACAACGTAGTGATAACAGTACGGGGATTAACGTATAAACGCGAATGACGGCAATAAGGAGCATTTGAAAAGGACGATACCACAAGATGCGCAGATCAAACTCGATTGAATAGCACAGCAATTCCATGTGGGAAATACCCTCATTACAGATTACGTAAACATACATGAACTGACGTATACGGTACGTCATCAATGGAATAAAGCGAAAGAGTTCCGAAAAACTATTCACGATCCGAGATGCGAATCTTTTGTTGTCCTCGGTTTGGGGAAGGGTCAGCGGAGGCACCAAAACCGTTCGAGCACATCACAAGACGCCCGCACATCGTTGCGTTATCAGCAAAGAAAAGAAGAATAGGGAGGCATTAAAAAGCTTGAATGGGCCTATACGTATATCTTACTTTGTCCAGAAAGACGTCACTCCGATGCAGATCGATCGAAAATGGGTCTTGAAGAAGGTATAAATATGGCAGCTTTGACAAAACTTCTTCAGATTACTCCAAAAGCATTGGAAGACCACATCAAACCAACGCCAGCACATCGAACCAGAAGACCAAGAAACAGAAGACGAAGAAGAAATTTTCGTTCAACCAGTTCACAAGGAGAAGGCAACAATCATTATCTCAAAGAAATAAATTTAAAGACTGCCAGATAGAGAAGAGTACCGCGAACATCACTGTCATCATGAAAACCGGATTGGTACTAGTGTTTGTAGCCCTACTGGCCCCGGGACTTCTCGGGCTGCCACTACAGAGCGATAGTCTGCTGAAGAGAATGGCTCGAGATGCCAAAGAAGGAAAAGAAGAACCAACGGTAAGAACTGTTTTTATATTCTATCTTTATAATTATCAAACAGGGACCTATAATCAGAACTCTGGCGTCCTCTTGATACATATCAATGATAGTAGATGAAGAGCGGTTTCCTAAATCCTTCCAGATTTTGTCCGTGTCTCTTACTTTCTGTGCCTTTCTAAACTATCTATCATTATGTGTGCTAATATATCAAATATTTTTGGCATTGTCTTCAAATCTTGACAGTGAAAAATCGTTCATCTTTTTTATAATGAATCCGTAATTTAATACTAGATGTGATTTGAAACTATATAATTCTTTCATTGTTTATATATTTACATTTTTATTCTGTTTTTCGTACCAGGAGCCACCACCACCAAAGAAACCCCATGACAGCGTCGTCCAACACCAGGAGCCCCTAGACGAGGATCCGACTCCTGGAGCCTTCCAAGGAGACATGATGTTAACAGATGATCAGCTGAGACAAATCGAGATGGCCATCGATGATCAGAAGGCTGGTCGTAAGAAGAGAAAAGCTGTCATCAATGAGAATGCTCGTTGGACCTCCAACATCGTTCCTTATGAAATCTCACCATCTTCAAGTAAGTCCTGGAAACACCTTATCCTTAATCTAGCATTCAATAAAACTACAGTGCGGGAATAATTTGCAACATACGAAGCCTATCGATTATGGACATTTCGTTAAGTCTATTCTAGTATTATCAGCACGTAACAACAAAATATATGAATATTGCATGTATGATACTAGATGTAAAATGTATAAAAGGCGTATTGTAAATCGGCATTGGTTGATCTCGGGTTTTTTCGTCACTAATATTTTATTTACTGGTCTTTATTTTCATTTAATTAGGTGGTGATGCTACGGTGATTCGTGCAGCCATGGACCACTGGGAGCAGCATACCTGCCTGAGATTCGAACCACGAACTTCATCACATGCTAGTCAGCTAGGTCATAACACCTATCTTTCTTTCATCAAGGGTGGTGGTTGCTGGTCCTATGTAGGAAGGGTCTTCAATGGTGAACAACAGATCTCCATCGGTTCAGGATGTGAATACGTAAGTCCTTTTGCAACTTATCATACTTTTGTTATTCTCGAAAATGTAAATTCCACTTGAAAATATCTTCATAAGAAAATATAGGGAGAAATAGATCGATATTGAGAACGAGACAAGGAGAGAGAAAGGAAGATAGAATATATATTCATAACAAAAACAAATAATACAAAAAGGAATCGGTCTAGGATACTCTTAGATAAAATTAGAATTGTTTAGTTTGATATGTTTGCCTTTTTCGAAATGTAAAATATAAGCGTTTATATACAATTTTTCGTAGTATCTGCAACATTATAACACAATTGTTCCTTTTCTCTTTTATAACAGCTTGGCATTGTTGCTCATGAGATCGGACATGCCATCGGGTTCCATCACGAGCAATCTCGACCAGACAGAGACGAATACGTCAATGTCCACTTTGAAAACATCCAATCCGGCCGTGAAGGCAACTTCGAAAAGTATGACTGGAACGAAGTCACGACACGCAACGTCGAGTACGATGTCGGCTCCGTCATGCACTACGGATCACATGTAAGACATTATATTTGATCGATCTTTAATGATTGTGTGAATTTCGATATTTACAGATATTAAGTATTAATGAGCACATTCACAAATATACAGCATCACGTCCATAGTGAAATATCCATACTAAACGGCCCAGAATTTTGGCCAATTTGGCTGACATACCGGTAACTTAAATTCATAACAGTATAGCATCTTTCAATGTTTTCATTTTTTCACCTAATCTCATTGGTAACGTCTGATTCTTGATTTTCTTCTACAGGGATTCTCAGTAAACGGTCAACCAACTATCACCACCATTGATCCTCTTCAAATGCATCTCCTTGGTAACCGAGAGGGTCTTAGTACTGCCGACATCACACTAGCCAACCTCATCTACGAGTGCGACAATGAGTGTTCGACCACAGAGCAATGTCAGAACGGTGGATACCATGATGGAGATTGTAACTGCGTTTGTCCTCCAGGTTACAACGGTGACTTGTGTCAAGATGGTAGTGGACCTACCACCACACCACCATGTATCCAAAGGTTGACTGATACACAGGGACAGATTACGTCACCAAACTACCCCAGTAACTATGACAACGATCAAGAATGCATGTACCTCATTGAGGTGAGTTTTTGTTTCAATTTGTCTATTGCTTCAGATTTAAGTGATTCAAGATAACCAAACTAATAACATCCTATCTTTAACACAAGGATATTGAGTATTAAAAAAATACACAAACTAATAAAGTACTTTACTTTAAGTATAAAGGTTTTCATTCTCTTTGGAGAAAAGCTCTGGCAGATGTACGTCTATATGCTACCTGTAGAAGGACAAAATAATGTAATGAAATTATTTCGAAATTTGATAAACATTTTTCTCCTTTATCATCCAAACAGGGAGCTCCAGGAAGCTCGATCGAGCTGACATTCGTAGACATGGACATCGAAAACGAGAATCTCTGTAGGTACGATGCCGTCGAAGTACGCACAGACGACATCAACAGTATCGGAGAGAAGTTCTGTGGTAACACAATACCCTCTGTCCAGATCTCTAGTAGCAACCAGATGTTGGTTTCTTTCACATCTGATTACAGCGTCACTGGGCGTGGTTTCAGAGCTACTTACGTCATCCAGGGTGGTTCTACCACTGAGATACCAACTACCACTCCTCCAACTACCACTCCACCAACTACCAATCCTCCAACTACCAATCCTCCAGTCATCGGGACATGTGGAGGAAACTTTGTTGAGAACCAGGGTTCATTAGCATCACCAAACTATCCAAACAATTACGATGATAACCTACAATGTGTTTACGTGATCGAAGTGGAGGCTGATCGTCGAGTTGAGTTGACATTCATAGACTTCTCACTGGAGAATCAGAGTACGTGTTGTTGGGACGCACTGGACATCGATCTCGGAGATGGTGTCAAAGTTCCTATGAAGTAAGTTTGCTTCCTGGTAGTTCTTTAATCCATCAAATTTAATATGTGCTTGAAGTATTGAAATGTATTTCAGAAGCTAGTTAAACTTGCTTTCATAAAACTTCATTTTAAGAATAAGTGATTGAAGTTGCAATTCTAGTCGCCAGACTGACCTTTATAACAGAGTTGAAATCATTGTTTAGAGCGCGTATTATTGCTAGTGTTTTTAACATAATTATTGATGTGCATTCGTTGTATCGACAACCCGTAAATCCACCTTGAATACTTACCAATTTTCTTTCTTTACTTTCCCTTTTTCCTCTCTCTCTCTAGGATGTGTGGAAGTGAGTATCCAGCCGCTTCTGTGGTGTCAGTTGGTAACAGGATGGAACTAACGCTGAAAACTGATGGGTCTGTTAATGATGGAGGCTTCAGAGCAGACTACCGTGCTATCGATCTGTAAAACCGTCGGTGCTGTTAGCCAAAAATATCATCTTGGTAAAAACATATATGAAACATCTCTTGTCAAACATCTATCATGACTGTAAGGTCAAATTGTAAATACGAAGAAATGGCAAAACTTTTATTCTTTTATACCGGTTATGGAGAAAATTGAAGACGAAGTGCCAAAGTTCGATATCTATTTTTAGATTCTTGTATTTGTAATTCTAGTGTGTGCTGCCGATCTTTAAGATGTTGAGATAAATCTTCTAAATACTTAGCAATAACTTTTGACAACAATGCCAAAATGTTGTATTCCTTTGAACCAAAGAAAACCGTCTGGTACGGCAGAATTAGATCTATGTAGAACAAAATGTATGGATACTCTTTGCTTTATGTTGATTAGGCCTATGCCTTGAAATCAAAGGAATAATGTGATATATTTATTACAACTTATCACTCATCTTTTCAATCAGTGCCTTGATCTGAGCGCCAGTTAAATAAAAGGTGTTTTATTATGTAAGATGTTACGATGATGAGATTATAAGAAATATTTTAATCGTTCGATTCTTCTAAATGTTTTGATACATATCTTCATGTTCATACGATTATTCCGTCTGAGACGGCTGGTTAAAAAACTATTTTTATTGTCTGTGAGGAATTTTATTTTACCACTGCAACCTCTCACACGTGAACAAGTTAAATCCTTGGAACTCATGTTATTCGTGATCGAGTAGATTGATGATATGTAAATAATTATGTGATTTTCCGTCAGGTACGGCTGGGTTTTATAAAAGACAAATAAAACATTTATATGATTACACAAATGAATCCACTTTTGTACACAAGTTGAGTAGAGTGTATCTAGGGAGAAAAAGAAGTAGACAGAAATAGAGAGAGGGACAGAGAGAGATTAAGAGAAAAAGAAGAGGAGAGAAAGAGAGAGAAAAGGAAAGAAAGATAGAGAGAAAGAGAGAGCGAGACAGGGAGAGAGAGAGAGAGAGAAGGGATAGAGTAAAGTAGTGAGATAGAGAGGGAAAGAAAGAAAGAAAGAGAGATGGAAGGCAAAGTGAAAGAAAGGGATAAAGATGGGATTAAACAGGGAGTATGGCGATTAAAAGAGCCAGAGTGAGACAGAGAGAGGGGGGGGCATAATTATAAGGATTAAATGAATAAAGAAGATATAGAAATACAGTCAAGCAGAGCAATTTAGAAGACCGAGGAATGAGAGAGAGAGAGAGAGAGAGAGAGAGAGAGAGAGAGGGGGGGAGAGGCAAAGACAGACACTCATTGGGAGAAAGAGTTAGACAGTTACAGAAGGTAACACACACATACATACATACAGAAGTTTAGAACAAATTAAGTTGTATGTATCTCTAAGATAAATCAAATTCCATAATCCATCTGTAGATAAGATATTTTGAATTACTTTTTATTTGATATTTTGGTTACAAAATAACATTTTGTTATTCGTTCTGCATTCTGGGCATAAATGTACATTCATTTCCATAATAGAAATTAGAAAGAAAATGAAATAAACCAAATTAATTAGTAGGTACATACTCAAAGAACTTTCTACTATCAAAATAATGGATCTGTTCAACTTCTTGAAGATAAGACAAAAGTCCATTGAAGTAGTCATTTTTTTGTGATGAACTTCAATTAATGAACACAACTGTTCTGCTAAAATGACAAAACATATGTATACCTGAGCTTTCAAAAGAGATTATATGCATTTGGTGATAAACAGTTTATATGAATTAATGGACAAACTTCACAAATGACGAAACCACAAAATACATTGCAAAGCTGACAACGGAGTGCATTTCAGATATCAACATGAGTCTCCTGAAGTACAATACGAATGATCTTTATCACTGGAAAGAAAGCTAGGGAAATCTAGTTTCAGAAAACTATTCAAAGATAATACATTCCAGTGACTTATTTTTGGTTTAGAGTCAAAGAGTTGGGTATGTATTCATATGATAATTTATGATCTCCAAAAGGCATGCCCAAGAGTATGTAAACAAAATGAATAAATATTAGTTACGTCAATGGCAAGAAAGCAAAACATAAAAGTGAAATAGAAAATTCATCATGATTTTTCCTTTCTAACAACTACATTCTCTATTAAGTCTAACTATTTGTGCAGCATTATATTAATAGATCTTGCCACCCATTTAACCAAATACCAGTGTAATATGTGCTCTCTCTCTCTCTCTCTCTCTCTCTCCCCCCCCCCCCCTCTTTCTCTCTCCTCCCCTCTCCCTCTGTCTCTCTGTCTCTCTCTCCTACACACGTTTTAAGAATGTTATCATTACCATAGACCCTCATATTTGCTCATGTTGCTGTCCAATTTAATGTTAATTTGATTTCATTGACTTATACAAACCCACTATAAATGGTTATAATGTACCAACATAAGAAAATCTAACTTCAATCATTCAGATTATTCCACAACATCTGAATCACCGAATCTGAGCTATATCCTACCTGTGTCATACTCTAAATTCACCATTCATTAACACATTCAAATATGAACCTGCATATTTTTATTTATTCTAATACAATCATGTACATGTAATACATCTGGCGCATACACAGGGGGGGGGGGGGGGGGGGGGGGGGGGGGGGGGGGGGGGGGGGGGGGGGGGGGGGGTTGGGGGGTTAAACCCCCCCCCCCTTTGATATTTTTATGTGTGTATACCCCCCCCCCCTAAAACCCCCTCCCTTTGGATTTTTTTTTTTTTTTTTAATTATTTAAAAACAAAAAACAAAAAAACTTACCCCCCCCAACAGAGCCAAATGTCGAGACAAAAAAAAAAAGTGTCCTCACCCCCCCCCCCCCCCCCCCCCCCCCCCCCCCCGCTTATTCAGTGGCTGGCTGAGTCGTTGCGAAATTTTCGGCCCGATTTATAAATGTTAAAACCTCCCCCTTGAAAAAATCCTGCGTACGCGCCTGTAATACATAATTAATTAATGCAATATCGTATAATTTCCATCCAATATCTGATCTTAAAACATCTGGCCTGCAGATGACCCAAGAGTTATAAAATGGAACTCCACATTTGTCAGGTGACATGAAACATCATGAATGTTAAATGACAGTCATTTACAACAAAGGAAATGCAAAATATAGGATTGTGTCAGTGTGGTCCAAGGCTAATGGTACTCTCTAACTGGTATGTTATTGGTCTTCCAAAATACTATAATAAATAGCATGTAGAGGATTAATAGTAATATATTGATGGATTTAATACCAGTGTGTCCATCAGTCCATGTTATAATAGACCAGTTCGTGGTTCGCACATGTCCCAAATGACCCCGAATATCCACAGATCTTCAAAACATGAAGAGGTCCCATTTTGTACATTTTGAAATAATCACTCCTACAGCGATGGAGGTGGAGATGGAGTGCACTGCTTGTGCATAAATGAATAATGATTACATCACTGTAATGAGCATGTATCAGTATTTTGTCTCTGCGTATTTCACAATTTGTTCTGCAATGACCTTTATCTGCTCATGCTCAGACTGCAACCGTGAACTGGCTTATTGTCTCATCTCTGCAAGATGGTGCTGTGTTCATCAGATGCTGTGCTCTGGGGGAAGACACAGTTCATTTCAGACAGAAATCAAGATGTGTAGAATTCTATGAAGAGCTGCTCGCAGAGAATGAAATAGTAAATTCTTGACGAGTAGATTCCCTAATCACTAGTCCTTGCCTGATAGCACTCTCCAACTGTTTAGTAGGAATAACATTCTTGGGCGAGAAATCAGTTTAAACCGAAACAAGGTTTGTGGCTTTCCAAGCAGAGTAGCTAGTGGCATGTAGAGGGTTAATGGGTAAGATCTTGATAGGTAGATTCCATACTAGCATCTCTACACTAGCACCGTAAAGCCCTAGACCGATAGCAGTTTCTGGTTGTTATGTAGGAATATTGATCTTGCCAGGGTGAGAAATGAGTTTAAACCGAAACAAGGTTTGTGGCTTTCCAAGCAGAGTAGCTAGTGGCATGTAGAGGGTTAATGGGTAAGATCTTGATAGGTAGATTCCATACTAGCGTGTCTACGCTCACATTGTCGGGTCCCTGCCAGATAGCGCTCTCTGATTGGTCACTAGGTATACCATGCTCTGGGATCGGCTCCTTGGAGGTAGTAAACTCAAAGTGTAGTCTCCATCGAAGACAGACTGCCAAATAGAAAAGAAGTACAATTGGTGATGAAATTATGCATTTTAATTGAATTTCATTAATATTTGTCGAGCATTACTAGATTAAAAAAAAAAAAAACTAGATTAGTTGTGGACGGACGGATGGAAGAACGGTCTGACGAAAGGACAGATGGCAGCGTTACTATATCCCCTCTGACTTTGTCGGTGGGGGGAATATTAACAAAATTGTTGATGATGCATTTTAATTGATTGTTAAGAAAGTATTTGCTTGTTTGTACATAAGCATTCATGGGACCTGATAATTTAACTCGTGAGTAGAGGGTCGAGGTACTTGAAGATAAACTCCTTACCAAAAGGCATTAGCACATTGGTCATGCTTCAATGCTCACCCAACATTTGCTCTGGCACGCTTTGTTTGAGGCTTTCATTTTGTCAAAGTTTTTGGTTAGGGTAAATTTAAAGATTGGCAGTGGGGTTGAAACTAGTGTTTGTTTTAAGGTTTGGAATAGTGTTGGGTCTAGAGCTGAAGTTAAGAATTTGGTTGATGTAGAAGGTTGACTGGAAAGCAACTGTCACTGGAGAATATCTTAAAAAGAGATAGGTGTATATGTCATCGATTGAGACCACAGGGGGGTGTTTCACAAAGATTCAAAGTCAAACTTAACTCTAAGTTGGACTTAAAAATTATGGAAAGCTGTTAGCATCTTTAAAAATATTTTGTAAAAGTTATTTTAAAAGGCATAAAATGTTGATTCAAATCATTCATATTTTCTATTATCAAGGAGATTTCATGTTCTGGATGTGCAATTTATAAAAAAATCTAAAATACTTGAATTTTTGCTTTTGAATATATTTTATTTTAAGGTTACAAATGGATCTCCATAATTTTTAAGTCCAACTTAGAGTTAAGTTCTACTTAGGATCTTTGTGAAACATCCCCCTGGCCTAATTTCTTACCTATATCTGTAATGAAGGCTGGAGTGACATGAAGCGGGATGGGTAGAACCATGTGTGAGTGGCGTAGATGGAGACAAAACTCTTGATGTTTGCTGTGAGAGGCTACGGTAGTACTGGTCTGCTGCTGTCTTCTCCTGCACTCCTCAGATATCTGCTCCTCACATTGTAACACTACAGAGTACTGCAGGAGTCAAGGAGCAAGTAAGATTATTATGTAGAGGGTTCAGTGACAATATGACGTAACTCCATATTTTGCCAAAATGAGTATTTGATATTAAAATGTTCAGAAAAATGTGGGCTTTCCGGGAAACACAAAGACTCAACTCCACCCAACACCCTATTGAAGTCAATGGCTAGTTAAACATAGACTTAACTCCGTAAGGCCCAAGTGCTCAGTGACTCAAAATGGCAAACCCCACTAGTTCATACCATGAAATGATTGTTGGATAAGAACAAATACACATAGTCCCGATATAGTACTTCATACAATTCTTCACATTGATAGAAAATCAAGAGGAAATCAATATAATCAAAGTACTGTATCTTCTCTTTAAGCAAATGAGAAAACCTATGCATGCAAAGCACAGCAACCATTACAATCAAACTTTCTTCTTAAAGGTAAAGATCAGTTCTGGTCATGCGATTGCATTGTGAAAGAAACGTAGTTGAATCGATCAGAAAAGGTTGATCATCTAGCATATAAGTATTGGTGTGTACTGCAAGGTTCTGGAATCATCGAAATGATAAGAAATTTGGCCCAGCCTTGGTAAAATTACAAGCACTGTACACAGAAAGATGTTTATGGGACTACGCGAAACATGTGTGACACGTGCACGATATCTATCTGGTCCAAATAGATATAATAATTTACCAAATATATCAATTAGAGGGTGGTTCCCGGCAAAATTTGTATCATCACATATTATTCAAAACATTTTTTTTCACATGATTGGTAATAAGAGCTTCCATTTCATTTTTCGAGAGGGGGGCGTTTCTAAAACTGGTCTATACATTTAAAGTCTCGAATGACTTAGTTGTAAGCACGCTACTGATGCATCCGAGAAGTCAATGGTACCAATGATGTCCTCTCCCAGCTTGAAGGCGGGTTTGAAGAGATAACCACCTGTCAGTGACCTTGCAGGGAGGTCTAATCCCCCCTGGCCAAACTAGTACAGACAGGCTTTAAAGCCTACAATGACTTACTTGTAGGCATGCTACTGATGCATCAGAGAAGTCAATGGTACCAATGATGTCCTCTCCCAGCTTGAAGGCGGGTTTGAAGAGGCAGAACTTGGCTACGGCTCCCTGTGTGTTGGTGATGTTGTACGAATCTGAAATGAAATGTCAAATAAAAAATTATTTCGCGATTGCAAGCATGAATTGATGATATTGTAGCATGTATGCAAGCGTGTAAACGAATCCACAGATAACATAGGTACCTTTTTAGAAATACAGTTTTGATTTATTTTTTAGTATTTGTTTTCTTCCTCTTTTTAAATTTTTTTTTTTTTTTTACCATGGCTACCCTCCACATTTCAGTACACTGCCTTGTTCATTTTATTAAACAACTACGAAACTGAAAGATTTGATAAAAATTTCTTGCTCAAAACCATTTTACTGGGCACATGATGAATAACGATACATTGATATGTAAGTGAAATGTTAAAGTACTTTCACCTGGCAACAAATTTTTCTGTGAAACATCTCTCTATCCCCCCAGCCCTGTCTCTCTCCCCTTCTTTCAATTCATCCTGACTTGACATTCACAAATAAATAGCCACAAGCATGCCCTCAAGTTGGTCTTTCTTCTCTTTTCCAAACCAGTCCTTCTCTCAGTTTGTAATATAGAGATATCGACTGCTTCAAGAGGCCAGGCTGTTTGATATGCTCAAGAGAACTCTCAAGAGTCTATAAATCAGCCAGACTTCCAGTATTAAAGCAGTCGATATGTCTTTTATATGCTGAATTCAAACAAAAATCTACCAAGAATTCTTACCTTATCCTTTAATTGAGTAAATATTGGTTAAAACATCATGGAAAATCTGAGAAACTGTCTGTTTATCTTTGCCGGAAAAATAACTGAAATTTTTTATCAGTTGGGAATCGCAGATAAAAAGCACTGTATGGTGTCTAATCACACTTACTTGGGCTCTTTCTTGAGGTGATGGTAGTAAGTATCTGCACTGCTCTGTCTAGGAGTGTATTCTTGGGCCTATCACCTTCTAAGAATGGATTCGCTGCGTCTGTATGATTTGCTCCTTCAAATATCGTCGCCTCATCAAGACCTGTACAAATCATTGAGAAAATGTATGAAAATTTTTCCTGTACAATGTTTGATTTGCTTAATAACCCTTGCTTTTAAAATTAAATAACACTTTATTTATGTACCTATCTAATTACCTCTTGATGTTATGAACAATCTGAGCATCAATGACAGAAGGACAGTTTTCTTATTGACTTAAATGTAAGGAATAAAGAAAGTGCTACGAAAATGGAGTTATGATCAAAGTTAGCCCACATTATAACTTAATCAAATTTTAAAAACAAGAGGTATTTGGAAAAAAAGATTTAGTGAATATAAGGTGTGCAGTGATCACATAATTTACTGGAATGTCTCTCAACTCAGATCTACCTTTATGAGGGGGGGGGGGGGGGGGGGGGGAGGGGGGCTTAACTCACACCTTTCCATATTGAATCCATTTTTTAAAGCAGAACTGCACTACTTGTAGCTACTTGCGCCCTCTATATAGCAAACAATGCCTAAGCGGTACCTGTTGGTCCCCCATGATCCTCTTTTACTTATGTTAATTACGAGCTAATTTGATGAGATAATCACTTGTCAGTGACCAGCACAGAGGTTTAATCCCTCCCGGCCAAACTAGTGCAGACAGGCTTTAAATAAAGAAAGATATGCAAGCTTACCGTATAGCACCATCAGTCTGAATGGGACCTTGATGAGTTTGATAGGGGAGCCAATCCTCTGGACACCGATGGTCACTTTGTAAGAATACTTGACATCTTGACCTCTGTATGATGGAGGAGCATCTCTAGGAATCGTCTCGGAGTAAATGACTGAAATAAAAACAACATTGAGAGATGTAAATACATATTGACACATCATCACCACCACCACTACCACCACAACCACAACCACCAACACCACCACCACCACCACCACCATCATCATCATCACCACCATAATCATCATTCTGTTCAAACTTACAAAGGTATTGGAGGTAAATTGCGAAGACTGATTGTGATTATCCTTTACATTCTTTTTTCTCTTTTTTACTAAAATAATCCATCACAAATGAAACAACTGTTACAGGTTACAGCTAATATCAAGTCCTTCCATTCAATCAACAAAGTAAGTTCAAATGCACACACAAATGCTTCATTTTAACTGGTTCAGCAGCACATCTTGAATTGTAAAATATAGAATCAAGGAAGAATAAAATTAACATAAACTCACTGGTTTTTGTTTCTCCTGGTTTCATCTTGAGATCACAGAATAAAATCTTGGGTTGGGTCAGTAGAATACAGACACCTTTCTCACCTGAAAAGAGGAAAATAGAAATGCTCATCATCAGTGTTAAAATAATTTTCTGTTCGCTGGAGCTGTTTAAGGATTATATGGATGTTGTATATAAGTGTAACTTCAAAATTATATTTATTTATTTTATTGTTTATTTAAACCAGAGCTCTTTTAGAGCTTACCAGAGCTAAATATCTCACCACTCCAGTGTATTTTGTTTGCTACTCACAATCTTGTCTATATAAACAGAATGCTTAGCAACCTCAACAACCTTAAATTGTTATACCTCACCTCAGGCAATATTCTAGGGGCTTTGGATGAATATATGAACAAAAGATGAATGGTATGTTCCTGAGGGTATAGCTTAAAGCAGAACTTTTCAACCATCAACATCAATCATACTCTTTGCACTGCTTTTTTATTAGGGAGATTGTTTTTTATAATAAAACATTTTTAAAGTCCATCAATCAATCAAATAAAGATGGACAGACGTACAGAGCGGACAAGATTCAATCCACTCAATGCAGATATGCACTGGACTGCATCTATTATCAAGAAACTATCATTCCCAATATCTGGTTATTAAATATTGAAGGTTATTAAGCAATTGTGATTGATTGAAATCAATTGTAAGTCCTCTAGTAAATTGCAAACTTCTAGATCGTATTATTGTGAATGATATCAATTTGTTGTGATCAATACAGATCAATTTATAGAAAGAGAAAACCTACGTCTATGGTCTGGGAGTGTTCTTGATTATATTCTGTTCTATTTTAGTGTACGGAAATGTACAGAAATATTCCCTATTTTGTTCACATCTTAAAAGATTATTATTTAAAGTAAGCTTCATGCATTTTGTATATTTTATGTTTAATGATGCTGCCTATTATGCGTATGAATGTATCTAGTATATTTATCCTTTTATATGTTATTTATTTGATGTCTACATGTATAATGCTGTTTTTAACCATCATTCAGCTGCAAGAACGTCAGGTTGAATAAACCCATATTGAATTGAATTAAATTGAATTCTATGAGTTGCTACATGTATGCTATTACCTCTACTTGCTGCAAAGCTTGTATTGCTGGAAGACTGGATGTTCTCCCATTCCTCCGAAGGTCTCCTTGTGATTGGTTGCGGAGGAATAATGACCTTTGACTCTTTCACATTGCACTGGCAATGGAGCTGAGCACTGGCCCATGCAAGACACTCAGGTTGACTGTACACACATGGTAAATGGAGCAAATATTAGACAAACAGTAATAATGGTTATAATAATAATAGCATTTTCAAAAGTGATCATACAAATTATGCTCCAATACCATCCCAACATGATTTTCATTTCATACACCTATTAAAGTGGATAGTGGCAGATGCAGATAAATGTATAACCTAAGGCAATTATTCCATACCAAGGCTAAAACCCTTGGCCTTCACATCTCCAATTATGTTTAAACCACTCAACAATACACATTTAAGTCTTGTAAAGATATTTGATATCAAATCTACATGTATTTAAAATGAACATATACAACCTATTTTTACCACTCACCCCCACCCCCCCCCCCCCCCCCCAATATTTGTTACATGTCCCTATTAATCATAATCAGAAGTCACTGAGTTTTATCAGTTTATTATTTCCTATTTCTATCTGTCAAAGATTTGTACTTGTACCAAATTTAGTCTAGACTACAGGATAAACAGAAAATTATAAAGAAGGTTAGAAAAAGTAGTCCCATAATGTCTATGGAAGCTATTCACTTTTCTACTAACCCAAAACTGGCAAAAGCTTTAGTTAACACTACTAAATCAATAATTTGATCCACTTTAAAACGTATGAGAGAGAGAGAGAGAGAGAGAGAGAGAGAGAGAGAGAGAATGAGAGATAGAGCAAGATCTTGATCTCTTAGGAATGACAGAAGCTGAAGACAAATGAAAATATTGATAAAAGTACTGAAAAAAGGGAGCATCAAAGAAGTGATATGAGAACAACATATTACCCTGAACCTGTGGCTTCTGGGCATGAGAATGTTATTGCACATTCAATGGTTTCCCCAGCAAGAAAGGCTGTGCCTCTCGTTAAGAATGCTGTAGCATCGATCATGATGGAAATCTGAGGAGAAAACAAAACAAAACAATCAAGACATTTGAGAAAAGATAACATTCGGCTGTCATGGATAGCAAGCATAGGGGATCATTGAAATCTTCTAACAAATGAGGATTGTATGAGACATATTTTGGCGCTAGAGCACTTTCGAATTGGGCGCCTAAAAATGTAAAATGTGATTCCTGTGATTTCTTGCATTAAATGAAATGCAATGAAAAGACATGTTTTAATGCGTCTCTGCTACACCTGATACCATTTTCTCCAACAAGGCCCTAACTTCCCTTCCAATTGTAACAAAATATCGCAAGCTTTATCATCGCACCAATATCTTATAACCCTGAGGGAATGGCAGCTAGCGATAGCCAATAACTAATTGAATAAGAAGGGCTCTTATCTGCGCCAATTTAGGAAAATGAGGCTGCAATTCGCCGAGATCGGATGAACGTTAATTAGACTATGAGCAAGCGCTAAATGTATTGTAAGCTTAAAGTTTGATGTGATAAGGCTACAATCACCCCAGTATAGCCGACAGAAGTATGACTGTATCTTTATCCTAGTTAATGTCATTTATAAATGTCTTAAACTTGCATGTACGTATTAATAATGAAGCCGTTTCGCCACGCCCATGGCCATGGGACGAGTCGGACGCGCCGGAGAGTAGCTGTGCAGTCGGCCGGTAGTTCCCCGTACACGTCACCGATCACAGTGAGTGAGTGACGCAGCTCTACCCGGTACGGTCGTATAACGAAATGAAATTACGAATTATAAATACAAATGTGTACATATTTCTTCTTATTTTTTTAATTAAGTGAGAAAAAATTACATCTCTTAACATTAATGGGTATACATTAAACCACTGTTTACACAAAAGGTTACCAAAATCATTAGTTAAATACCTTTTTCTTGTACGAATTTCTCTCCAAGTCACAACAAAACACTCGCAAAGCTGAATGTTAGTCGAACAACCGATTGAATAAATGTTGTCAATTTTGCAAGCTTGCTATCTACTAAAACAAACACGGAATTTTAAATATAAAAATATCTTTTAAAAGTAAACAAACTAAATAAAAATATATGAAAAATATATATAAATATATAAATATATTTATTATTTTAATTTGTACTAATATATGCCTAAAATAGGTAAAAATTACATTTTGTATACTGGCACTTCATAAGAAGAACTCTAAAATTATAGCCTGCAAAGTTCAGCCAATCTAAAGGCTTGTAAAGTCATTTAGATGTTGTTTTCAGAAACCCTTGACAAATTTCAATGATTTTCAACGGTAATCAGCATTAGTTTATTACATTTTACTTGATAAGTAATCACTGTATTGCAGGTCTATTTATTTTACCCGAAATTTGTTCTGTGTTCCGTTTTGATTTAAATTGGGCGGCAACATTTTTCCTTGCCCCTCCCCCCCCCCCCTCCACCCACAACCGATCAGATGTTGGATGTCTCCATACTTTGAATCTCACATAATATGTATTTTTTAAGTGACCTTATAGCAGGCTCAGAGTTGTTCCTTTTGTTCCAACTTAAAATCACATATAACACTTATGATATCTCTTATATTCTGTGTGCAATTAATGTATGCCACTATGCCCGTTATAAATACCTTAACCCTGCCCCCCCCCCCCCCAAAAAAAATGTCAATCAATTTGTTCCTTTCGCCTTGAACGTTTTGAAAATTGGACCCCTTAAAACGTGAGAAACAGAAAATTTCTGGAAATATATAAATCAATCTAATAGTAGGAAAGTCCCTGCCAGGGTGCCTGACAGAAGAACTCCTCATCCCAAGCTAAGGGGTTTATCCAGGCCTGCATTTTCATTGTTTGGTGCTTGCGACATCTGTCAATCTTATCTCATCTGAGAGGCACCATAATAATATCTCAATAATTGCAATAAATTATATTCCTAATAGGCTAGTTTAGAGTTTAGGGAATCCCGCGGGCCAGTGCCGCCACCCTGTTGCACCACCACCACCATGATTGATTGATTGATTGATGGATTGATTTTATTCCCCAAGTCCCAATATACAACACTATAAAAGAATAATATTAACAGATCAAAATTAAGTCAGCTCGAACAGGATATTAACCCAAGAAAGCTTGAAAGCTTATTTCTAGTGGGGTCCCCGACATACATGTACAACATTATAGTAAGTTAAATCGTATTATTTATTTTTATTTTTATTTATTTATTTATTTATGCATGTTCACAATTTCACAATTCATTGAAGTTAACATCACATGAAAATTAATATAGATGACAAATCATTTTCAATTTTACAATACATTTGAATTAACTTCACGTGAAAAAGAATATAACATTGTTTTATCAAAGACAAGTTGCAACTTATATACAGTTTGAAGAATGAACACACAAAGGTGATGAAACATAAGCAAATAGAGCTTGAATCGTTACAACACCTTTCAAATATATAATATATGACAAATAAAATTCCTAAAGTTTGTAGTGAACTATTTACACTATTTACAAAGTTTAAAAAAAGAAAGAAAGAAAAAATTCGTTAGGCCTAGTAACAAAATTATGTTAGATTTAATTAGAACTGATAAATAGATTATAATGTAAGTAATATCTTACATCTGTGAAATGATAATACATTTGAGTGCTCTTCTAAAAGAATTTACAAACAGATAAGAAAAGAAAAAAAATATAAAAGATAATTATGATGACAATTATAATAGCAACATTAAACTAATGATGATAGAAAAAAGTACAAGAAGAAAAAGACAACCATCAACCGTCAACCATCAACCATCACCACCACCACCACCACCACCACCACCACCACCACCACCACCACCACCATCACCACCACCACCATCACCACCACCACCATCACCACCACCACCATCACCACCACCACCATCACCACCACTACATTACTACGTACGTACCACCACACCACCGCCACCAGCACACCATGCCATCACCATTACCACCACCCAGGCACAGATCCAGGATTTTTAGGGGGCCCAAATTTTTAAATTATGAGAGCCAAATATTGGTGCGTAACAGGAACCAGTAGTGGCGTAATGAGCAAAAACGTTTTTGGGGGGCAGACAAAACAAATCTGCATCACCCCACTCTTACATACAGGTCTCGCTGAAAGTGGGTGGGGTGGCTTAATTTACGATCAGGTACATTGGCGTAGACAGGGGCGTAGACAACGGGGGGGGATGAGGGGGATGCATCCCCCCCACCTCACAAGGTGGGGGGGATGGCATGTACAATCATCCCCCCCAGGTTTTGGGGAATGATATTTGCTTACTTAATAAGTCATAATGATGATAATAATAGTAATAATAATAATGATAACAATTATAATATTAATAATAATAATAATTATGATGATGATAATAATAATCCTCATCATTATTGTAATTGTGTTTATTGTTATTAGCCGCATTCACACGGTGAAAGCCAATTCAGACGGTAAAAAAAAGGAAAATCTTACAAGTATTTTGTGGTTATCTTGTGGTTTGGAAACCACAAGATAACCACAAGATTAAACAGGCGCGGATCTACGGGGGGGGGGGGGGTTAGGGGGTTTAACCCGCCCCCCTTGGGCGGCCCAAAAAACAAACAAACAAAAAAGGAAAAAAAAATGGAAAAAAAAAGAAAAAAAGAAAGAAAAAAGAACGCACGCTGGAGAGAAACCCTTTCAAGTGCAAATATTGTGAGAAGATATTCAACTCATCTGGTAACTTAACCAAACACATGATAACTCTGGATATAACTGTGTATTTAACTGTTACTTGATTTAAAAAGACGTTATCATGCACTGCTTTTTATGGTCTCCATTGTGTTAATAGATGCCAGGAAAACATCACTTACGGGGTTCAAATAAACACCCAAAAAAAAATCGGCTCGCCGCTTCGCGGCTCGTGGACGATGCTCCGCATCGTCATTATTGGTCAACCCCCCCCCATTAGCAAAAAGCTAGATCCGCCCCTGAGTCATCCCCCCAGGTGTACGAACCTGTCTACGCCACTGGGCGTAGAGTCTAGAAGCGGAGCCCCTGGAAGCTCAGGGGTTTTCGGCATTTAATTACGGTCAAAATGAACATATTTTAATAACCTATTTGTGACACTGGCAGGACACTAATTGGTGTGGGGTCCAGAGGGCGGAGCCCCCATAAGCTCAGGGTTTTTTAGACATTTGATTACAGTCAGATTATTTGATAACTTATTTGTGACACTGGCAGGACACTAATTGGCCTGGGTTCCAGGGGCGGAGCCCCCAGAAGCTCATTTAAAGCATTAAATTACCGTCAGATGAGCATTTAGGGGCCTGCCTTTGGGCCCTTTGAGGTCGGGTCCAGGGGCAGAGCCACCGGAAGTTCAGAGGTTTTAGGCATTTAATCAAGGGCAGATGAGCATATTATGAAACCTCATTATTTTCAGCAATATTTGTAAATTATTATACCGTATCGAATTATGAATAAACCACGTTTGAATTTTATTGGGGGGAGTGCTCCAAGCTCCACTTTTATTATCTTCTTTCTTTCCCTTTCTCTCCTGTTTCCACTTCCCTTATTTTCCTTCTCTCTCTCTAAATCTCTTTTTTGTGCAGGGGGGGGCAAGGCCCGCCCCCCCCCCCCTGGATCCTCGCCTGCCACCACCACCACTAACATTACTACCGCTACCATCATCACCCAGTTATTCACGCCTACTCAGTTTTATTTCTTTTTCTTGTTCCATATCCACTGACTAGTGTCTTCTTATAGAAATTCACACGAGTAGTAGATACCGAGGTGTACCGTACTGGGAGTACAAGGAGTCGCTGGTAGTTGGGTGTGGTCGTTTTCCAGAGTTCTCATTGATAGCGTTTTCGACGAATTGTGAAGATTGCCCTCTCTCGGCTACGGCCGATTCTATGTTATCTCTAAATAACGTACTCTCATAGTGGCTTGCTTGTCACCATACTATGATAAAAGCTATTTCAACAGCTAGTGGCGAAGAAACTTGCAAGGGACGATCCACGAATCACACGTCGTGATATTCGGGAACTCACTACGCAAAGTTTATTGACATTGTCAAAAAGCTGTTGAATTCTGTTCGCGCCATAGTGTGAATATGAATGTTTAGGGCTTTGTTTCACAGACACATTGTACGGTTGAGATATTTTGTAATCCTTTCATAAGGAAGGATTATTTACATCTCGCCAGAATTTTTTGAAACGTCATTATTCGTGAACTACCACCTGTTGTTTGAAGCTGGTCGAAGTCCCGCCTTGTCCGATCCGCGCGCTCGTAACGTACATGCTTACAGTTCATTCATTCGTGCAGCGCAGTTGATTTCCCCAGTCAAAACATCGTGCGGTCGGCCGCTCCCATATTTTCCAACTTTACTTCGTAGACTACACTGGATTCTTTAGTGGATATTTTGGATCATTTTACCCTTTCATGTTGTAATACTAGCTAAGATGGCGACGGTTGCACATAATGGTAACGGGATAGCTACAAATGGGAGTGTCTCCAGTGATGATTCCCCTGATGGGCGAGTTTCAAACGAGTATGACCGTGAGTATTGCGTGGGAAATTTGAAAGATATGTACGGGGAGTTGACCTGTTGACTCGCCCGGCCCATGGGCGAGGCGAGGTAGACACGTGTATGTAGTGCTCGCCTAGAGAAATATGGGCGGCTGCCAGGGGCAATGCTGTTATTACTACCCCCTGTATAAAGCTGCATTGTAATGTTTCATTTACACAGTCACAGTATCTTTAGAATCAAACAGACGTCTAAATTTCTAAATTATTTTGAAACACTGCCCAATTCTGTATAGTGTAGACTACTGCAGACCTCCATCACAAATAGACTTTCTAGCGAATCTTCAACATTTCAAGATTGTTGTTAACTTGTCAAATTGCTCATTTGTGATGGTTCAATTCACCCAAGTTTGTGTTTGCTTTAGTATTATTATTCCTCTTTGTCATTTTTGTTTTGTTTTTATTTCTATATCTTCATAGATCCTATCAAACTATTGGAAATGAATGTTAAAAGACAGCCAACCAATTAGCAATTTTTTAAAACAAACTCAACATCTGCAAGAATTACACATTGAACTGGCAGTCCACTGCCTTGGTATGTCTACTGATCGTGTTAATGTCAAGTTGTCAGCATGGTAATCTAGGCCTACAACTAGATGGATCATTAAAGAAAAAACAAGTTTACATTTTAAAAAAGTAATGAAATTCATGTATTTGAGAGAAAATACTTGAAAAAAGACTTGAAAAGACAAAAATAACCTTACTATGTATGGCGAAAATTGTAAAATATGAAGTCCAATTTTATTTTTATTCTGTTTTTTACTCATCTGTATTTCTGTGTCTGAATGAATATTTGCAATATTTAGTTTTTCACTTTTGTGTTCAACTACATGCATGTGTATCTTTTCTCACCATCTGTCTGTTTAATCTGAGAGACATGACACACAATGAAGGGCAAATATGTATGAATTTTTCAAAGAAATTATTAAATTTATATAAAATTGAATGCAGAGTTGCATATACTGGTAGGGAAAATCATTAAGGCACACAATTCTTTATCCTTAATGGTTTAATATTCTCTGCAAATCCTGTTTTATCTCACCCCCATTTGTTTCTAAGTTCATTAAACCAACTTGATGACAAAATGGGCTTCCTCTTCATGCCAAGCATGAAGGGCATTAGAAGCAGTCAGGGATAAAGGGGAATCCCCAATTAATATGTACTCAACTACTACTAAAAATCATGGGGGTTCCACTTTCAGTACACATGGACTCCCAAATGTTACCCCATTGCCTCCTGGAACAGGACAGTTCCTTTATTAAGGCTATGGGAATTAGAGAATCCAGTAGTCAACAGGTTAACTCTGGACCTCAAAGTGTTGAAATTTACATTGTAACTCTGTACATGTGTCTACTAAATAATGGGGAAAATCACTGGGCAGTCTTGGTCAACTTTGGCTTATACACCACACCATGTACCACATGTACTCAAGACAACGTGGTAGACTTCAGTTTCGCTCCACAGCAAATAAAGAGTTACCCAAAGGCCAAAGCAGTTCAGTGTTGTCTTTTAGTGTTTACAAAAAACAAAACTTTTTAGTCTGTTTCATGTTGTTCATTTACTTGTAAAAGATGATTTAATTGGAAATCAAAATCTCTTAAATTGGCAATGGTGACTGGAGAGTAATTTCCTTTTAAAATAATGTTCTTGTATTTACAATTTGGCAATTTTTTGTTGCATTGCGTATTGTTTTATTCACATTGGTTCATGTATTTGATGTGTCTTATGTAGTGCTGTAACATCACGGATATCTCCAATTCCGTTTAACCGCCAGTCAAAACCGGACGGTTTTCGGTTAAACGATTTAAAAAAAAAAAAAAAAAAAAAAAAAAAAAAAAAAATCGTTTTTTTTTTTTTTTTTTTTTTTTTTTTTTTACCGACTCTGTCGGCAACTTTCATTTAACTGCGAGGTGCATTTAAAGGGGCCGATTTGTGCTTGTGAACTTGTCACAAATAATAGTAACAATGTTGTTTTTAGAAGAATGTGTAAGATCATTAATATAAATTAAAAACAGTAGAGGACCTAGGACAGAACCTTGTGTAAAAGTTGGATGAATTATTATTATAAACTACATATTGAGATGATGAGATCTATTACAAAGATTACTTTCAAACCAAGATGACAGACAAATTGGAGTGTTGTTCTAGTTTTAGAGTGGTGAGTCAACACACAGATTACTGAGCTGGGAGACATTGCCAGGCATAGTGCCAGGTGGAGGGGCATAAATCGAAACTTTAAAAAAAAAAAAAAAAAAAAAAAAATCGGGAAAACGAAACCGTCCAATTGAAAACGGAATCCGCCATGGGCGGTCGGATACCGGACGGTTAAACGTTTGACTACAGCACTAGTCTTATGTGAGAGCAAAAGAGAAAGGGTGTATTTGAAGGCAAAGCAGATTCATATACAATGTAGACCTTCCAAATAATTTTGAAGTGCTATGAGGTTTTTTTTTTTTTTTTTTTTTTTTGGGGGGGGGGGGGGTCTGTGTGCAAGTGTCAAGTCTTTACATGTACATGTACATGTATGTGCTTTAATATTGATGTATTAATGTGTAGAGAGGATTAGCATTTAATGCGACTCATGCCTTCTCATTAATCTCCCACACGTCATTTTAAGTTGTCATTGTTAATGTTATATTGTAAATGGATATTATTTTTTGTAAGTCATGATGTCCAAGTTTTTTTTAATGAAAGTTGAAAATGAAATAACTGTACTGGACTATTACTATTTTGTGAATATCTCTTTAATAGATGAGGAGGCTGATATGCCTCAGAGAGCTTCGGCCGATCAGATGGACGCAGAGAGACTCAAGAGTATAGCCTATCAGTATCTCTGTCATCTTGAAGAAGCTAAGAAGTAAGTAGTCCTCCTTTCATCATTCACTGGAAGTACACATATTCATGTATTTATTCATCTGCTTAGAAAGGCCACCTGTCTGCAGTGGCCACTTTTTATGTTTCCCTTGGGTGGCTTCAATAGACATGTTTGACTGTTGTTGTTTTTTATGGCGTTTTCCATCATCATTGGATGATTTGCACCAGGCAATGTGAGAGGGCGTTGTTTCTGGTCCTCTATTGGTATTTAAAGCTCTATCAAATCTTTAGAAATTGTGTTCATGAAATTGACTAAATCAAAATTAGGGTTTGTGATGGACAGATAGTACATTCAAACAGCATTTATATAAACATTGGAGGAAAAAAATATTGCAGTGAACAATTCCACGGTTCCGTATATTACAGCTGTGGAAACCACTTCCAAGGGCTCTGTAATAGAGTTGGTAACAAGGCTGTGAAATTTCATTGACAAGTTTGTTGCTTTGTTGCATGAAAATCTCACTTTTAACTCACAAACGCTTGAAAAAATACATGTAGTATTTTGTACACTGATCAAAGATATATAGTGGTATGCACATGTATACATGTACATATTTCATTAATGAACTGAGATGTTGATGGAAAAGTAAATGATAATTTGTCAATGCTGAAGGTTTGTCTCAAAGACGTGTATCAACATTTTAAGTCTCTGTTAGAAGAGAGAGAGCTCTCTCTCTCTCTCTTAATTGACGGCTGCATCTCTTTTATTCTGGTTTAGCTTTTACTATTCTAGATTATGAATCTCAACAGTGACTCATTGAAGGCTTACCTTTACTCTGTCAGCACAAATACCTCAAAATACCTCCCCGTGACTAATCATACACATTCACAAAGCTACAAATTGGGTAAAAAGTCTTCACCCCAGCCGAATTACGAGATTATTTGTATTTGTGTACAGTTTACAAATTCTGTGCCACATCAGGAAAACTATACATTTGTACATGTAGATTCAGTAGTTTAGAATAAAAGCGTTGCTTGTTCAAGCGTGCCCTGGGTCTTTGTCATGCTGTGTGTTGGTATTTGGTAGGCATTAGGATTGTGACGGTTATGAGCAACACAAACTTACAAATGTGTGTCGTTGAAGTTGCTGCATGTACAGTAGATCCATTGATTTTTGTTGATGTTAATTTGTTAGGTTACAGTGTGCCTGGATTGCATTGCTGTGAAAGGGGAATTTAGTGAAGGTTTGTGTCCTTTGTGGATCTGCATGAACACACATGCACAAAGTACAGAGTATACTACATGTATATAGGAAGTAGACCATTTAAGCTACAGTCCCATATACGTCCCGGACCGTCCCGGACCATCCCGGACCATCCCGGACCCCATCCGGGGTGATCCGGGATTCGGTCCGTGTTGACACCGTGTTGGCACCGGGGTGGTCCTGGATGGTCCTGGATGGTCCTGGATGGTCCTGGATGGTCCTGGGCGGTCCGGGAGTCGACCCCGGATGTTTTTGACGGTCAAAAACTGCCGGGGTGGTCCGGGACGGTCCGGGACAATAGTTTGATCCGGGGTGATCCGTGTAGCCACCGTGCTGGGTCCGGGGTCATCCGTAGTGGCGCCGGGGCGGTCCGTGTTGATCCGTGGCAGTCCGGGAGTGAGTTATTGACCGCCCAGGACCATCCAGGACCATCCAGGACCACCCCGGTGCCAACACGGTGTCAACACGGACCGAATCCCGGATCACCCCGGATGGAGTCCGGGATGGTCCGGGACGGTCCGGGACGTATATGGGACTGTAGCTTAAAAGCATCACACTTTTTTGAACAAAACATCCCGGACCATCCCGGATCACCCCAGACCATGGTCCGGGATGGTCCGGAGTGGTCCGTGCTCGTCCGTGCTGGTCCGGCTTTATATGGGACTGGGGCTTTAGGTCTTCATTATTTCTGTGCAGTACCAGTATAAGAAAACATCCAGGGATGCCAGTTTTCAGGCAATATGCTTCAATTCAGGCCCTGGAAAGTTATTTTCAGAGTTCAGACCATAGTTTACCATAGGTTTTTTGTGTACAAAATAGCTCATTCTAGGTGATTTTCAGGCCCTCTGATCAATTCCAACTGAAGATCTTTCAGAGGTGAATCTCTATAATGTAGAGCTCTATCACTAAATCTTTAGAAATTGTGTTCATGGAATTGAGTAAAATAAAATTAGGGGTTGTTAATGCAAGAGGGTAATTATGGTCGTCATATTATGCAACAAGCCTGGGAAGAGAGAGAGAGGGTGTACACATAACTACTAGCTACACTGTAGGTACACTAACACTTTTCCCGGTATTAGTAAGATAATGGTACATGTATTTGTCACTTTTATGATCTAGTGAAAAAGAAAAGAAAGTGACATGCAATGACACCATTTCAGTAAGACACTCGCCCAAGTTTGGGTGCTTGGAATTCCCAATTTTTTTCAGGAAATCTCATTATTTATGCATACTGCATATTTATCATGGTGGTAATGAAAATTATTTGTTTATTTATAGCATCCTTCCAGTTACAAGTAATTGGATCAAAGCAGGTTGTAGTCTACTCCTACATTTTAAACAACATTGTTATTGTTTGTACTGTTTGTACAGTTGTGTACATTACTATAATGTTACAGTTTGATATATTAGACATTGAAGATAAAGACCAGTTATGGTCATGCGATTGCATCGTGAAAGAAACGTTGAGGAATCGATCACAAAAGGTTGATCATCTAGCATATAAGTATTGGTGTGTACTGCAAGGTTCTGGAATCATCAAAATGATAAGAAATTTGGCCCAGTCTTCGTAAAGTTACAAGCACTATACACAGAAAGATGTATATGGGACTATACGCACATGTGCATGACACGTGCGTTTATCTCTCACACACCAATAGATAAACTAATTTACCAAATATATCAATTAGTAGGTGGTTTCCCTGCAAAATTTGTATCATAGTCAAAACATATTCTTTTACATGATTGGTACAATAAGAGCTTCCATTTCATTTTTTGAAATTGGGGCGTTTCCAATACTGGTCTTTACCTTAAAGCCTAGGTTTGGAATAGACAGGTTTACTAATGTATTCAAATTGTATGCAAACGTTTAAAAAACAAAGATTGTTCTTGAATCTTGACATCCTGAGGGATTGCCTGGCATAGCAACGTGTAATGTATTTATACTGGATTCCCAGTAGTTCATTCAGAAATAACAGGTTAATGGAGTAACTTGTCAGTAGGTCCCCAGGAAAGAAACCTCCAGAACTTTGAATGTACGGGTATTAGTAAACAGGTCTATTTTTTTAGAAATCTGGTGTCTCATCAATTTGTTTCAAGCTTTTGGGGCTTCTCTGGCTCAATCGGCCACTTTTTCTTACATATTTATATACCTGGTATGCATCGGGACTTAATTAATTTGCCCAGAGTCTAAGAAAAGAAGTAGGGAGCCCCGTATACAGCTTGTGAATGTGAGGAATGGGTATGTATGGCTACATACATGTACGCTTGGATCTTTAGAATGTGAGGTGGAAGTAGGATCAAGAAAAAGAAGGAAAAGATCTGTAAGCTTCTTAATGGTATAGTATCACTCATTGGGGCTTTGTGACTCATAATACCCTACAGAATGCCAGTGGTTACATGCATCCAGGCTTAAGTTTAAAGGGGAGGTTCACTAGATTGTCAATAAGATTTTAATGTACATTAATGTAGATTTGCCTATCAGAGTTTAGATTTGCTGTTTTTCATTGAAAACAAAATTGTCTTAATTCACGATTATGACTATTCTTCTTGTCATTCATACATCCACTCCAGGCACACTAAACATAGACAAACATGTTTACATGATTTTTTTTTGTTTATGAAGTTTGCTCTAAAAACTTTTGTAGGATTGAAGCGTGTCTGGAAATGGACAGATACATGTAAATGGGTCTGTATGCACATACTTGTATTTAGATGGCTCAAGCTTATGTTATGCCCTGCCTACAACTTTGAAATGGCTTAGAATATTTTGTACTTTATCTGATTCCATACACATTTCAATGCACTTGACAATACACATTTGTTAAAATGCATTGCTTGCAACGCAGGTCACTCTCACAATGGAATACAAACTTACAAAGTATAGCACATACATGTACATGTTATACTCTTAGTGTTTTTCTTTTTTATATTGTGGAAAAGATATCCCTATTTGTAAAAGCATGTGCAGGTAGTGTCAAATTCTTGATTCCAACAAGAGTTACTGCAAGTCACTACATGTACATGTTCCTGTTGATTATTTTGAACACATTCTGAAAAGTCTAAAGTGTAATTCCCTGTTTAAATTTTTGAGTGCAATAAAAATAATGATAAAAGGGCAAGGGTTATCCGCTTTTAATTTGGTTGAATTAAATGTAAGTGAACTCTAAAATTGTTTAAAAAAAGAAGAAAAGAGAGAGAGAGAGAGAGAGAGAGAGAGAGAGAGATACCTGTATGTGCAATCAAGTTGCATTCACAAATTTTCTTGTTTAGTAAGAAGTGTTTCTTATTTGCCTTACAGTGGAACGGCATCACTGGCTCACACCATATTGAATTAATCAAATTTTGAGACATTTTCTCTCCAACTATGGTGAAATGAAGCCTCACTATTGATATGATTTAAGTAATAGTTGAGTGTCATCAGTTTGGTTATTGAAATATTGTTTGTTTAAATTAATACCCAAATTAGGTCATGCATGCCATTTTAAACATTGACACTGTGGTTGTGTGGTATTTCATGTTGTGCCAGTTTCTATCTGAACAATTGAAGCATATTTTGTGAAACCACAGCTATCCATGTTTGTGTTTTTTCTTTCTGCAATATCTTTCCAAACCTGATGGTCTAATGCTCTTTAGATATTGGGTTGCAACCTTACTGGCTAAAAGCCCATTCTTACTGGTAGCATTATGTTACCACGGAACAAACAGTATCCTGATGTATCGACGAGAGGCCTTGTTTCCATTATCCTGATTTTTCAAAGTATCCCAGTGCCTACATGTAC